ATTATTTTATTAGTAAAAACTGTGAATTACTCACTAGAAGAACCAAATTTCTTAAACGAAAGTACCAATATTAAAATTATTGAAAATCACCGTCGCATAATTCAAGTGATTAAATATTCATTTAATTTCGCATTACATAAAAGTGTCAAAAAAACACCTTGTATTGTTATTAGCGATTGCAAGCATTGCATGGGGGATATCTGCTGAAAACTTCTCTATGTTTTGGATTGGTGCATTAAGGTGCATATTGAAAGCAATTAGTCCTGTTATCTTTGCATCTATTTGTGGAGGCTGCTGTTGTGCTTGAAGCTGCGACTATTGCTTTTAAGAACTTATTGATATAAAAAATTTAATAAGTAAGTTGGCCATTTTACTTAATTTTTGCTTTAGAGGCTAAATAACAACTTCTGATTTTACTAGAAAATCGACTCGTGATAGAAGTATCAGATTTTATTATCAACGGAATTCTACTTATTTATTCCTGTCTGACAAGAATTTACCTGGCAAACATGTCATTAAATTGCATGATTTCATGCAACTTTGTGTTATTCTTGCATTCGTGCATAAATCTTACGATATTACAAATTTCGCTAGTATCCGGACATTGTCCAAGAGCTCCTGGTTGATCACATAGGCCACAAGTTTTCGGGCATTTTTGAAGAACTATTTGATATAAACTTGGATGTTTACAATGAGTCACAAAATCCAGTTGTGCACAAACCTCATTAGCAAGGAGGTCTAAAATATCAATTTTCAAATAGAAGATCTACCTGATTTTGGATATAAATGTGTGAATACTTAAATTTTCATACATCATTGCTTTTAAAAATATGGCAGGCAAAATGCATGCAAAAATAAATTCCATTCATAAATTGGAACTTTAGTAAAAAGAAAAACTTCAAAATGGTGCTTTAAAAAAATAATCGTTTTATGGTTCCAAAACAATAAGAAAGATCATGGTCTTTGCAAAATATTAAAAAATTAGGTCCATAATAAATTTAGTGGAATTTATGGAGCTGTCGCGAAATCGCTATAAAAAACAAAAATCCTCTTCTATATATCTGCAGTTTGCTCGACCTTGCTGTATGGCTGCGAGACACAGCAAATGAGAGTGGAAGATATTAAGAAGTTGTCCGTCAAAAGCGAGGTGGATCAATCAAGACCAGGAAATTTTAAACGTATAAGTAGACCAGCAATGTATGGACAATGTATTGACTGATAAAGAAATGGAATCGAGAGGCTTGAAAACACCTCTCCTTGTGATGTGGCGCAACCAGTAATGAGAGCTATATTAAAAGAAGATTATGTGGAAAAATTTAAGCGAATATTTTTTTCCCTTTTTATTGTATATTTGAGTCACTTAGTTTGAGAATGTAACATGGGTAATCAATTATTATCAAATCAACCAACCAACACTTTTAAATTCATAAACTTTTTATATTATACAGATATCCATCTTATTAGGCATTTTCTTTTTTTTTTGGGGCCATTTTTTAAAATAGATAGCAATTATGCTTTAATTAAAAACTTATCATATTTTGAAATGATAACGACAAAATTCTTTCTTGCTGATTTATTTCATAATTGGCTCTGCAACTTTATCGAAAGCAACATTTTATTCACAAAAAATGATAAAAATTTGATTTGTATAGATTCTGCTTCTATCTTCTCTTGAAGATTACCTAATATAAATAATAAATCACAGAAAAAAATATAACGAACATAATATACTACTTAACCAATCATTACTGATAATATATTAAAATAAAACACAAAAAAGCATAATTGCACCGAAGTATAAAAGTATAAAATCATGATGTTATAAATTAAAACAACACCGATACTAATTGATCATTATCAATCATTATTGATAATATGTTAAAATAAAACCGTGAAAAAACTGCACCGAGCGGTACTTATTTTGAATAAAAATATTATTATTAAAAATATTATTTTTTAATTATGGTCTTATTGACACAAGATAAGCTGCTGCTTAACCAATCACTGTTGATAATAAAATGAATAAATATTAAAATCACAGAAAAAGATATATAAAACTGCACCGAATATATTAATTAACTAACCGTTATATAAAAGATAATTTATTTGATACCGATTATAAAATGAAGAATAGCGCATATTTATTTATAGTATGTGAACAGCATAAGAATAGCAGATTATCTAAGGAATATGCATTTTCCACTTTCTATTTTTTAATTTTTTTATACTTAAATTGTAAATAATATATACTTAAATATATACTTGAATATATACTTGATATGTGCTTATTTTCACATTTCATGAGAAATATGCGCCTATTAAATAGGTATTCAAACCTAAAATAATTATATAAATGAATAAGATCGATCACTTAAAAATACTTTTTTTTTTACCGAGTTGAAAGAGAGAAAATGTTGACATTTTTGATTAAGCATTCTCTTTAATTGTTCCAGTTGCACGTTTAATTGCTGAATTTTCTATTAAATGCAAGAAATTATGATTAACAAATCGCATCATCTGAAAATTTTTATTGAAAGCATTGGTCACTTATTGTCCGTAATAATTAAAGATTTCTAACTTAAAAAGAAATATATAAATGAAAAAAATGGGAAATGGAAGAAATGAAACATAAAAATGAATAATAAAAAATAAAAATGAATGAGCATTTTAAAATTTTAATTGCATGACTAACATTTAAATTTATAAAATAATTTACTTGAATTGTCTGAGCGCTACAATTTGTGAAATGACAAACGAAAAGCAGCAAATTTCGAGGTTTAACAAGCCAAGCAAAACGCATGAAAGCTGATGAATATAGAATTAACGCTGCAGTCATTGGACCTGTTAATTGGGTTTTTCACTTAAAAAAAAATTTCTTTTTTATCATTCCCTTTTTTTCATTAAAATTCTAAAAGAAATTCTAAGAAATTCTAATGGAGTGAAAATTTTTCAAAAAATTTTTTAAAATTTTTAAAATTTCGGAGAGAAAAAGCATTAAGGAGAAATAACTGATAATTAGTGCGTACCAGAAATTATTTCAGGACTTTTCTTGAAATCAGCGATCGCTGCGATCGGAATTCCCCAATTCGCAACTGGTCCCCAAAAATGCGTTGATAAAAAATAATTTCGCCAATCTTTCGCCGACGAACGTCTCAAATACGCATTTATCGATCTCGCAATATTTGCCATAATTATTTGTTTTGCTACAGAAAAATTAGACGATATTAAAATATTTGTAGAATTTTGCAATCGCTATTTATCATTTGTTGAGTTTAATTTTGACATTTGCAATTCAAGTATATCCAAAAATTTACGATTTATACGATTATTTAATGATGAACCATATTAATAAAAACGGGAAATTATAGGAAATATAAACCGTAAATGTCAAAAATATCCTTCAAATTGTCAAATACTCTGTAAACAAATATAAAAAATCGTTTAAAGTCGTAAAATACAAAAATGATAAGAAGAAAAAAGAGTGATAAATTGATAACTTAAATAATAATAAGAGTGATAACTTAAATTGTTTTAAAATTAAAAGAATCAATGCTTCATTTTAAAATATTTCAATAAATTATAACGAAAATAATGGAAATATAGACGAAGACGTAAGGGATAAAAAAGAAGATTAACCTTATAAGGTTATACCAAATCATTGCTGAAAGCTTTTTCGATGTTTCTCGAACGAGGCGACGCGACGAAAATTACAAGAAAGAGGATCTTAAACGAGGAAATAGCTTTAATTTTTGGCTTATTCGTTCCAATTCTTATCAGTTGTTATTTTCAATACATAACTATTTTCCTTCCTTGGCTAACTGCACGCTTGCACGATTATTGATTTGCGATCCTTTCGTCAGCCTTAAGGACAGAGGAATAGATGGTCGCCAAGCTTAAAAGAAAACGAATAAAGAACGATAAGGATGAAAACAGCGCACCGTTCATTTCTACTGCGCTAATGGTGTGTAACAAAGTTCCGAAGAAAAATCGATCTTTTTTTTTCATTTCCTATTTTTCATCGAATCTAAAACATTTTATAAAATCAAAAAATAAAATTAAAATTAATAATAAAAACTTAAAAATTTAAAAAAATTATTTAATTGTATTTTTATCCACAAATTACTAAATTTTATTTCAATGCATATAAAATGAAATATTAAACGAAAAAAATAATAAATAATTAAAATTATAAAATACAATTTGCAAAAACTTCTAATCAAACAGACAACAAATATAATCAGACGAAAAATAAAATATTACTTTAAATAATTGGGTTCTACAACGAATTCCTTCACGCTAAATTTATCGGCTAACGTTCGACCGACTTTTCTGCATTTCTCCTGTGCCGCTAGCTTATTTTTTGTTAGGAAAGTTTGTAATTTACGTGCCTTGTGACGTCGTCAATCCTTTTGTATGAATTCTTTGCTTTTTATTAATTTATTTTTAAAGTTTATTTGTTTCGTAAAATTTGAAATTTTCGTTTCGAATTTTTCGCCTAAAAATTTGGAAAAAATTACGTGGAAAAGTTCGAAATTTTCTTTTTTAAACATAAATTAATTAAAATTAATTTTAGCGATGCAAACCCAAACTCGAATTAGTTAAAATTAATTTCGATTATTTTATTAATTTAAAATTTTAGTTTTTTTTTCCAAACAAATCGCAATTTTATCATTCAATTCACTTATTCGCAGTTTGTTTTTTTTTCGAAAAAAATTAATTTTAAAAAAGGGAAATCAATAAATAATTTTGATTATTAATAATTTGATTAATAATAATTTGATTAATAATGATTTTGATAAATAATTTTTTATGTGAATTTATACGAACATTTCACTCGCCTTTTTCTCTTATATTTTAATATTTAAATATTTTTACTTAATCAAAATTACATTCGCACATAAATTAATATTAACAAATAAATTCGTATATTTTAAACAACAAATCGATATGCCATATCGATTTGTTATTAAATAATAAGTTGTATTCAATTAAATTTTCATATAAAATCAAATAATAAATAAATTCAAATAAAATTTACAAAAGGAATTTCAGAAAGCAAAGAAACAAACAATGTATAACGGCAACAACGACGGAATGATGCCACGTGGTAAGTAATTCATTTAAATAGATTTATTATATGTTAGGAATATTATATTTCAGAATATATAATATATATGTATAGAATATATACATATTTTTTAATATAAAAAATAAATAAAATAATTGAAATATATCGATTATAATTATAAAAATTATAAAAATATTTTATTTTATATTAAATTTATATACATTAGAAAATATTTTATTTAAAATAAAATTTATAAATTTATAGAATATATTTATAAAATTTTTAATCAGATAACGAGAAAATAAGCAATTAAAAAATATGCAATATTATTTTTTTGGCAGATTCGAAATATGACAAAAATTTTTACAACAACAATAAACAAAGAAATATTCACTTCAATAATCCGTATGACGATATGGCCAATTCGTCGCCAAGATATAATCTTTTTTCAAATGCAAATCGACAAAGAATGGGAACACCGATGCCAAGTTGTAGCATTTCGAATAATAATACATTCTTGCCATTTTCGGATCGTTATCGCTCTTCATTCAATAATCATCAGCAATTTTTTTTCCGTGATTCTCAAAAATCACCAGCCAATCCTTCGTTAAAAAAAAACACATATCAGCAGGCTCACGGCTACAGATTTGAAGATTCGAACGTTAAAAATAAGGTTCTTTTTCTTTGCTTTCTTCTGAAAATATTCAACCTAAGTAATTTTATAGGGTTTAATAGTATTCAATAACGCTAAATATAGGATTCAGTAGTAATTTTGGAATTGTTAGTTTTTTGCTAATTTATGAATATGTAAAAAATAGCTTTGAACTAAATTCCCCGAAATTTTCAAAAAATCTTATTCATCAAATTACTTAAAAATCTGCGTTATTTTCTATATTTTCTACATTATTTCCTACATTTATTTTTTCAGAAAATTCCACAGTTTCAATTAATTCATTCTTTTCCCATTTTTATTTAAAGTTTAATGTATTTATATAATATCACTGAAAAATATTTTGATTACAGCATAATAATCCAAACTATGCAGACACTTCACGGAAATCTTATGATTCTGTTTCAAATAATTTCGCTACCGATGATGAATGGAATCCGGATGACTATGTGATTCCATCAATGACGTCGAATCCATGGAAAGAGTTGGAAGATGAATATTATCGGAATATCGAAAAAGTGTAAAATATTTGCTGAATCGCCTAAAATACTTTTTAGTTCCTTTTATTATTTTTGTTACTTTTACGCTTTTGATTGAGAACACACGTCTATATACATTTCTGATATTATTACTAGATGGACGCATATTTTCAATTTAATTATATTCTCAATTTTTAAATCTAGTTGTATTAAAATCTTCTTATATTAAAATCTCGTTTATATTTTTAAAAATTTTATCAAATTTATTCCGAAAATCGCTGTGATCTTTTTTATTATTTTTTTTTTAAATTACCTGATTCAGTGAAATAAGCTGCTTAAATTTTCTGGTTCTTTTTTATGGTTCTGTTGGTTCGTTTTACCTCTCCATTTTCTCATATTCATAATTCATATGTTGCATTCCTTCTCCTTAATTTATTTTTAAAAATGGAAGACTTTGCCCAATAAAATTAAAAATTTTCCAAAAAACTTTTCTGGACAATGTTTTTGTTACCTTTCCTTTATAAAAGACATGAAGGAAATGGGAAAATGTATTTAACATTTTTCCTATTGCCTTCATGAATTTTTTATTTTTCTGGGATCCGAAATTACAGATAATTCTAAAAATAAAGAGGTGTGATATGTAGTAGTACAAAATTTCTAAAGAGAAAGATTGAAAAGCGTGTTACGATACGATATTCCTAAATGAATTTGAAATGCAGAGATAAATGGACCACCAGTATATTCAATACTGAAAATTGGCTCTATTAATCGGAATAAAAATGCTTGTCAATTTTAAGATCCTTTGGTAACAACGATATTGTTGATTGGTCTACAGAAAAACGATTCATGCAATCCAAATCTCGATAGCACACCCCAAAGAATTCACTATTCAATTTAAGCAATTCACAATATCACCATCGCAACAAAAAAGCTCATAGCCGAGCTATTCATTGACAGACATTAATTAGCACTTTCGTACCACAGCAGAAAGACTATACAGCTATATATATATCAGTATAACAGTATTTAAGTACTGAAATCAAGCCATCCACCGAAACAAACTTCGATCTGCAGATAATGCAGATAATTTACTGAAAGTAACCATGCCGAACTCTACCGCCGAATTGCAAGCTATTTTCCACTGTGTTATATAAGCAATTATTGCTAATTCACGGGCAGAATTAGATAGGAACCCACTAGTTTATAATGCACTAAATAGTCATTTAACTGGTGCATAAGAAATAAGAATTTGCCAGAAACGAATTTCCCATATATCCCACAATCCTACATATTTACAGCGAATACTTCCTTGAATCACTTTTTTCCCCTCTTTTCTCTCCTCATTGAACATCTAAATACTTTTGTCGAAGAATTTTGTCGAATACTGAATTCTAATCACACTAAAACTACTGCACTAAAAAACGAGCAGCTGAGGAGGGAAATAAGAGCCACGACCGGCTTCCAACTTATCCCTATTTAGCATTCATTCTTCGTAGACAAAACGAATTTTGGACTAACCCATTTATAATGCGTACAACAGATTACGATTTCCTTGAATTGCCACAATTGCATTGAAAATATGTTTGATGACCGCGTTTCACATAAATACTAACACGATGTTAAAAACATCAATACACAAAAATATTTCCAAATTGTTAAAAAGCAAAAAAAAGAGTGCAATAAAAATGGAAACAAATGCTAATTGAAGGAGAAAAATTGAGCGAAACACAGCCAACAAATCTATCATAAAATCTTACAAAAGCCAAATTTAATGCCAAATAATCACAGTGCTTGAAGTGACGCTCAAGGCCCAACTTGTCTAACTACCATTATTTTTATATTTACAAGTAATGTTCTCTCAAGAAATGGTTTCTTAATCGGCCATATTAGAATTGGTCCATGTTGTTAGGGCAATTTTTTAAAATAACAAAAAGCAACAAAGCCATCGTTTTCTCAACTAATCGAGTGAAAATGTTTATTGGTTGGTCGATAATAATAACCATCGTCCACAAATTAATATTTTAACGAATTGTTGATAACAACGTAAATGTTTAAAATAAATCGCTTTTTAGAGCATTCGCATGTATTGCTTTTACCTTTCTATTCCAACAATCCACATGAATTGCGATCTTTCATGTGGCAATATTCGAAACTATTTGAAGAATGGAGGGCCACTGAACACGAATTAAAAACGTCAGCCATTTATGACAACCATCTAACTCATAACCATGTTCACATTTAAGAAAGACTTTTTGATTCATCACGAAAACTTCCAAGGTTCATCGTCCTTCGTCAACGAGCGATTGTTGAACCGACCTCCTTTGACGTACTGGCCGCTTGAACTGAAATGTTAATATCGATTTTAAAAATTTTGCCAAGTAACTTAAAAATATCAAATTTACCGCAGCCTCAGCTTATCACCTCGAATTACATTCCAATTTTGATATCAAAATATATTGCAATTGCCATATTTGATAGAAAATCGCAGTTAAATGCCATTCTATCAGTGACAAAACATAATTGCGACATAAAGCAAATAACCCCGATGGCACCAATCTTTGACCAGCAAGCCTTTTAATATATTAACAGCGTGAGGAAACCAGGCCATCTCATTAATTCGACCAATGCTGACTTACAATAAACCTGTGTGAAAAAGCCTACGCCTATGCCTAATTAATAGTTCCATATGTCAATTTGAATAAAAAAGCCTCCCTTCCACCATAACTTTTTCGTTTATTAGAATGCATTTTTATAATATTTCCTAATTCTTTTAATTATTCATTAGACCATATACTCATATGAATTATATGGACATGTAACACGAACGAAAAAAGCGATGATCGAAGGGAGCTGCGAGTATTAAAAAGCCCAATCCGATTGCCAAGTTTTTCACGAAGAGGAAGAAGAATCTCCTAACTAATGTTTAATAATACTAGAATATTGATAAAGATTTAATCCACCATACTAAGATAGAATTCCACCTAAATTAATTCAAAAAATATATAATAGTGATATTATCGCCTGATTAGTCCTTCATTTTCTATAAACCGATAATATAGATTGTTGATAGCCATTTTTTATAAATGAACAACAAACAGCTGATGTCTTCGAGGTTATTTCCTTTAAATTATCATCATAAGGTTATTATGAAACAATTCTACAAATAATATCATCTTCCTTTACGTTTCTGAATGATCGTGTTTAGCACAAAAACTGATCAAAGACAAAGTAAAAAATAAGAATACACAAAATGTAATTTTATTCACATTTTACAATAAAAATATAACTTAGGCAAAATCAAAAAAAAAGCTGTAAATGAAACCAAATACGCATTATTTTAAGAAAAATAATTTTAAAAAAATATGAATAAGTGATAAGTGAAAAAGGCATTTAAACTGCCCTTCCATTAATGAAATAACATAAATTAAATAAAAAAATAAATTTGCAAATGTTATTTCATTCTGCGACACTTCTCTATGCACTGCATAAATTTTTGTAAAATTTGCAAAATTTTGCAAAATTATTACCCCTTCTTCGTCTTCCAACTTTGCCTTTCGGCTCAGGAAATTTATTTTAAAATTTACTTGAAAAATTTCGATTTTGATTAATATCATAACACAGCAATACACTGAGTTGATATTTACGTTAGAATTCCCAAACGACCACGTAAGTCGATCACGTAACTCGTAAAATACAAAAAATATCTATTTTTGTATTTTCGTATATTAAATACGCACAAATGCAACCATGTTTATCTATCAAATTGACGAAAAAATTCGAGCAATACAGATATCAACTGGTTTAGCTCGAATAAATAAAACACACATTCGGGAAAACCCGGTCATTTTTAAAATTAACAAATAATCGCAGTATACTATCCTCATTCAAACGTTCAGAACTAATCACTAATATTTATTTTAAATTGGGCATTAATCAATTTAATTTAAAAATAGCCAGATCGCTTACACAATTGACTCTTCGCATCGTGACTCGATGAAGAAGTTTGCTTCATATACCCGCTTGATAATAATGGTCGCGAAATAGATTCATTGTGGCTTGTGCTAGGCTAAAAACAAAAAGTGCTTGATAAAAATCAGTTCAAGCCTTTATTATTAATAACTCCAAGTGAGGCGAAAAGGACATATAACCTGTTGTGAAATGAAAGAACGCACTACTGAATGCTGGGTGCTCAGATGGCTCGCCTGATTCACTAAAGGTGGTGCAGGTACTTGGACAGCAGAATCTATAAATAACCTCATGAAAGATATATCAAATTCATTATGCATTAAAATAAGAAAGGAAAACATACTCATTGAAGATTTACTTTTTCGCTGTTTCTTAGACCACATTTCATGACAATCTTGCCAATCAGGCAATTTTGGTGGCTCGATTACCGAAGGATCGATATCTTTCAGCCATGAATGAATCAGAGCATTTTTTGAAGATATACGCTTTCGCGGATCCAGTTCTAGCATCTTGTCTAACAAATCCAACGGTCTGGCACTTATGCTGCAAAAACACCTATTGTCATGTTATATTTCAAGCTGTTTTGATGCACATGGAAGGAAGTTTAAAAATATAAAAACAGCTAAATTTAAAAAACGCCTTACAATGCGAAAGTATCCTTTATTATCCTTGGATAAGTTTTCCTTGGCCGATAAGTATGATACAAAGGAAGCCGAATCACTTCTGGCCAATTTTCAGGCGAAGGTGTACCACATAATTTAGCAATCGTTTCAAGTTGCTCCATTTCTGTATATTCTTGAAAAAGTGGTTTTTTCGTGTATAATTCACCAAGTATACATCTGCAATATCCAACTCATTTAACCATCGATTGAATAACAAGCAGGAATAGTAAAAAGCAGCGAAATAAGAAGTACTGAATTTATCATTTGAACTATGAAAAAATTAATTCAACCGCACCCTACACTCCAAACATCAATAGCAGTCGAATAGCGCTCTTCGCCAAGCAACAACTCAGGAGGACGATACCAAAGTGTAATAACTCTGTTCGTATAAGGCCTGTCCAATTCTTCGTCATAGAGTCGAGCCAGTCCAAAATCAGCTAATTTGATTTCGCCCCTACAAACAAGCTTGATATTAAGGATTTAGCGAACGAAATATTTCATATAAAGATCGTTAAGAACTGAAATTAGAGGAAAATGAGAAGTGAAAGATTCCATAACAATCCAAAGAAAGTAATCTGCTGCATAAAAAACAGTAAAGTAATTAAAAGAAAACTAAATACATTTTAAAACAGCAGCTCAATACAAAAAATAAAAATTGAATAAATACTCACTTGTTATTCAGCAAAATATTTGAACATTTAATATCTCTATGCAAAAATCCAATCGAATGGCAATATTCGAGACCAGAGAGAAGCTGCTTAATTACAGAAGCAATCTGTTCATCATTGAAATCCACAAAATGACTTTCCAAAATTCCCATTAGATCATGGTCAAGATATTCAAAAACAAGGTAAAAAGCTCCTGAAAAAAGAATGAATAGATAAGACTGTTGAGCTATAATTCATGCTTTGATTGTTTCAGAAAAAAAAGCAACAAAGCATAAATTACAAAATGAAAATTCTTATTAATAAACCTCTTTGAGCCTAAAATATATAAATACATTTTACGAAAAAACTCCGCAAATCTCATCCTTATTAGTGGTGTCAAAAGGATAAAATTATTTATGATGATAATGAAAGGATATGGCAAAAAATACAGCAAGACTTGATAAACCACTAACTTAGAGTGGTTTTGACAAGTATTAATGATGCATGACAAATTTTGGTAGTTTTTTTAAATATGCAAATATAGCAAATTATCATATAGATAAATAAGAATCATACCTTTATCGCGACGGAAATCAGCAGCTGTTTGCTTATCCGTTACAATATCAATCAATCGTACAATGTTTTTGTGATGTAATTGCCGTAGAATTTTAATTTCACGAATCGCTGTTATAGGAAAACCTTCTTTTTCAATTTCCAGTCGGATTTTCTTTAAAGCAACTACTTCTTCTAAAGAAAAAATCAAAGAAATAATTTAGTTAGCAGCAAAAAACGAAGAGAAACATCCGCTACTGCGGTTTAAAATCACATATTTTTCTGGCAAAAAATTAACCATTAATAAATAAAACAATGGTTAACAATAAAAAATTAAAAATATATAATTTCTAAAATTATATTCAATGATATGAAGAAATCAATCAATGAAATAAATATATATGTTCAATTACTTGTATATTTATCAACTGCTTTATATACTTTCCCATATGTTCCTTCACCGACTTGAGTTTTTATCTCATACTTCTCAACCGTTGAACAGCCCCAGTTTTCGGTATCTTCGCGTAACTTCAAACGTTTATTTAACACTCTGTAAAAATTATAAATAAATAATTTAAAGAATTAAATTCAGAAAAATATTTTAAAAAAAGTAGGTAAACGTACAACGGTCGACAGAAAGTACGTTTTGATGGAGATGCAGAAACTGATGGTGTGGTTAACTGCGGTACTCTCGGCAATGGAAGTGGAGGCAATGTATTCATTGATGTTGTAGTACTACAGGATAATTGAGGTGCAGGTGGTGGAGGCTGATTTATCGGCGGTGCTGGAGGCGGCAAAGCAGCAGGCATAGGTGGTAGTGGTGGTGGGGGAATTATAGGTTCTGGCGCCACAGGTGGTGGTGGAACAAGAGGAGGTTGAGAATATGGAGGAGGTGGTATAACAGGAGCTGTGAATCCGAAGGGAAACTGAAAAAAAAATAATAATTTATGATTTATTGTAAGCTTTTTAAGTGGAAAAAAACCATAGAGGAATAAAAAACTATCAATCAAGAAAATAGTACAAATGCCTGAAGTCAATATAATATCTAACCTGACCACCATATCCATATTGAGCAGTATAAGCCGATATGGCCGCCTGATAAGAAGCCGGATCCATACCAATAGGAGCTGGTGGTGGAGGAACAAATGCTGGAATATTTACAGGCAATGGTGGAGGAGGCGGAGGTGGTGGCACAACTTGTGAATTTCTAAGCTAAAAAAATTTTATAAAACCTAAAAACAATACGTAAAATCTTTCGAAATAAAATTAGCCTCATTAGAATTTTTTTTCTACGTGCAAAAACATTAATATATGAATTAATCGCCTAGATAAATTTAAAAAAATGAAAAACAATTGAAGCCTACGAAAAAGCTCATAAAGCTCAAAAAATAATTCATTATCAAACAAAAAAATAAAATGAATCATCCATATTATAATTTCTGAACAATTGCATCATCTCAGCTTCTCTCTCCAATTAAAATTTTTATTATTTAAAAATTCTGCAAACTAACAGAAGATATAGGAGTACGAATGCTTGACGATGATGATGACGATGAAGAAGTTTCGGACGGAGAACGCCTTCTACGACTGCGTTTCTTTACTGGTGTAAGGCTACGTTTACGATGTTTGAATTTTTTTTTCCTTTCATTCTTATCTATTCGCTTATCATGATGCCTCGTCATTATTTCGCCCAAAAGTGATTGTTTCATTCGCATTCTTGAAAAAAATAACGTAAAAAAACAGATTTAAGAATTTTGAATTTTTCTGTTAGATGCAATTAAGTTTCTAAAGTGGATGTAAAGTGATTTCGAGCGAAATTTCAGTTCCAATAATAAACGCATAAATTCTCCTAGGGTAAATAACTGTGGACATGATTAGACACTTTTTTTAAAGAGTATAACCGAAGCATTTATGACTGATTTCTCAGAAATTAGTGAATGATTATCAACAACGAATCCACAAATCCTTAAGAACTGTTTAAAATGGCCAGCAAAAAAAAATTAATCTTTAATGTGAAACGAAATGAAGTTCTAATCAATCAATAATTAGTTAATTCTAAAACATGGAATAATCTGATGAAAATGAATAAAAAAAAATTTCCATAAAAAAAGAAATGATTAAATCACTAACTCAGTCATATTTGATTGAAAAGAAGAATCGGATGAGCTAGAAGATGGCGAACTAGACCGAGAGCGACTATAACGACGACGCGAATCCCTCTTATCCGTACGACGTGATGAATTTCCAGAACTGCGCGGAGGAGTGCGATAAGACCGCCTAAACTTGAAAATTGTTGATTTTAGAATTAAATAAACTGATATTGAAAAGCATTCCTTTAGCGCAAATTTCATTCAGAAAAGCATGACTAATAATACATATGATTATGAATAATAATATATGATATAATAAATGATTGATATATATATAAATATATATATATATATAATAATAATAATATGTGATTGATTGTGAGTAGTTGTGCAGATAAGCTCTGCCCATATCAATCGATAAGTGTTTATTATGTTTATTATAATTTATTTATTATTATTTATTCTTAAATTTTTTTTCGAAACTTCTAAAGGTTGCTATTAATCTCAGTTCTGTCCTGCAATAAGTTTGTTTTAAATTTTCTGTTTTAAATTTGCCTTCGATCATTTTTTGTTTCCCATCTTTAACATTTTAATTTTATTTTTCTTAATTTTTCATCCTTGCATTTGATTTGGAATAAGCATCATGCCATGATAAAAAATCCTGGTGGCTGTCAGGGACTCATCAGTAACTCTATCCCCAAGTGATTCTAGGGTGAAATGGACAGATATTCTTGATAAAGCGCTAGCGTTTTTGAAGCGCATGATACTCCCAGCTCGGTGGTACATGCGATAATTATACAATCCGAGTATAAAACGACTTCAAGGCTTATGAATAAAATGCTCGAAATCTACCTACGGAAACGGGAAGCGAGCATGGCCAGATTTGTCCAAAAGCTTATAAGATCAATAAGATTACCAAGATTAATAACATTATCAATAAGATAAGGAAAAGATGGCCTTCGATCTGAAATCTCCAATTGTTTTCCTTCATAATACACGTTCAATAAATATACTCTCTAGTATGGAAGAAAGAAATACTAGCATATGACTATTCCACTAAACAAAGCAATTCCACTAATTGCTAAGAAAGGTGACAGGATATGCTCCCACAATTATTGAGGAATCAACTTACTAGATGTCTTAGCAAAAAATTATATCCCTTTATATCCCTTCCCTTATATATCCCTTTCACTCAACAGACTTATGACAAGAGGGGATGGCAAGATGTGCTCTAATCAATCTGGAACGGGACGCAATTGTGCTGACCAGATACGTTAAGAAGAGGGTTGGAACATTGCTTCAAATATTTATAATCCACCATTATATGTTTCATCGACTTCGCACCTTTGATTTAATTGATACTTCGGAAGATTATAGAACGCGATGGTTTTCCAGAGATCATTCGACTCATAAAAACATTTTATCAGCGTACGATAACCATGTCTGTATATCTGAGGAAGTGAGAGACTCTTTCGAAATAAGAACTGATGTGGGTCAAGGCTGCATATTTTCCATTATAGCATTCACTTATGTGATAGACTGGATAAGAGACATCGCCTGTCGGTACTCAAGAGGTGTGCAAATCCAGAGCACAATTCCACAGATCTTGAATACGGCAATAATATTATCCTTTTTGCTGACAATTGTGACGAAATGCAAATAATACTAAACGTATCAATAACTGCAGCGAGAATCGGATTCAGGATCAATGTAAATAAAACAAAATCCTTTTCGTCTTATATAAAAGAAGATAATATAAAATACCCAGTTTCATTGTAAAAACGATAGTCTGCGTAAATATAGCAGCAATTCGATTTATCTTGCTATGTTCTGCAAGGTGAGAGTGGAAGATATTAAGAAGCTATCTGCCTTTGCCACTCATGTACTCTAAAATACATTTAACTGGACCACAGACGATAAAATCTCACATGGCTGCATCCATCTTTGCTCAAATACTATCTGCATTAACACCATCATAGAGCTGCCCTATCGCTGGGTAGGGCATGTTCTTTGTCGTTTACAGCAAGAGTTGACATATATTTCGCTATTTGCTAGATCCTATGATAGATGGTGTTGAAAGCAAGAAGATATAATCAAGAGAGGAACTGATAGAGTCAGATATTTTGAACGTAAAGGGACCAGCCCTATATGGACTTAGACGGTACAAAGAGGAATGACTTCTATTATTATCAGCGATAGCTTCAGATCGAGCAGCTTGGAAATACCTTACCCTTGCAACCAGTAATGATGAAAGCTGTTAGAAAAAGAAGAAAAGCATGATCGACATCTATTAAATCCCGTCAATTATCCCAAATTCTAAATTTGGTGCAATGTTGAAACACTAAGAGCACCTTTATTTTAATTTGCAAAAATATACGAATTTAATTTGTCCAAAGTGTAACATACCGTTGATCTCGCCGGCTTGATTGCTTTCGATAGACATCAGTTCTGCGATGCTCAACCACTCTACGATCGTAATCTCGAGTTTTACCATTTGTTATAGGAGTATTAGGAGTCCTTCTCCGTTTATAAGTCCTTGAAGTAGAACGAGAATGTGACCTCCTGAAAAATCCAAAGTTTATTGACAACGGGATTCTCATAATTAACAATATATACATCAAAATGATTTGGATTATAATTTCTGATGAAACTGGAAAATGGAACCGAATTTTTCTTCAATTAATCTTTAAAAATTTTTACAAAATAAGAATTTATGTTAAGATAACGCTAAAACAATTAACGCAATGAACAATAACAAAACAATACAATAAAAAAATTTCGAAGAAGAAAAATAATAAAAGATAAATGACCTATTATGAGGAGGCGTTGATGAAGACGACTTGCGTCGTCGTTTTCCTGAAATTTCTCGTTCTTGGCTTCGCTTTTTTTGACTTGATGATTTTTGATGCCTCGAAGGAGACTGTGAAGATTGCGGCTGAGGCTGAACCATATTCTCCTCAACTTTATTACTAGATGATCGACAATAATTGCAACCTTAAAATAAAAATAGTAATCATTTAAAACATTTCACCAAACTAATATCCGTTAGAATTTATTAGAAATTAATTAAAAATTTATCAACCGCATTATTATAATAATCATTAAACGAAAAAAACTAACTCAATAAAATATAATTTACACTCTTTTTCTCTGATTTAATTTTGCCATATACCATGACAATATTTAATGAATATAAAATTCATCTGAAATTTAACTAACAATTATTATAATGAGCAACTAATTCATTAAGCAAATTCAACAACTCGAGATAATTTTAAGAAAAAAAATAATTTTCAATTATTCAACAGCTATTCAACTATTAACAACTACTAAAATCAAATATAAACACTTCGCAAAATAATCATAGCAAAATTACGAAGAAAGAAATTCAAAAGATATGCAAAAAATAATAAAATCTAAAGAGGAAAAAATAAAAATTAAAAGTGAAAAGCACGGTGGTTAAATTCCAGCAATGCAAAAAATATAATAAAAATTGAAGTTCAAATAAATTTTTTGATAATATCATGGCAACTGAACGTCTCCTATAAAATCTCTTCCCATTACATAAAATTTCCTATATCTACTTTTTATTAATAAGGTTCATTTAAAAATATATTAATAATAAATTAATAAATTCTAACCAAATTTTATAGCTTAATTTATTTTGCAATAATCCTAAATTTATACGAATGATTGATATGATTGATAGCACTTACAAATGAATGACAGCAATAATATTCAATGATCAGTGTAAACAAAATAATCACAATGACCACTGATAATAATAATAATTCGTATAGATATACAAAAAGCATTTGAAATTCATTTCCAACAGCCAAGAAATAAGAATATGAAATAATAATTCTGATAGCCACAGCCAGAATTATTTTTATCCATCTATTTCTGACCGCACTCAACAATTGATCAGACTGACAATAACAGAAGCCAACTGTTTTTTATTGTCTATGTCTATATATCGTAGTTTCGCCTTTATATCCAAAATTTTCCTCGACCGTTTAGCCCTCCTCGCCATATTCAATCTAGAGAAAACCTTTCCCAAAAGCCGAAACTACTTTATTCGATCTGAAGTGACAACTAGCTTCCTCGAATCATCTCAAAATGACAATCGAAACCAATATTCACATTAATCTCATTCAATCACAATGCACTACCTCTTATAAGGCTGCAAAAATGGCCAATGAAAACGAAAATTATCAAAAAACGCCGGATTAATAACCGTGCGAATAATCTAACCGTGCGAACCGTGAGAACTAATGGAACTATGATTAAGCACTACAAGAAAGACAATCCGTGATCTTTAAAGTCGATTTACTTATACAGCAAAAAACTGACCAAAAATTCAATTCAACGTAAAACAAAATAAACATCCACACAAGGCCATAAATCTCGTAAAGCTCACCAACTTAAAAAAAGAACGTAGGAAAAGTGACTGCCTTATTCGCTTTATTAAGGCTTCCACATGCGAAAACGCGGCCGTAGCTTGTTGGATGAAAGGCATTACATATATACATTTTTACATTATATATATACATTATGTATATTTATATAGAAAGTGGCGACCTTACGCCTTCAACCTCATAATAATATAAATGATTTAAATTTTATCAATCTTCCCGAAAATCACGAATGATATAAATATAAATATATAAATGAAAATACTATATACAGCATTTTAGAACATTCTCGCATTCATATTCCCTGTAGAAAATGATGAAAATGGACAAATGGATATTTACCACATAAGGCCAGAAATGCTTGAATGTTTTTCACAAATAAAAATTCTAAAAAAAATCAGCTGCGGTTGGTCGCGATTTTTTCTCAATTTCTTCACCAAAATTGAGCAAATTATCCGTAATTGAACGTTTCAAGGAGTTAGAGTCAGAGTTAGGAGTCGATTGTGCAGTAAGTGTTTGATCTGCCTCAGCACCTGGAGTTGACAACATTCGAGAGGAGGCGGGTGTTCTGGACCTAGGATTTACAAATTAATGAAATGAAATCGAATTAAGAATATGCTAGTGATAAAGCTGATTAAAAAAAGAAACTCAGCAAACCTTCGAAAAACTGGTGTATAACTAGCTTTAAGTTGTTTGTCAGAACCCAAGCGGATACCCAGGCCTTTCGTAGCCAAACGCCTTGCTGCAGGCGACATAACAAGTAATCTATCAGTATTACGAACAGAGCTGAATGAAGGAGTCTTCCTAAACGAACAAACTAATTTGAACAAAAGCAATCGCTTTGTCAAAGAACATTAGGTCAAAAAGTTCAAGATTTAAAGCTTAATCTTACGTATGATATTTTTCTGCTTGTCGAATGGCACTTTTTCTTTTTTCGAGATAGCCCTTGGCGATACTTTCAGTCATGTCCTGAGCAATCTTCTCCCGCAACGGCAAATCAGGGATCTAGATAAAGTTTCGATGAATAGATCTGAAATGTTTAAAAATGTTGGAAAAAATTGAAGCACTTTATTATTTACTTACCTTGAACGCTGGAGCACTACCAACTCCTGAGATCGCCAAATCAGCTGCATCAAGTCTAAAAGGAGTACCTTCGATTTCACCCCAAGTCATAAGTGGTGTATCTTCCACACCTGAATATATGAGATACACGACAAAATGCTAGGAAATATTTTTAAAAGATGATGAAACCTTTCATGCTTAAAAAATAAGAAGCATAAACTTTTAAAAATAAGCATAAACTTTTTCCAGAAGAAAGAGATGATAATAATAATGTGAGATAATAACACCAAAAATATAAAAAAATATGATCGTATTAAAAGAAACTAACCAGGTGCAAGTGAAGGTGTTGCCAAAAGATCGAGATCTGAGTTAGTGGTCGGTTTAATCTCACATCCAGTTATATCGACCTTACCCGCTTTATCAACAATATTCTGTCGCATTATCGATTTCTTTAAGAAAAATTACAATAAAAATTAAAATTAATGAAGCATAAAAGATGAGATAAAAAATGGATAACATAAAAGGAGAATTAAATAATAAAATCAAATAATAAAATTAGCTTAGTTATTTATGACTACCCAAAAAAACGCGACCTCAAATTGTAAAATTTCGGCAGCATTGAAATCTCTCAAGATTCTTTAAATTTTTTAAAGATTCTTTCAAATTCTTTAAACTTTAAATAAAATTTTTTTGAAAAACTTTGTCAAATCTCGCTGAACTATTTTATCTTATTTTTGTAACGTTAAATTCCTTTCATCTTTATCCTCAGATTCACCAGCAGTCGTTTCACCAAGATCCATAAGAACTTTCCAAATCCATTTTCATTATGTTATCAGATCAATGAACTTCCCAGAATTCAATTATTATCATCATTATTATCATTCGAACTCTGCTTAATTTCATTAAAAATTCTAGCCAATCCTGTTCAGTTTAATTCTATATCCTGAATTTTTCATCTTTACCAACACTCTTCCTCTCCGAGGTACTGTATTATTTTGCCCTAATCCATTAGTAACAACTTCTAGAGATAAACATTAAAACCTTTCAAATCCCTCCTTACCTTTTTAATATCTCTAATACATCTCATTAACACTCGTTAAAGTCTCCTCGCCAAAATCGTAAATTGTAGTTGATAATGGTGTAATAAAGAAATCATTAAATCTCTGTATAATTTTGGATACCTCAATAGTAAATAACGGCCTCAAACTAATAAAATAATAATATATTCCATCTTGAACTGCTGCGCTTAGAAAAATGTTTCAAAAAAATCTGAGTCTTTTTCCTCAAGATCAATCATAACCTTCCAAAAAAAACTCCTTAATTTTTTTCTTTTCCAAACACTCTCTTAGGTCACTCTTTTTTTTAAAACTAGGTAGCGTTATTTCTCAAATTTTCTTACACTGTATTAATTCAACTTTGCCATGACCACAAAACATATGGTGGTACAAAAGTTTCGTTCTCTTTTCTTTTTCGTTTTGTTTTAAACCCCAATATCCTTGAAAAATTCTTCGAAAATATTTTGTGAAATTTCCCTAATGCGCCAAACATGCCATAAAAAAAATGAGGATGCTGAAGAGAATTGACAAGCGAATTATAGCGCATTTGGCAAGTTTCAGTGTTTGGATAGATTCTAAGAATATAACGGAAAGCCTGAAGATAATTCTTCCTATAGGAAATTTGAAATTTGGACTTCCATCCATTTATTTCGGAAATTTGAAAAGTATAGATGGACCAGAGACATATCCACATAAACGATGGAAATAGGAATGACTTCTATTACGCAATGGCGTCGGATCGAAGAGCTTGGAGACATCTTACTCCTATAGCCAGTGAAGCCAGTAACCAGTAAAGGTGAGAGCCATTAAAAGAAAGAAGAATCTCGTAAATTATTGTTAAATTATAAAAGATAAAAATAATGGTAAGAGATTGAAAAAATATAAGCAGAACTATGAGAAAAGGGATATCATCTTAGGAAAGTGGGATGTGAACAACTAATAATATGAACGGTTTTCGTGCAGATGTCAAAAGGAGGAAGCTTCCACTCGTTTTTTTTACCAACTACAAAACAATATGGAATATTTCTCTATCGTTAGTGAAACACCTAGAAAATGCGAAACTCACTTGACCCTGTACTTTATGTAAATCGTAATGAAATCGTGTTGCAGCTTTATTTATTATTTTTTCATTCATTTTTTGCCGTCTTAATCGTTCTTCAGGAGTTAAGGGTACTTCATCCAAATTAAATAAAACATTGTTTCGCGCTTTGCATATCCAGTTATCCAAATCTTTTGGTTTTTCTGTTAAATACAATAAAAGATTACAGAGAGCCATAAAAATCATATTATTCATTGTTTTTTATTTACCTCATTGTCTTTAATCTTAATTTTTCTTCGAATTCACCATGTAATTTTGCATTTGCATTCTTCGCAAATAAATATTTCCATTTCTAATTTTCTAAATTTAAAAAAATTTAAAAATGTAAAATACTTACGTCCAACTTTTTCAGGTGTATTCATAAGCATCAGCTGTTCATCGGCTGCCTTAATCTGTTCATTGGCTCGGGCAAACTGTTCTTTATTATGTTTTTCTTCAGCTTCATACATCCACGCATTTTTATTGCGCTCACGTTTACTGTCTAAGAGAGCTATTTCTTCAAATGATGCATTATCTTCATTTGTGAATTTGTTGACGAACTGATTAACTGTTAATTGCTCGGAAGGTTCTGGGCTTTTCTAAAAATAGAATAGATAAATAATGCATTCAATTGTTTCGGAATTCTTATTTAATTTTATGAAATTGACATGACTTTATCAAAAAGAAAATATAAAAGCGATATTCTCTATTAAAACTTGAATGGATTTATTTTTATTTTGTTTAAGAGATATAATACGAAGCAAAATCAACCTTTTCGTTGTCACCCATTTTATTACAAACATCACTCCTAGTGCTATTCCAAGGCGCATTTCTATATAAATAATTAGAAGAAGGAGTTTCTGGATCGAATAACTCAGGACTATCATGTCTTTCTGGACTATCTAGTGAAGTTGATGAAATTCGCTTATCCATTCGTTTTGTGCTATATAGAAGCTGTAGCTCACGAATTTTTGATAAATCATTTTCAGCTAATGCATCCAAATATTCTTTCTGAGCCTGAAGCACAACAATGAGTGTGGTATAAGATATTTAAATCCCATCAAATTAGAATTAAAATTTATACTAACTTTAAGCATAGACAATTCAGGAAAATAGTCGCGCTGAATAATTTTCTGCAGTGTTTCCACATATTTCTCTTCAGGAAGAACAATTCGAGATTGCTTTTCAGTTTTCAATTTCTTTGTACCAAGAACAGCAATCTAAATATTATTAAATTAACATACGCTAAATTTCAAGTTCGATGCTCTATAGCTGACAAAGCTTTACTAGGCGTTAGTCTAATAGAATTCTATCATAATATTTAACGATGGCCTTTAGAACAAACAAACGAATGTAGCAAAAAAACGCTACTTAAAGAAATATTATTATTCAATTATTGAAATAACCAAAATGATCAGATTATGAAAAATTCAGAATCTTTTAAAATTTACTTACTTCATCTTTCTTATTTACTTATTTCATCTTTCTTCTTATTTTAGGAAAATAAGAAAAATCGTTACTTTATTACGATTTGATGTGCATGGTAAACGATTTATACAGGCATAATCATCACTATCATCAAACGTTGCTTGCCCATTTGTAGTACGAATTGAGTTATCGCTTACATCCATTCAATTTTTATCTACAAATAAGAAAATAAAATGATAATTAGGAAAATTCATCGAGAATCTGCTAAACATATGACCAATAAACTAGCAAAAAAAATGAAATGAATTAAATTCTACACGCAGTGAAAAATATAAGATTTAAAATTTACAAAAAACTATAAATTTGTAAATCTGCAAATTTATTTATTTTTTTTATTTTTATGTAAAGTTTTTTTTTCTATTTTTCATTAGGACGGTTTTCTCTTTTACTTTAAAAATAACAAAATGACTGTAATAAATGGAATGATAATAAATTAAAATGTAGAAAACTACAAATTATCAAAAGTATTTTTTCTAAAAAATATGTGAAATAGAAAAAGAAAGTAAGAAAATGTATAGTGATAAATCAAATTTCAATTTTTTTTATTAAATTTTGCAGGTGATGCTGGCAATTCACCTCTACTTCTACCCTCAAGTAGCGAAATTTGTTTAGCTCAATGGATCGAAGTACCTCAAAATTGTTGCGAACAAGCAAATTTTTATATGAATAAAAAGACCGGTGGCAAGGCTCAGGAGGCAAGATAATTGACAGCGAGAATCGAGGCTCGGCATCAAATCCGCTTCGAAGTACCACTCTTCACCAGGCAATACTATCATCTAATAGAGAAAAATAAAAAAGAGTGGAGTGGCTCAGTGGTGGTTGCTCAATTCGAAGTGCCGATAGTGAAATTCTACTTTAGGAAGACTGCAGTACTTCTGCCGCTAAAAGAGGAGGTCTCTGCCTGGTCAGACAAGCTGATGGAGCGAGTCTAATCAGCAACGGCTCTCAAGAAAAAAACTGGAAAAGAAGTTAAGAAATAACAATTTCGATCGAAAATTGCATCAATTGGGTTTTTTTTCTAGAAGCGTTTTTTTCATTTCCGGTTAAAATCCTTCCGCTGGCTAAAATCAGACGCCAAATTTTGCCAGATGTACACGTGATTCACCAAGAAATGACTTGCGAAAGAAATTCACCTTGATCGTCACCAGCCACTCGGATCTTTGAAAGACACGTGCCCTGGGTAGAATATCGGCACCGCCACACCAAAAAGACACCAAAAACCTACTTAGCCATTTCGACCACTTAATTAAATATTTTTAAATAAAAATTATCAAAAAAATATACAAACACTAACAAAAAATATAGAAATCAATAGTATAAAAATCATTCTTCCCTTTACGACATAAACAAAAATAAAATACACATTGTAGCATGTTACGGCTATCTTCGACCAAAATGATAAAATTCAGGCGCATGGTCGGTATGGTTCGAATATGTGATTGTTCGAGCGTAGTTTAATTGAACATAGCCAAACAATATTACATTCCGAAATGCACTAATAGGTTATGAACTTTGGATCCAGCGAGATGACCTGGGTTTCGTGGTACCATCTGTCCAGTATCCTCGAAAACCCTTCTCTTTCTCCATTATTTACTTCCAAAGCCTCTTAAATCTTCTCATATCACCTTAAATCTCTCTTTCACACGTGATTTGCGGTCTTTTTAAAAACTTATACTACTTATACTTGTACTTATACTTGTCCCTTAATGCGATTATTATATTTAATTGTAGTTCCACAAATTGCGGTCTTTTTAGTCTTGTCATCACTGTATTTTTGGCTATTATTCTCTTCCTAAAATAGGAATTTTTTCCGAGAATCTTTTCTGATTAGACTCGGCTTGTTGGTCCGGACAAATTTTGCCAAGGAATCACTATTGTTGGCGAAGGAAGGTGCCTCTGAACTTCTCGAAGGAGCGGAACTCTTATTTCGAAAGGTTGCGCCATTTCATCTGATATATCCTGGCAAAATGCCTTAATGAATTAGTATCCATCTTCTTCGTAGTCCACAGACTATAAACTAAAGTGATAGCGCTGTGATAAGTGATGCCCGTGTAAATTCCAGTAATATTTCAGCCAACGCCTAGTTAAAATCAGTGCGTCCACATCCGCGAAATCCGCGAAATCAGAAGTTCCAATCGATAAACTTCTTTAAAATTCATCGCCACTCTGTTCATTTTTTAAAATTGAATGGAAAAATTCATTCGATTTAGCACTAATCGTTTTTTTATGGCTTCTAAATCCATACACATGGTACCAGAGAATATTTCCCTGGGATATTTTTGTGTCGTAGAATTCAAGTCGCTTCATTCACATTCATTTATTTTCCAGGCTTATTTTCAGTAACCGCGGATCCTTTTTCTTAAATTTCAAGTTGAAAAATACAATGTTCTTGACGTGATCTGAGTGAAAGGCTTTATGTATGCTTCAGATTCGTAATTTGAAAATTTTTGGTTTTTTAAATTTTATTGCACAAGTCAAAATTCCAGGTTATTATCAATCATTTAGCAAAAGAACTGAAAAATCGGAGAAAAGTTAGAGTGATCAACGAGCAAATGAGAAGGAAAGGATAGAATGGCTCAGTGAGTTGTTGCTTGATTGGGAGCGCCGATGGTGAGGTTCAATTCCCCGCAGGAGTAAAGCTTTACAAAAATCCGGGTGATGCTAGTAACCTGTACTTCTATCGGCAAGGGACTCTCTCTGGCATATTAGTCAATGCGACAAGCCAGTGGAGTGAATAACCAGTAATGGCGAGGACTCTTAAAAAAAAAAAGGAAAAGTGGGCAAAAGCTGGATTTAGAGATTTCAAATTTTTTAGCCAAAATCAAGTTTATCATTTTTTAAAATATTACAATTTTCAGAAGAGCTGATTGCTTGATTTCCAATTTTTTTCCACTTCAATGCCTCCTATCCCACATGATAAATTTTCGCTGTGCTTTTTTTTGGTTTAGTTGTCAAAATATAAATATTCAAAGGTGTGCGCGATTGCCAAATTTGGCAAATGCCAGTTTGGCATTTGCTATGTAAATTTCGATGGGCTGTGGCCAAACCTAATACCGTAATCTTATCCTTTGTCATTCATTCATAATTGACTTTTGCGTAAAGTGATGGGAAATGATACTGTTTTGCCTGGAGGCAAGTTGCACTTCTCTTTATATGAGGTTATTTAAAGTAAAACACCAGAAGAAGGCTCTGCACTATTTTCTATCCGCAATGGAGTCAATTTGCTGTATGGGCTTCGCCCTTATTCTGTCATTGAGCCAATTATAGCACAGAAGGTTAGAAGATTAATACTATTTATCATATCGAGTTGGTTCCAAATTTTTTTATTTTATACAAATTATTTTATAAATTCAGATATATTTTTAAAAAAATTAATTTGTTATAAATATTTAGAATTCATTTTTACAAAATCTTAATTATTTTTATAATTATTAATAATTATTTGCTTTAATATTTTTATAAATATAAATACAAAATTTTAAAATTTATAATTTTAAAATTTTATTTTTTAGTCGTAAAGATTTCTAATAAAATATTAATATTTATTTTATTTAGTATTTAAAAAATTCAGTAAGAGAGATAATAATAATATTAATAATAATAATGATAATAATAATAATAATAATAATAATAATGAAGAAAATTAATTAAAAGATTAGTATAAAGCGATCACAGTTTCTTGGCGCTGAAAAAGAAAGAAATACATACTGGTAATATTATTAGTTGATAATATTAACATTGTAAAGTAAAATGTGAGAGAAGCTGAAAGTCTTTCGAAGTCAGTTGCTATTTGCCTAAGGCTATTCACGCAACTGCAAAAGTTTTCTTCTCAAACTTCTTAATTACTTTATCAATTTATATTATTTGAAACTTTCTTCATTCAATTATCGTCGTATATTAATAATAAGTCGAATTATAATATTTGTTTTCGAATCGCTTCTGAATAATTATTTCCGAATTATTTCTTTAAAAAGAGAGGAATAGTAAATTTTACTGAATATTTAATAAAAAATCAAAAGGAAGAAGAAACCATGGATTAGTAATTTCATGGATATCCATTTACCATTGATCATGGTTATTCAAATTATATTTTTATTGAATTTTGTTTCAATATTTATTTTTGGAAGAGATATTTATGAATGTATGACAAGCTGTAATCATCATGAAAATAATATCGCATTCGAGACGTGTCTAAAAATTTGTTCAAGAGGCGAACATCAACAACCATTTATGATCGCAAATGACGAAATTAAATTGAATCAAAAAAGTCTCGTTTTTTTATTTATTTAATTAAATTTATAAAATTTCATCTTCTGATAATCTAAGATGCTATTCGTTGATAAATTATTGATAACGTTTTCAAAGAAATAATGGAAAATAGGGAAACATTGCAAGCAGCTGCGTGCAACTAGTAAATTCTAATGTTGCTTTAATGAATCAATCTTATTAGCTTATCTTAATAACGGTATAATTAAATATGGAATAGAAAAGCTCTCTTTTTGGTGCACCAATGCTGAAGTTTCAATTCCAGTAGGTGCAAACCTGGTTTCGAGAAATCCATGTGGTACTGATGTTATATACTTATATACTTCCATTATTTCCATTATGAAATTACTCCCTAGTAGAATTTATCTGATCCCACAAGCCACTGAATTAGAATTAATAAGCAATTTCAGAAAAGAAATTACACAAATAAATATTAATTTTATTTATGGCCTCTTTTTTCTCATTAATTAAATTAGAAATCGTTTTAAAAAGTAAAAAAAATTGCAAACTTTTTTTTCAATGGCAATAATTTAGCAAATAAATTTTAAAGTTTTCTTAAAAAAAGAAAAATATGGGAAATTTTTTTGAAAAATTCGAAAATATTTCACATTGCAAATTTAAAAACTTGAAATTTTCTTATTTTTAAATTTTTCTTATTTTATTTTAAATCTATCATTTATTTATTTTTTAATGCATGAAACTCTAATGCATGAAAATTTCAGAATATCCATCGCCACCTTTCAATGTTACTGTAAATACCGATGTAATTATCGCAGAAGTAAAATTTCTTGAATTAACTGTTTTTTGGGATTTCGAAATAGGTTTACACATTCATTGTTTTATCTCTTAATTATTCATTTGTTATTCATTATCAAATTATCAATACATCTTTATCATTTATTAATTTCGAGAACAATTACGAATTTATATGAGATTATTTGAACTGAACTTTAGATTCGAATCGTACTGGATTTTATTTACGCGTAACTGCTGATGATAAATGGTGTGAAAAAGATTTTCCTGGCTATTATGCACATAATATAGGACCAGTAAGTAGATTTTATATCCACTAGAATATTTCTACTAAAATTATTTACTAAAATATTAAAATATTTAAAATATAAATATTAAAATATTTTAAAATATTTTATTGACATATCATTGACGAAAAATGGTACTTTCTATCAGAAAATGAAACTGAATTATAGTTGTTTATTAGATATGTTTATTAAATAGTTAAGCAGTGGAATGAGCTGAGCAGAAAATGGTGTGCGCTCCCGCAAGTCTTGATAATATCGTGATATGATAATAAATTCAAAATCAAAATAAGACTATAAGTTGTGTCAAAGACATTTATATTGAGATTTTAAAGAAGAAAAATTCGGAGCTATAGAACGATTCCTATTTTAATGATAAAAGTGAAGCTATCGATAAATTTTTGCTATATTCTAGCGAAACCTGAAATAACTGAACGTGTCACGTCAGATGATTTTAAATTGAGACAAGATCGCGATTAATCATATTTGTGAGAAACCGCCAGGCTGTAACTATAAAATAAATTCTTAATAATGACTCAATTTATTACTTTTTCTATTAAAAAATGCTCCTCCAATGCAAAAAAAAAATTATTTTGTTCAGTAATAAAGAAGAAACGATGGAATGTTACACAAAAGTTTCTTAAAAGTTATTAGACTTAAGAAAATATTGCATCCATATGGCTATTTAGAATCAAAAATCATTTTTCTAAATCATCTTTTAATTACAATAGTTATTCTATTTAAAAAGAATTCTTCATTAAAAAATGACCGTCATTAGCGGAAGAGTCGAGTAGCTAAAGCAGTCGAGCCAGGACTAAGGTTCTGTCCCTGGTGGGGGTTCTGTCCCACTTTTGAAAAGCCCAATGAAGTTTGCGATGCATCCATATTTCGATCGTCAAGTGACTTCCTCGCCAAAATTTATCCCGACAAATCAGCGGAGCAAATCTAACCAGCGGTGCAGTAATGAGCGTTCTTAAAAGAAGGCATAGCCATTTTGTTACCATTATTATTCCTCTTGTTTTTTTTCATAGCTAACACTAAACTGTAATTAGTAAGTTAGCAATTAACGCATAAAAGTGTGTAGATAATTTCCAGTCATCATTTGTGGCTTTTCTTGACTACACCGCCTACAAAGCTGACTTATTTCCAATCTTCCTGGGTCCAGCTAAAACAAGCCTCATAAATATAGCTCTTGAAGCTCGATTTAAATAATTTTTTTCGTTTTTTCAGTAAAATATCAGTTATAAATTGTAGATTTTTGAGAGGAAGAAGATTTAGATCTTTTATATTCTCGTAAAAAATTTAGCATAAAGCATGATTTTTTATTATAGAAAGAAAAGTCACATATAATACCAATGTTAACAACTGATGGACAACCGTTGGAGATACAGCACCGTTGTCAGTACACTATACAAATGCATTCAAAGCCTTATCCCTATGGTGATCCACAATATGCAGTTATTTTGAAATATACAGTTCCCGAATGTATAAACGACTACTGTGATTGTAGAAGTTAGTTTTTGGATTTTTCCTGCCGATTCAAGTAGCCGACTAACTTGAAGGCTTAGAACCAATTTATTGATTTAAGCTATTCTTTTTTCTAGTTGTCCTTTTATGTATTTCGATATATCACTGATATAATTAGAAGTTTCTCCTACAACACCAAAGTTTTAATTTGGCTTCTTCGCTTCTAGCGCCATCTATAAGAAGGCTTCATATGAAACAATTTTTGTAATTATATGCTTGGTTTTAATAGCTTAAGCTCAAACGAGAATGAAAAGTGATTATATGGTTCACAAAATTTTGAAATATTTGAATTGCCAGTCGGTGTTTCACTTTCGAAATTTATTCAGTAGTTTTCTCATAATTGCTTAAACGACAAAATTGCAATATAAAGGTCAAAACATGGTACCAACTCCTCGAAATGTCCAAATCGTAACTTTATTAAATAGAGAAGGTGGAATCGATGCAATAGTTAATTGGACGTATCCTCATATTGCAAATCGTTCCCATCATTTTCGATTTGACCTCAGCGAAAGGTAATTTTTTTCGATTTTAAACAATAATTAATGGATTGAGTTTTTAAACAATAATTAATGGATTGAGTGAGTTTTTTGATGAAGTTTATTGATAAAAACTGATAGAGATTTTTGTAAAAAAACTTTTGGTTTATACTTTTCCTCACTAAAATACTTTCCAGTCTCTATTTTCCTGATACTTAAATTTATATCTATAAGGCCTATGAGGATGAGACTCTCTTCACCAGAGGATCAAGTAGGGATAGAAGTGTAGATTAGGTCTCTGGAATCTCCAGAATTTCAATTTCAATAGCAGGTTTATTCCCATCAAAATTATGATGATTTATCCTCGAAGTAATTAATTTCCATAATTTCCCATAGTTTCCATTTTTCTGCCTTATCTTATCATTATTAAATTCAAATATTAAAAATTTGCATTTATTATCAAATTTTGCTAATTATATTTTAGATTTCACCACAATAACGCTCATTTCAAAAACAATGACGCTTTTAAATACCGTATAGCTGATATGCCACCACATGTCGTTCATGCTGGAGAAGTAAATTATCATTTACCATTGATAAGCATTTATCATTATTTGAGAGGACAAAGCTTCACCGTTAAATGTTTCATTATAGAAAAGTGACTAGCAAATTCTCGAGAAATTTACAAATCGCATGAAAATCATTGTTTTATAGAATCAGACGACGTTCTCAACAAAACTTCCGATAAATCTGATCGCAAATGAAGAATATAAATTATTGCTATTTGCAATGAATGATCAACTATGTAATAGCGATGATGTTACGGTGATATTTACTGCAGACGATGATCAAGAAGAACCACTTTTCATGACAAATAATAATGAACAATCACTGCCATCATTAATTTCGCCAACATTCTCGAAAAATAATTCAACGAAACCGATGTCGAACAATTATATTCATTCGATTTCAGTCGATATTTGGAATTCAACAATAATTGAAGACCTCAAAAAACCTCAAAAAATAAATACATATTCTATAAAAATAAGTAGTAGTTTAATGATTTTTTTGCTTATTGCTGGATTTTTATTGATGACAATAATCGCCAGCATAATGGTAATATTTATTTGGAAAAAATGCTACCGTGATGATAAATCAAAAATTGAAAAATCAGCAATTATACCATGGGCTATGGCTAATTCAAGGTAGAATATTTTATCTTGATAATTAATTAATCAAATTGAATATGATAAATATGATAGTCAAAAAGTCTAAGGTTGCCTAATTCTGTCATAGATTCGGCCTATCATTAAAAGAAAACTCGAGTAGTGCTGGAGATCCACCTGTATTTTCCCTCCTCCAGCAAGAATTCTCTAACGATAGAGTATCGCATCAATTAGTGAAACTAGAAAATGCTATATTCACTTATCATAATAGCGTTTTTATTTTATTTTAAAAAAATTGATAATTTTTGAAAAGTTAAACTTGGTTTAATATAGAATTGCAGCAATATGAAATTCTAAAGAATCAGACAAGCACGAGTTATATTTTGCATATTTTTATTTTATTCTACATTTTCTATAGTTTTTAAATTGAAGACGGAATGCAGACGAAATAAATAATTTCAATAAATGATAAATGATAAGTGTGAATGATAAATGATAATATGAATGATAATATTGTTTACTACTTAATTAATCTTATAATTTGAAAACAACCGGAAATTTTACAATTGAAATTTATATTATTGTTTTCTAAGATAGAAAGCAGAGTTGATTAATTTCACCAGTATTCAACTAAATAATAAATAATTATATTCCTCGTGAAAAAATTTGATATATTTGCAGTCATTCGATGCTGGAAACAAATATTCTATATAGGCGTGTAGATCCGACTTTACAAAAAATGGATATTGAAATTCCATTCAATAAAATTCAAGTTGGTGGAATTATTGGCCAAGGTGAGGTTGGATTTGCTATCTTGTGCGTATCTTCAGCTTTCTCGCTTGTTGATATATAAAGCCAAATGATTACTTCTTGGCTTGTCGAAATATTATGATTCACAGTGGTATATAACAACTAAGCGTAGAACTGAGAGTTTCAGGTTTCTGAGGCTGCTGTATCGATAATGCTCTATTTTCATCAAAGTATTAAAATAAGAGAGGAATTTTTGTACGTATTAAAAATATTTCCAGGTGCTTTTGGTTTAGTATGCATGGGAACAGCGAGAGGTGTAGAAGGTTATTCGGGTCCAACAACAGTTGCAATTAAACAACTGAAAAGTAATGCAGACGAAATAGAACGAAGAGAATTTCTTGGTGAAATGAATATTATGAAACAGGTTGAATTTTTTACATGAAAATTTTCATTTTAAGCCACTATTTGGAAGCAAAATTCCATTTTAGCTATTTGTGAAACCTCTGAATTTAAAAAAAGATAAACTAGCCAAAATTTCTTATTAATATATGCTACATTATATTCTGTAAAATCTGCAGTTTTGTCCAGTTGTTGGACGTCTTTTTCTTGAATTATGAGCCATTATGTTTTATTTATATTCGTTATAAAAGGTTGGACGTCATCCGAATATCGTCGCGATGTACGGTTATTGCACAGAACCAAATCATGAATGCATGTTAATGGAATATGTTCCATTTGGTGATCTCAAGCATTATTTGCAGAATCTTCGTAAGCAGGTTTGGTGCTACAGTTTGATAAAAAGCTTTGGTTTGCAGATTGATAAGAATCATTATTGATAAAACCAATGTTAATGATGATATAATGATAATGATATTGTAATGCATTACCATTTATTGAAATTACTGAAATGTCTCAGCAGGGATAAAATCTGGATTTTAAGCTGGATCTAATATGGATTTCGCCAATTAGAATCTGTTGATAAATTAAAAATCACCATTCGGAGTGCCGATATTGAAATTCTGTTCCTCGCAAGAAAAAACTGTCCAAAAATCCGGCGATGCTGACGACTACCTGTAGTATTGTAGTATTGTCGCCAAGGAAATTCCCTGGCATATTTGCCTGGTCCACAAGCCAACGGGGGGAGTCTAACCAGTAATGATGAGTGCTTTCAAAAAAAGCACTAGAAAAGGATGGCGAACAATAAAACTTTCCATCAATCTAGTTAAATGCATGCGGTATGCGATTTATATCTCTTTTTCTGAGAACACTCACCATTTTTGGTTAGGCTCAGTCCACTGGCTAGTCGAACTAAACAAATTTTGCCAGAAAATCTCTTGATAATGAAAATATAGGTGATCATCCGGATTTGCCAAGAAAAAAATACCACCATCGATTCTCGAAAACATCTGCAAGAGCCCACAGAAATATTCTGTTTCAGGCAAAACTCAAAAATGAATTGTAAATTTCATTTATTTAACCATTTAAACGTTTGATCAAGCCTAACCCTATGTAATCCTATGAAGAAATATGGCCTAGGGGCCTATAAAAATTCTCTCAAAAAAGGAAGAATTATCATAATTATAAGAAAATAGGGTCATAAATGATGGGTAAATGTCTCTGTAGAACAAATTTTTCAGCTTGATGTAGCTTTACTTAACATGAAGTCTTCGCTATACGTTCGAGAAGCACCATCCTTACCACCATCGCTTCATTCGTCATTTATTTCAAATGTGGAAGATCCATCGTTGCCTTCTTCTGATCTTTATCATCTCGATTCGCATGAACTTCAGAGTTTTGCCGCACAAGTCGCTAATGGAATGGTAATTTATTTAATAATTTTTTAGCTGAATATTTTAATCATTATCTGCACTGAAGATTTAGTCGAATGATCTCGTTGAGGACAATCAACATGGTTTTGATTCCCTTAAAAAAATCTCCAAAACTGGTCACTAAAAGATTCCCCTAAATATCTCTTTCTTTTCATTAATGAATTTTTGGTAAAAAAGAGTCATCGAAACATTTTATTCTAATAATTACCGCAGATTCCAGCAATTTAATTCAAATATCTTCAAATTTCTCAGAAAACGAAAGAAAAATGCTATTTTTGACGTCGATCTCCATCTTCCAGTCTTGTTGGGCCTAAATAGCGGGACTTTCCACAAGTAGTCGGAGATCATTATGTAATAGTTTCCTTTAACTTCATTTTTCCACTGGCTTTTTTCCAGATTCTTTCTTCCTTTATTGGTGCTATCATCTTATTATTAGAAACCTTCAGTTAATAATTAATAAACCACTGAGGCACTTATCTCTAAACTGATGATTACTGCCATATCATTTCTTCATTCATTGATTGTTAATTGATAATTGCTGATAAGCTGATTGTTAATTTGAACCGTATTTACGATTTACGACCTCAAAATAGCCTTTTTGCTTTCGCCATTTGGCAACATGAGATAAAGGACAACTCGAAATTGCTCTCATCAATTCGCTTTCTTAATTTATCCAATTTTAAAATTATTTTCATTCATTAATAATCATTGCTCTATACTGCTGGATCTCTCATTGAAATCAATTTATTTCAGGCGCATATCGAATCATTAGGAATCATTCATCGCGATTTAGCGGCGAGAAATATTCTTGTTGGTCGTTCGAATCAGTTGAAAATCAGTGATTTTGGATTATCACGGCATGGGGTATATGTAAAAACAACAAAAGGAGTTATACCTTTAAGATGGCTATCTATCGAAGCGATACAACGAAATATTTATTCCACTAAAAGTGATGTTTGGGTAAATAGTTTAATTTCGATGTTTCGATATAATTTCAGCTTTTTTACAACCAAATGTATTTAGGTGATAACACGTGAGAAAGCGTGAACTATGAACCTAAGAATCTTGATTACATAAACTAGAAATGGAGTTTGTACCTATGACATCAGCGAGTACAGTATTTCAGGCTTATGGTGTTGTGCTTTGGGAAATCTGTACTCTTGGTGGATTTCCTTATCCAACAATAAGCGATAAAGATATTCTGAAATATTTGCAACTAGGAAAACGTCTCGAAAAACCACCTTCTTGCAGCGAAGATATGTAAGAAAACGATATGTTTCGCGTTTCAAATTTTTTCCGTCGTTTATAGAAGCCTTCAGTTAACTCGTTATTGGCTTATCAGAGTTGCTTGCAAAAGCCTAAGGCCTAAGCTGTATATTGGTGTTTTCGCCCAAATTAAAACCTTCATGATAGGTGTCAAGAGATAAGAAATCGAACCTATAATGATCGCCAAGTTGAAAAAATTTCTGTCTGTCCCAATAGCGAAAGGAATTAGCCCAACCAGGAATGATAAACTCACCTAATCTATGCCAATATATAGGACACGCATTGATATCAGCGAGAAACAGACGTCAATTTGAAAATGCCTTAAAGCGGTAATATAATCCCCTCCTTCCCTTATCTTCTCTTATCATTCCGCAAATTATCTGCACGACCAACTTTACTGAAAATTAGAATAATCATTCTTCAGATATGAACTGATGATGCAATGTTGGGCAGAAAATCCAACAGAACGCCCTTCATTTGCCTATTTATGCGATCATTTAAATGATCTTAATAATCAACAAAGTCTATATGTAGAATTTATTACGAATGAACAGCTTCCTCCACCAGGTTCGTTAAATTCATCAAAGACTGAGAGAATTGAAAGAGAAAAGTGATAAAACTTACCAAAATGGCCTAAAAATTAATTTAACCATGGCTAAAGTCAAAATATTTTAATAAATTACGTTTCGGCAATGATCATTTTCATCTAATTTTTATAATCAATCTTTTTCTTTATCTGCAAATAGATTAAGTTATGGATTCTTAATCTGAGGTAGGTGAAATACTTTTCTTCCTATCATATGTTAACTATTTTTCTTTATCATTTATATATTATTTTATAAATCAAAATATAAATTCATGGATCCCTTCAAGAATGACGAATTCCTATCAGGCTGCGAAAGCTGTTCATGAAGGAAAAAAAAAGAACCTCTGATTTAAATAATTAAAATTACTAGATATGATAAAATATGCGAAAATAAATTCAATGGAACTAAATAATACTGATAAATTATTTAAGATGGCTACTGCATTTTATCAGACAGACCAGCAACGCATGCACAATCATCAATAATGGATGATGATATGGAAAATCATAACGAGATGGGCTGAACCGATATCCGATGCCACAAACAAAAACTACGTCCACTGATGTTGATAATATGCATATTTTTGATTTTTTCGGTCAATGATTAGCAAAATCCAAAATCAGATAACAGCAAGAATAAAAAAAAACATTTGAATATTTAAAAATATTCAAGCATTGCTGGATTTAAAATATGTAATATTAATGTATATATTAAATGTATAATTGCTTCATTTATAAAATGTTTAGAAATAATATTTACTAACAACTAACAATATTCAAGGATGTAAATTTTTTAAGTTATAAGTTAATGCACTAAAAAACAAAGCCATCATTAAATGTATATTTTTGAAAAAGATCATCCATAGTGATAACTTCAGCACCAATAAAATGTTCCTTAACTTCATTCAATTTCGAAATCGGCACAACGATTGCTCTTGAACATTGTTTTTCATTAAATAAAGCGTGGAAATAGGGAACAGCTCGATGTTTTACTTCATCCGACTTCGCGTACCAAATATGATTACAAAGTTCGCTAAAAATTTCTATAAAATATTACCCCAATTAGCCGTTTCTATTGCGCAGCAAATTATTACCACCAAAACTATATTTAATATTTAATAAATAATATAAAATTACAAATAAAAAATACAAAAATAGACGAAAAAATTACCGAACAAAAGAGTCATTTCTACCGTGCAGTAAATTATAAATTCGCTGCCTTGTCGCCTTGAATAATGTATCTTCTTTCTCTATTATTTGACATATCAAGCTTCTTTTGGCGGATTCAAATTTTTCTTCACAAATATCATTTTCTAACGCCAATAACTGTGAAAAATTTTTTGGTTAAGACCACATTTTTTAAATCACAGCTTTAATATTATCATAAAATAAGAAAGAAATTTTTAGCATTGAAAATTTATCTCAAAATAACTCAAAATTAAATAAAAAAAATTCTTGCACAACACAAATATTTGGTTAAAATATTACTGTTGCATTTTTCGCAGCTTCATAAGCCGTGACAATCTGCGAGCTTCGATACAACAGAAAGCGAATTTGACTGTCCAGATTTAAAGTAATTCTCGCATTATATGCAAGACCTTTACTGCGAATTTCACGCCACAGAATACCTTCATCTTGTGATAAATATCCAGCGAACAACAAAACGGACATATATTCGTCCATTCGCCAATTATGATTAAATCCAATCACCTTAAAAACTGAGAAATTTTCTTCAAAAATAAGAGGCAGTAACAAATGAGAAGTGCGAATATTTTTAAAAAATATAGATAAAAAATAAAATGACCTGATACATGAATGACGAATCAATACATCCCATAGCCAACAATTTTTGTTTGGAAAGACTATTCGTATTTTGAAAAATAGCAGGTGTATCCTTAAAGTTAAACCAAAGTATAATTTGATTCACTTTAAATTCATTCAGCCATTTAAGCCAGAAACCACCAAACTTAGCTAATAAATTCCTAAAATTCATTAATATCACGATTGTATGAAATATTTGAAATTACTTGAAATGAAATCTTGCCATCACGGTTGACCGAAATATTATGTATTTGTTGTAAATCTTTCAACTTTTCAGCCTCGTCGAGAAAATTTTCACTACAGTCTATATGTATATTTAATGGTGCATTCAGCAAGCAACTACGAGCTTTTTTGAGTTTTTCAATTATCTGAAAAGTAAAAAAATTAACGAAAATTAATAAAACAATAAATACAAAATATTTTTGAAATATGAAAAGCATAGAGATTATAATAACGCATTTTGTCAACAGTTTTTCTTCATTTTTCTGAAATTATCAGCAATTTTGTATACGGAAAATTTGAGACAAATAAATACCAGTGAATTATCTTCCGAGAAATGATTGAGTACTTCTTTATAAAAGTTGTTGAGAATCAACGGCGAAGTTAATCGATGATTGCTATCTAAAAAATAAATCGATATGATGCAAAAATAAAAATATTATTCAAAAAGAAAATAATAATACAACTAGTAAATATTTTTCATAACCGACTAAACTTTTGTAAAATAACAATGAACTAAAAATCTAAAATCAGTGAGATAACCTTTTTTATAAAATATATTATCGATAAGAGAGTGGCAAACGACATCGCCCTCGAATTTTAATGAATCATTTTCTGCAATCAGAGTTTTTAACAATATTTTGATTCGTTCATCATCAAAAAATAATTCCTTGAAGATTATTTGAACCCACTTTTGCAGATTAATGTGATCTTCTTCTAATGCCTGAAAATTACTGCTGTTTATAATAAGCGAATTTTCTATGAAGAAATGCCAAATTTTTTTCGTTCTTCTTTTTAAAATCTCTACTGGATTGAAAATTGGTTCGAGAAATGTAAAACTAAAAAACTCACCTCCAACATCAGTACCAAATAACGTTTATTATTACTAGAAATCCCATAATCAAATCCGTAATTGCTAAGGTCTTTCTGGCGCCAATTGGTAAGTTCATCATAGGGAATTATCTAAAACAAGAATTAATTTCATCAAGTTAAATCGATGATAATGGGAAAAAATTGAGTTATATTAAAACAACCTTATCATCCACCATAGCCGAACTTGTAAAAACAAGCCGAGTGAAAACCTCAAGCCAGACACGTGTTTCAAACGAAATATCTATAGTATCCCAAATTAAATATAGCTAAAAATAAATTTCGTAAAAAAGAATCCAACTTCTGAAAAAAATGCATATATGAAACAGTAAGGTGATAAAGGAATAAACAAACGAATAAATAAAATACTAACACGGATAAATTTTGAAGAACACTCGTGCAAATAATACATAAAAGGCGTATTTCCAAAAAACGAATGATCACGGAATGTATTTATTCGGAAAAGTTCGAAATTGTCCAAATCATTAACGGTGAAATGAGTAAGCTCCGTACATGTTGGCTCATTTACCTACAAGATTCATTAAACAACCAACTGATAACCTTATTAATTTCATTTATTAATTTCTATGAATATTTGTAAAAAGCAAAATTTAAAAATGTTAAAAACAAGATTTAAAAACAAGAATATCAAAAAAATTAAGAAAATTAATAGATATAACGATTAGATAAGAAAGAAAATAACAAATTACCGAATTTACATAAACTGCTTGCTGTAATTTTTTATCACATTCTAGCAAACCACTTTCTCCAAGATCTTCGCGTTGTTTCTCAATTCGTTTTGTTTCCTCAAAAAATTAAGCCATTAAAAAAATATCTATGGAAAATAAGCATAACTATTCAGAAAAAATTGTGTAAAAAACACAATTTTGTTATATTTTAAAAATTAAGTCAATTATATTTTGCAAAAAATTAAGATAAACCTTTTAAAAATTGAAATTGAATCAAGTTAAAAGTTGAATTTGGTCAAGAAAAAGCATAATTTCAATTTCAATAAAGCATTTTAAAAAACATAAAATTTTCAGATATCAGATGAATGATACCATCGTAACTTTTTTACCACTTTCAATAGTACACTCATCATAGAATTTTGTAATTAATAAACTAAACTACAGTGATTTTTTTTTTAAAGATAAGATTTTTTTAAAAGAGTCCTCATCATTAGTGGTTAAACTCGCTCCGCTGGCTTGTCGCACTGAACAAATATACCAGGGAGTCGATAGAAGCACAGATGAGTCGCCAGCACCACCCGCATTTTTGGAAAGTCTTACTCCTGTGGGGAATAGAACGTCAGTATCGACACTCAGAATTAAGCAAGCCACTGAGCCATTCTATCCCCAAACTACAGAGATCAATTTAAAGCAATGGTTTTTTCCAAAAACAAGCACGATTATTTGAAAATAAAAAATAAATTAAGCAATAAATGAAGTTTCAACTAGCCTTTTCTGCTGCAATATTCGCCTCTTCAATTGAAGGATAACCAATAATACATACACAAGAAGTATTAAGATATCGTTTTACTAGATTTGCCCAGAAATTTGGTGGTTCATTTAAAAGTCTGTAAAGAAAGAAAATTTCACTTAGAAAAATTTGCAGGAAAAAATTTTTGATTTCTGAAATCGAACTTCTTTAAAACGACAGGGGAATTCAATCGAGCATCAAGTTCTTCGCCAGTATTGCCATATAACTGATGAAAAATTAATGAATGAGATACTGTGTCAACGATGCTACTTTCCAGCTGAAATAGACAAACAATACGAGCAATCTAACACAAATAGTATGCTGTTGCTTCTTACTCTATTTTTATCTACTTCTATCTACTTAATTGCTGAATGCAATGATAATACCAGTCGAAATGGATATAGATGGGTTCCAAAAATCTCAAAAACTTCACTTTCAATTATTTCCTCAAAAACTAAAAATCAGAACTATTATCATTGAGAGAAGCAATATATGAAACTCAAGCAATTCGAATTTTACTAAAAAAAATTGATAAAGGAATAACCTGCGAAATACAATCACGAATATTGTCATTGATAATAACTTTCATTCGCTCCATATTAAAATTATTGCCATCACAATGTTCAACGATTGTTTTCGAAAATAACCTGCAATTACGAGTTATTTATAAAATGATTATAAATTAACAATGCCAACAAAAGTAGCAGAATGAACGAATACCTATCTTTAATGAGAGGTAATTTTGCAATGGGCACATTACCGAACTGAAGTAATAGCTCCGACTGAGGTCTTTCTACAAAACTGAAATCTACAGTGCCAGCAAACGAATCAGTAAGTTGGATAAAATCCCTCTCCAATGGAGAAGCGACAGTACTGCCCAAATATTCGATTAAATTATCCAGTGCAGATGCTCTATACAAATCCTTCAATGATCACATGAAACAGCGTTGAATTTCCAAAAATATTGAAGAATTTTTTTGATAATATATAAAACTTACGATTTCATCTGCAATAAACCATGATATTTGAACTGTTCCATTATCTTCATCATCTGAAGGATATTTGATAACTGCTTCACGATTTCCATCAATTGGCGGATATTTGTTTTGAAAGGGTTTAGAAAATGTATTGGGAATATGTTGCATCATTTCACTTTCTAAAATAAAAATTCAAGCGTGATAAACGATAAGAAATTTGAGATAAGAAAATTAATTTAATTCAGCGAAAAAAAAAACTTACCAACATTTGATAAAGCTTTCAGAATTGCAGAACTATCAACAATACCGCAAATAATGATTAATAAATTGTTTAGATGGTAGAAATGTTTATGAAACTGTCGCACCTTTTCAATTGTGCAAAAACGAAGATTTTCCAAACGACCCCCAGTTTCCACTCGATATGGGCATCCTAAATAAATAAACTATTACGAACAAATTTTAAAAATAAATAATAGAATTACAATATATTACTGTTATCTCAACTATTCAGAAGAAAAGAATGTGAAATAGTCGAATCACCTTCCGGATACATCAGTTCTCGACGTTTTCGATCAATTATAGACGTAAAATCCGATTCTACGTCTTGCATTTCACAATAAACTACTCCACCATTATGACCGTCACCATTTATATGATGTACTTCAGTGAGAAATTGAGAATCCTATCGAATAAACAAAATTTAAAAATTTTAAACTTTAAAAAATTTTCCTTAAATATATCAACAGTCTTCGAATTTAGTTAGCTTCATTGATTATCATAATGAAATCATTTTATCAATGATAATTTGAGAATATATCTTTGGTCACATGAAATTCGTTCTTAATGACTAAATAAAAAGACTATCAGGAGAGAGGAATCAACATTTAATTGCACCTAAGACCATACACGAATCAACCAACCATTCTGCATGTTTCTGAATTTTTATTATTCATTTCACCTTTCCTAAACTGAATTTTAAAAAAAAACTGAGGTTCGCATAGTGATGTATCATATTATTTCTTATATTTCATTGTGTTCCATTATGTGCAGTTGAATAGTGAAAAATCTCCTCAAAATGCTACTTGAATTACCATCTGAAGAATATCTGCGATACATTCTAAAAATCTGCTAAACAGCAACAATGAAGAAATAATCAAGAAGCGCTGAATATGAATGGATGCACCAGCGACAATATTTTAGAAGTAGCGATTTCAACAATACTAACAATATTACTTGAAAACTTAAAAAAATTGATATAAAAACTTTCTACGCTCCACAGCTAAAGTTGATCGAAAACACTGGATGATAGCTGAAAAAAAATAGATTATGTAAAGGAACAATTCCGTTATCTCACATAAGCCTCTTGAATAATGTAAACGTTTCAACAATCTTTAACAGTGCTTCACTTTTTTTCTGGAAGAAAAATGACTTTTGGAAAGACTTTTGGTCTTCAGCAATGAAAAGTGGGCACCATCTGAAGAGTACCTGCGACATTACACACTCTATGAACCTGTTAAAATAGCAATAATGAGTAAATATATCAACCCAATCGTAAATGCTAATGGCTTTATTATCAGCAGAAATATAGGCAATAATCTTTAAAATTCACAGCTTCAGAATTTAGAATTCATGGCACAATTTATTTATCGTATTTTTGGTGAGAATATAATTACCAGCTAAAAGCCTATCACATTTTCTGATATTCACTGCAAATTTGTCTCATTCGTCTTTAAGAACAAATTTCATCGCAAGTGACTGTAACATTTAATATAAAAGGAATGTACGCTCTGAAAAATACTTGTCGAAAAATCAATGAGACTAGCTCGACTTCAGCTAACTTATAGCATTCATACTAACTCTTCTGATTTTCTTTTGTTCAGTTTCAGTTCTTATTGATTATTTACGATTTTATAAAATTTTTCTTTTAAAGATGAAATGTGAAAGGTATTTGGAATCATCTAAGGACGTAAAATTTGACAAAAAAAATTAATTGGTTTTTAGATGGGAAAATGTTTTAGAAAATGATCGTAGATATGTGATTCATCATATTTTTGGCAAAAATACGACGCTAATAATGCATTGAAATAATAAATAACAAATTCAATATCAAATTCAATATACCAATATAATGATCTGTGATAACAACGTTATCAGCGAAAAATATCTAAACGTACCGTTAACGTTGGCGATAAAATATAACGCATATATGTAGGAAAAGCTTTCAGGAATCCTTTATTTCCCACCTTAAAAACTTTTTCTAAAAAAGTTAAAACGAACATGCAAAAAAAGCACACAAGAAAATTTAGCCAAACAGAAATAAACTGAAATTATTACTTTAGAAAAAAATTAACAATTATTACCACAGATAATAAAATAATTATGCAAATAATTTAATGCAAAATGTGAATTTAATCTTTATGGCTAATTTAAAAAATAAAACTAACCGTGGATAAAGTATAAGCCGTATGATCTTGATCAGTCCATGCATTGGATCCAGCAGCCAAACAACGATTGGCTAGTAAATCAAAACTGTAAGGATGATGGTGACAACCAGTAAAAACAAGATGTTCAAGTGTATGAGGTAATCCATCGTTTGTATTTGTTTCTGTCACTGAAAAACAAAATATCAAATAAAATTATACAAAAAAATTATTGAAAAAACAAAATTATAATACTAATAAAATAATTGAAAAACCAAGAGAAATAATTCCATGAACAATGGGACCCGGAACATCTGCAAAAGCCACATTCAATTTCGAACGATTTGATGCATAAATTTTTAAGGGAATTTCATCAAAAATTTTTATCTCGTTTATTATTTTCCATAAATCATCTGAAAAAAAAGAAGTTAAAAATTTTCAAGAAAAAAAACCAAAAAATTCTCAAATAATATGTAATTTAAACGATGATATTTAAATTGTTCCAAAAAATTGAATTAAATTTGAAAATATAAAATTAAATTTAATTAATTTAGACCGAATTCTTCAAGAAAATCCTTCAAAATAATTTAATTAATTTTCAATTAATTTATAAAATAATAATTCAAATTTAATAATTCAGATAAAGTTTTATTAAAATCGGTGAAAAGAAATTTATCGAATTCATCGAAAGAAGTAAAAAAAGTAAAAGAAGTAAAAACTAGTAAAATTCTCTTTGACAGCAATTATACTCATTTTATGGCAAATAAGAGAAGAATAGTAAAATTGCGACTCATTTTGAAACGATTCGAAGATGTAATTCGCTATAAACTCAAAGCAAACTCCTTATCTGTTAATTAAATCATATATCTAATCAGAAACTTACGATTGGAACCAAAATTTTGTCGATGAATTGCCGATGCTGCGAAACAATTTGCTGAACGCTGCATTATTTGTAATCGTAAAGCAATTGTACTTGTAATACGCTTTAAGAGCATAAAAAAATTTCCTGTTTATAGAAACATTCCGATTCTTTCAACACCAATGATAAATAAAATTCACCTAAAAAATTATATAATTTACAATTTTATTAATAATTTCGCTAAATTTTATATATTCTCTAAAGAAATTATTCCACAAACTTCGCAACCTATTTCCAAAGATTCCTTATATTTATAGACAAAAAACTTTGCCATATGATTAGAGCAAATCAATTGTGCATCCAACCCGAAGTATCCTGACAACTACTCTGACATCAAGAATCAACCTATTATAACCTATTATACATTTTAGGGAAAATCTTCACCCTTTTTCTGTTGACATTGAAAATTACAGTATTGTAATAAAAGATGGTATAGTGCACCCTAACCAAGATGAATTTAGACCAGCGTAGATATTCATGCTAAGAAGGTTATTGGAACGCTGTTTGTTTGTTTCAAAATACACATCATTACCTCTTCAAATAGTTCTTAATTGTACTCGTTAGGATGTTTTAGCTGTCTATAAGGATTAAAACGTTTCCAAGGTGTTCGATCTGACGCCATCGTCTAAGTCCATATATCACTGGGCTTCCTATACGTTCAAAATCTTTCCTGACTGTATAAGTCCAGGCTTTGATTGGCCATCCTCGCTTTTGACGATATCTATCACATTGTTTAACGAAATATGGATCAATTTTTATGTTGAGCGACGAAGAACATGCCTTAACCAATGAAGGCCACTATATATATTATTATATTATTAATGAAGATGGTAACTGAAGAAGACGAATGGAATCATGCGCAATTTTATTGGCACAGTGAATGAAATGTATATCAGATGTAAATGTATAAATGTATAATAGATATGAGTGGAGTGAATACACATATCTTAATATCCTTTAATCTCATCGACCATATCTCCATATGATCGATAGAATTGCTATATGGACATCGACTTTTCGACTTTTTACGGTGTGTTTATGATGACGACTCCATAAAGGCTCCGTCAAGAGGAGTGACGAATTACGATTGTAATTTCGTCTTTTGACTGGCCATTTGGGATTAGAGTGGAACTAAAGTATTTAATTAAATCGAGCATTTTTTCAACCGGTAACGAATTTGTAAAAATAGATATATTATCAGCTTCTTGTATATAAGACGAAAAAACTTCGTTTTATTTGCATTGATTCTGAATTCCATTCTCGCTGGAGTTGTGGGTTATTTAGCATTTCCTCATAGCTATCAACAAAAAAGACTATATCATTAACGTATTCAAGATCTATAGTACTGTGCTCTGGACCTGCACACCATGCCGACAAGCGATGTCCATTATCCAGCTTATTACATAGAATGCTGGAAAGGACGCAGCCTTGACGGATACCAGTTCTTATTTCGAAAATGTTTGCCAGCTCCCTACATACACAGATTTCTCCCAACGTATGCTGATAAAATGCCTTTATCAGTCGAATGATCTAAAATAACTGCGAAGTCGACGAGATACATAACGAGCCTATCATCACTTTTTTAAATAATTTCATAGTTGCCTTCGATTTAGTTGATAGTGCGACTTATAATAATGGAATAAATCCTTTCGAAATAAAATTTATGTTATTTCCTCTACAATATTCCGTAATAGAATAAGAGAATTCAAGAAACGATACATCAATCCAGAACAGCTTAGATCTTAGAAAAATATTAGACCTTGGAAATTTTGATGCATTTCTTTCTGTACAGCGATAAGGAGCAAATCTATGTCGTCTATGTCGCCTACAGTAGTGAAAATAATGATCAGCGATCAAACGAGAAGGTAAGAAAATACAATACCTATTTTTATAAACCCACAATTGCTTGATGAAGAATCGTATTTCAAACATTTACATCCAATCATATACCAAATGACCAAGAGAAATATGAAATTCAAACCCTGACAGTCGCAACGAAAAATGCTATCTTCTCTCTCGCGAACCAACCTAGAAATTTCGAAGAAGCTTCGCATTTAACCGACAGTAGTGTATCGACAATAACAAATTCTGCTCAATGAAAATAAGATGAAAGACCTATAAATCAGATGCTGATAAAATACATATTTTCATTAAAATATCACGGGCTGGGAAACGCCAGATTTTAAATATCTTTAGTCCACTCTAAGTAGTACCAAAGCAACAAGCTAAAGACAAAGTTGCAACCTGGATAATCGCAGAAATGATAAGGCTTGATAGCTCTTTCGCCTAATGAACTTATGCTATCACCATCAAAACGAAATGTTCGTATTTACAGCAGCAGTACATGATTCTATGATATAGGAGATCTACTTATATGTCTTTGTCAGCTATGTTGGACATACTCTCGTCATCCTGCTCAGGAACTGATAAAAACCTAGCTGCCTGCTAAATCTCTCCCTATGATGAATGGCATCAAAGGCAAGAAGAATCAATTAAGACATGGAGTAGTGATAGTGATACATATATATCAGGATAACCAGGAAAGATTCTAGCTCCTCACCATTACAGGTTAAACTCATTCCACTGGCTTGTCGCATTAGATATCAGGGAGTCCACTGGCGATAGAGACACAGATGAGCAGCTAGCAACAACACCCGGATTTTTTGAGAGGTTTACTCTTAGGTTATAGATGGATATATTGGTTTAGACAATGGACGAAGGAATAGCTCCCGTTAACGACAGTATCGGATCGAACAACTTGTAAATACCTTGCTCATGTAACCAACAGAGCTAGCGTAATGTACATACTTTTCACAGCTATATGCCCTGCTATAATCAATGGAATCAGGGAATTTAACTAAGAAATTGCACCATGTAGACACAACCTTATATAATCGCATCCACCTCGGCACGAACATCGTTTCCATTAATGAAATTGCAATGCAATGTCGCTGGTTAGGCTACGCTCTTCGCTGACCTTATGAGAAATGATATCTCGCAATATATCAACTTTATAAAGGATGTAGAACATGGCGGATTGGCCAGAACTGCATTGATATGATCAGGATTCAAACTTATAGATGGATCAACAATGTATGGGCTTAGACAATGGAAGTACAATGGAAGTACAAGTACAGGTCCAAACCTCCGTCGCAAAAAGAGTTGGATCATTAAACATTTGTGCTGCACTGCCGCTTGACCTGTCTATTTAGGTATGGTACTATATAGAGAGGCATTCTGAAATACCTCACTATCGCTATAGCAACTTGCACAAGTACCAACTGTAAATGCAGAAGAAGAGAGGAGGAGGAATTTCCTACGGGTAGGCGATATCTGTATAGATGATTACCGCCTGGCTTCCAATATCCATAAGCGTTTTGAGGTTCCATACGAGTGGGACCTACTCTTTCCGAGAAAAGTACCACGCGTTCCCCTTAGACCATTCAAATGAATTTAAGAAATCAACGACCAACAAACACAGACGATAACAACGACGAAAAATACGATAATAAAATGGAAAACATCGTCTGAATATTGGCCATACTAAAATTCGGCCTCGGCTCATCGTCAATTAATTTTACGAAGTTTGATTTGAAAAAAGTTTGGCAAGTTGTGGTGAATATTGGTTCTCTGGTGGTGCAATAGCGATAATTTGTCTTTTTTTCTGGGAAACATAATTGTTAAATATTTTAAAATATTTAATTTATTGTAATTTATTGTAATTATTTTAAAATAAAAAAGTTATTCGACTATTATTATGGTTATTTTTATTTGTAAAATTATTTTTTTATTAATTTTTAATTTGAATTTAATAAATGGAAATTTGGAAAATCATTTCGATAAAAATCATATTGAACACGTCGAGAAGAATATTTTTCAACGCAATAATAATTCAAATGAGAATAAATATTTTTACGAAATGGACGAATCGAAAATGTGTTAGTTTTTTTTATTTTCCTTTTTTTCGCTTATTTACCAACTTTTTTGTTTGTTTGTTTTTACAAATAAATCGTTTGTTTACTTATTTATTTATTTGTTTATTTTTCTCAATTAAATAAAATTAAAATAGAAATATAAAATATACAGTAAAAAAATAAAAGCAGCCCGAAATGCTCTTTGTTTGTTATTTATTTTTAATTTGCGATCTCATAGTGCTTGTCTTTTTTTATTAGTATTAAAAGCTCAGTACAGCTCAACGGCTGGTTCGAAAGCTCATGGTAGATCTATACTTTCGCTATGTAAATTTTGGTATAACGACGATATTCACAAGCAACTCATAGTGGCTTTTGCTTCCATTGTTGCCTGTGGTACCAGCCCAGGCTAAACGTGGTGGATCGGCATCGGCTGAACTCGAGACGAGCGACCATTCTCGATTTTTATATTGTCGAAAACTTTTAATTTGTATAGAAATTTTTATTTTTTGAAAATATTTCAAATAATATTTTTATCAATTTTTTTTATTTTTAAGATAAAACGTTATTAAAAGTGAAAAGAAAAGAACAAGTAAATGCGATAAAGTCGATAATCGCGTTGAGTAATGGAAAAAAGCAAAAGAAACTCATCGATGATTTAATCAAAAATATTGAAAAAGTCTGTTGTTTTTTTATTATAAAAAAATTTTATAATAAAAAGTGATACTGAGTGATAAATTATTCGATAAATTACTTGAGGAATTAGTCTGAGCTCTTTTCATTTATTGTATTTTAAAACTTGTAAATCTGTGTTTCAAAGCGAAATTCAAATAGGTCCATTGTCCATATAAATTTCCTACAACATGTAATTTGTGAGACCAGGATAATTAGAAATAGTAAATTCTACTATTGGAGAAGAGAAAGAAAAAGGAATAGCAGTAGGATAGCAGTAATGAATTGCTTGTGAATATCGTCGTTATACCAAAATTTACATAAAACTTCTTAACCATATTTCTAAAATTTCCTAAACTTACTATTTTTTTAAACATTTTTTCGTTATCATTTTTTGATTAAATTTTGAAACGTTTTTATACTGCTTGATGAAAACGTTAACCATTTTTCATGAAGATGAAAACATTAATCATTTTTCACGAATTCCATTAAAAAATTTTTAAAATTAATGTCGAGAAACGGCGAAAGTATAGATCTACCATGAGCTTTCGAACCAGCCGTTGAGCTGTATTGAGCTTTTAACACTAATAAAAAAAGACAAGCAATGGTATAGGAACCAGTACAGAAAAAAGTTTTGTCGCTGAATGATTGAATGGAACCAAATAAAACGTTTTGCGGATGAGGCCAACAAGTGGTTTTGCTTTCGCTGTTTCACGCCAGTTAAAGATCATTTTTATATTTAAGAAATTATATTTTACAGGTAATTACTGGAGCGAAATTGTTGATCGAAAGTAAACAATTTCATTCATTTGATCCATTTCCAAGCAATAATTTATTAAGAGAAGCGCTTGCAAATGTCATTGAAAATACGGCTTTTTTTAGCGAAATTGTTTTACGATTTCCATCTTTCATTGGAAAAAGGTTCTTTTTTTGTGGAATATCAGTGTTTAGCTTATTATTTTACTTTTTATTCGGAAAATTGAAATAATTTGCCTAAATTTATAGTTAACTATTAATGGTTTATTAAGATGATTATCAATGTGGTTTTTCTGTAGAGTCAATTAGTATTTTTTTAAAATCGTATGGAATAAATATTTTAGGTTTTCAAGTGATTCGAACTGGAATGCGATAGTGAATTGGGCCTATAATTTTAGCATGGGAACGAATTTGTATGATGATTCTGGATCTAAATTATTAAATTTAGCTGCGCAACAATTAAATATAATTCCGAGGTGAGGATTTTTCGTTTTTTTTAAAGTTTTTTCGAGTTTTAATTCTTTTTTTACTTTAATAATTTTAAATTCAAATGAACAAATGAAATACAAATCTCCTTAATCCTAAGCCAAAGCCAAATGTTTGAACGATTTTCTAGATTTATTTGAGTTCCAAGTTATTATATTACTGATTATAAGCTTTAGATTTAACCGAATTCTGAATCACATGGTTCGCATTTATGGTCATTTGTGCATTTAAGCCCGAATCTAATATATGGCACTTTTTAAATTTCTTTCATAATGTTAGGATCTGAAACAGCCGTTTTATGTCTAGAAGAAAAAATTTGTCAAAAAAATAATCTTTGATTTAGATAGATTTTAGCGAGATTTATAGATTTTAGATAGATTTAAATTTCGAAAGCACATTTGTCCTTTCGTTTTGTTCAATTCAATTTCTTTATTTTCTGTTTATTCTGTTAAATATTATTATATTATAACAGGAATTGTAGGGAGGAAAATTTTTATAACCCATATGACAAAAGGAATATAAAAGAAGAAATGGAGTTTGAAGCAGTACGAAGAATGAACGAAGCAAAAGAACGAAAATTGCAGGAAAAGAAATTGGAAAGAAAAAGGAAAAAGAAAAATGTACCTTCATTAACGAAGAGCGAATTATGAACAGATTTTTCTTTTAGCTGTGATTTGTTATTTGTTTTTTTCCATTTTTTTGGTTTAATATTCATCATTTATAATTCTTCATCTTTTAAATTTTTTGCAGCTTTTATGGTTTGACACCTTTAATTGTTAAACGATTTTAAGGATTATGCGTGATAATTTTTAGGAAAGCATTTTCTTTTTTTCTGCAATTACTTTTCCATTTATCACTGATATCACTTATGCATTTATATCGATTCATTCGCATTTCATTATAGAAATTCTTAAAGCTCAAAAAGCTGCAAAATTAAAAAGATGAGGGAGTACCATACAAAGCGCCTACAGTATATGCAATTCTTTTTATTTTTGTTTCGATTTATTTGCTAATTATTTTTTCAAAACAAATTTTAATATTTTTAAGAATTTAAAAAGCAATAGATAAGAAATTGTTTAAATTGTTTCATTTGGATGTTTGAAAAATTTTAAAATTTCCATTGGATTTTTTCGTGCATTTATTTGATTTTAAATAATTTCATCACTTAAATTTTTTTGTAATAATTTTTAAATTTATTAATCCTTTTAAAATCTCCACCAAATCTCTCTTAGTGAAACAAAATAATCATTATTTTCTACACTGTCTACATATTCTGTTTTATTTTTATGATTCAATAAACAAATAGTCATTTTTTACTTAATTTTTCTTTTGAATAAATTACCGAAAAATTGACGATTTTTATTTTTCTAGTTGTTTTTTTTTTATTTCGACACATAAACTATTTCTTAAGAATATGAAAAAAGCTTTAAATCAAATTGTTGTTACTTCATTTCCAGTAAAAAATAACTAAAATATGTTTTAGCTGGGGAATCATTTTGGAAAGCTTTTTTCTATATAAATGGCTGAATTCCCTGATTTTGGTCAACATTGTTCGCTTTCTTCGTGCCATCAACTCGGTTTGTTTTCATTTTTCTTGTATCGTCGAAAAATGTATTTTTGTATAAATAAATAAATACTAAGGAAGAGTGACAATTGTGGAGAAAGGAAGGCGTACGATCAAAGTGATATAAAATGGGTTAAAAGTGATAAATTCGGTTCGTAAAATAATTTGTGATGATTTATGCAGTTGCAGATTTCACACCATTTCTATGCGACAATTGCCAACGCTATTTTTGGTGATTTTTGCTTGCAAATGATAAATAATTTTTTAATAATAAAAATAATGTTGAGTAAAATCCTTGAAAAATCTTTAAATATATTTTCTTTTAGAATCGTTTAAATGGATTCGGAGTGAAAGTAGGATCTTCGAATTACCTTTTAAATGAATTATTATTTGTTGGTAAAGTAGAATATGAGAAATAGTAGGTACCAATCACCTATCACATGTGAAAGAAACAGACCCATGAATCGGAGTAGCTTAACGTTTTACAGCAACTCAGCTCGGGTACTGTGGGAAAGATATATCTCCAAGTAAACTATACAGAACGATTCATATCCATGCGATTTCATTTTTATATATTTGCCTAAATACCTTATATCTAAATATTTTAAGAAAAAAATTATTTCTTAATTCATCGATTGTCCATCCAAAGTAGATTGTAGTTTATTTAGCTTTTTTTTCATGCATATAGGACGTTATCCTTAAATAGAAATAAGGATTTTGCATAGTTTTAGAGCCACCATGGTAATGACTCGATTACTGAAGAGTTTCAAAAGAGGTCGGAGTGAATAGGAATAAGAATTTTGGAATTTGAAAACCGTTGAAATAAATAAAATTAAGATTATCTAAGGTTAATTTTACGTGGAATAAGCAGGTACCAGTGCTACACAAATTTTAGAGGAACTTTTCAGAGCGATTTAATGCTGCATTAATCTTACATATTTTTCAAGTCAAGCGAGTTCCACTGTCCTATTGCAATATGTTTTTTTGAGAATTTTATTTTTCATATTTTAATTGCCGCATATTTAACAATTTTCCACAAATTTCATATATATATATATATATTTAAACTTTCAATATTCAAATATTTAAACTTAGATGTGTTTTTTATTAAAATTTTTCCACGGTTACTTTTCATTTTTGCTAAATTTTAGTGGTTTGCATCGTTTTGCTCATGGAACTGTATGCAGTTTGGCTGACGATAAGAAGACAGCGAACTCCAGTGCTATCCAGTCATATTTATGCTCCGCAGATGGATGCTTCACTAGGGAATATGTTCGTATTATTTGTTCCAAATGCGGGCATAATTTTTGCCTCAAGTATCCATTTTCTTGATTTTTCATGAAAATTTTGTGTTGTGTTTCTATGGACATATAAAAGTGGATATATTTGTGTATTTGTGTATTTAAAATGTTGGTCTTAGATTTTTGAGTTTTTAAAATCTGGTTTTTATAGCTTTTCTTCCATTCACTCTTAATATTCTTACTTTTTTATTTGATCCTTCAGGCATCGACATCGCGAAGATCATAAATGTTTATGCAGTGAAAATAATAAAATATTGTCTGAACTTGATACTACGAAAAATCCTGGAAAGTTATTGGTCTCATCCAGTGATAGCCAAACGAATAGTTCAGAGCATAAAACAAATGATGTAAAAAAAGTACAAATTTTTAATGATTATTTCTGTAATGAAATCATAATGCAGTCTTTGATAATTCAAAAATCGTCAGTTATCTCTCATTTTTATTGATAATTGTCATTTATTGGATATTTCGATTTAGTTTTTTGCTAGTTAGTATTTGGTACTTTTTAGAATATTTTTTGCTTTTTGAATTCAGTTTTTCTAATTTTTTTCTATTCATATTGTAGAATCTTGGTGAAATTCATAATAAAAGAGCCGATATGATTGCAATTATGCGATTAAAATCAAAGTTGAAATCAGAGGTCATTTCATGAAATCATTTCTATTTACAGTTAAATATCAGTTCCAACCACTCGATGGCATTTTTTTTTTATTTTATATTATTATTGGGAGAGTTTTATTTTTTATTTGGCATTTTAATTTTTTGGGTGTTCAAATTCTGCAATTCTTTTTCGTACTATAAATTAATCCATTTATATTATTGGAAGAATTTTGTCTATGAAAATTTCAAGTTTGAAGCCTTTATCAGATTCCGCTAATTTTTTTACTGAAAATAAAATGATCCGGTCTCAAAAAAAAGAGGCGAGATTTGAGCATGAAATTTTTTTAGGTTCCAAATTCAGATCGAATATTTCTTTTCCTTATACAGGACTCAAGACGAGAACCTGTAATGGTTTCTAAGGTGAAAAATTTTTCTTTTTTTTTCTGGATAATTGTTTTTAAATTTATAGATGAATTTATATCATTGAAACATTGGAACTTAATTTTTGCGTATTTATGATTAAATTATTTGCATACAATTGTAAAGTTTATAAATTGCATTACAAAATTTTTTTTTATAGAAATGGTCGATCGGTCGATGTGTTTATGAAATCGCTAAATATTTTGGTATACAAAATAATAATGGAAAATTCGATGCTAAAGTTAGATTTATTTATTTTTCATCATTTTAAATTTCCTCTGGGTATTGATCCAAAATTCCTCAAAATTTTTGCATATAATTTTTCATCATTGTTAAGCATATTAACATGAATAAAGTTAAAAAGTGTTATCTCCATCTCTCAGTTAATTTTTCATATCGATGATTTTTTCAAAGGCTGGTAATAATGATAAGGCTGATTGTTCAGATACTTCGAATGTATTCGGCGTCAGATCGACAAGTACCTCTTCCGATGACGGATGAAGCGCAGAAACATTTAAATTGCTCTGAAGATATTATTCTTCGAAGAGATGATTAAATTTATGGGTTTTGCTTTATTTAAATTTAAAATGATTTTAATTATGATTTTTTTTGTTGACATTATATTCAGCGAAATATACGACCATCTTTGATAATTTTCATTATCATTGAATTATATATTATTAAATTATCAAATTATAAAAATTATTTAACTACTTTGGTATGAACAGATTTAATTGCAGTTTTTGGTTCAATTATTATTGACATTCATATAAGAAATATTATTATGCTTTCAATTTATAACTTTTTTTTTCATCTTCTAAATGACTGATGAAACATTTATTGATAAAATAACTGATGATTGATAAAATTTTTCGATAAATGTTGCAAAAATGTAAACATTCATTCATATTTTACTAATTTTTTTTTTGAAAACGAATAAAAATAACTTTATGAAAAGAAGTAGTAAAAACTGATCTAAAGATTTTCATTGAACAATTCATAAAAATAGAAATTGCTGACAATCAGTAGCTATTATAATTATAATTATAGTGATAATTAAAACAAATTTCACTAGTTTCTATAGTGGAATGTGGGGACTGTAGGTTGAACTGAGGGGAAAGTAGGTTCCAACCTTGGACGAGAGTGGTCTATTTCTGCCTTTGCGCGCAAATAGTCTGTTGAAAGTGTCCTTCACTCCGGTACTTTATTAAATACAGCCAATTAAACGAGAGGGTAAAATATGAAGATGATTAAGAATTAGTTGACCATGATTTAATGATTTAATTTAGTGATAAATGATAATCAAAATTGGTGATAGTTTTAATTTTTCTTGAGGACGATGTTTTATAAATGGAGAACAACGGTTTCGATGTTGCAACGAAGTCGGTCTATCGGTGGAATATCGACGAATTCAGCTAAAATCTTGAGTAAACCAAGTCTCGATGAAGTGATTAAAAAATATAACGAGGCTAAAAAAACTGCAACCACGACGAAGGACGTCAAAGAGGACGGTTGGGCCGAGTAAGAAATTTTATTAAGATTATATTTTGAATTTGAACAGAGCATGCAAGAATTGGAATTTGGAATAAAAATTTTCATTTCAGTGCTCCAACGATTTATTGCGATGGTAGTTGTATTTGGACGGAACGAAAAGGTGGAATTGGAATTTTTTGGTCGCCATTGGATAGTCGTAACGCTCATCTGAAACTTACTGGTGATAAAATAACAAGTATAAGAGCAGAGCTAATTTCCGTTTCTTTGAGTCTTGCACAGGTACTACTTTTTCCACTTTTTATTCAACTGTTTATTAAATGGAATTGAAAGAAATTGAATATTTTCGAAAATCTAAAATCTAAATTGAGGCGATAAACCTCGGTTTCAAGCGAATAATCGTGAAAACCGATTCTGTATTTGTGGCGAATTCTGTAAATTTATGGATTCCTCAATGGCGTCAAAATGGATGGAAAAAAAATAATGGAAAAACTATAAGCAATATTGATGATATTATGAAACTTAGTAATTTACTTAATGCTATTGAAGTAAGTATTTTGAATATTTCTGTATATATATGAATTTTTTCTATTCACCAGTGCTAGTTGGCTTCGCTCAGCTGAGTTAGACAAATATGCCAGGGAGTCCCTTGGCGACAAAAATATAGATGAGTCGCCAATATCACGTAGATTTTTTGACGCGTTTGCTCCTATTGGCAGCAAATTCAGCATCTCTACAAATATGCCAGAATTGAACAATCCACTGAACCATTCTTCTCCCTTACGTATATGTACATTATCTCATTTCATTAAAATAAGGAATTCGCATTCTTATAGAAAATCTCCTAATAATAAAATTACTATGCCTAAAAGTACGATACTGATAGGCCTTTAGACCTGCAGTGCCTTAGATCAACGCCTTATCTTTCGCATACCTTCGAATCCATAGGTCCATAAATAAGGCCATAGAACTCGTGTCACTGTTATACTTCTGACCCTCTTTTGTTGCTACAATTAAAGAAAGTTAACATACCATTGAGCAGTTTAAAGTTATTAATTTTTTCGTTACCTTTTATAATTACAATTGTTGGGTTTCTGAGATTATAGACGCGATTAATACACATATATCGAAATAATACATATCGAAAAGAAGATGAGTGGGAATCTAACTGGAATGAATTAACTGAAGCTCAACGTGATCTCTGTGGTAATTTCCATGCAAATCAACTTGCACAAAAAGGTATAAATAATCCGATGATGAACGACGTTGAATTTGAATATTTTTTAAAATAATATAAAATAAAATTCTTAAAATATAAACTTTATTTAAAAGCATTTCATAAAAAAATAGTACAAATATTATAAACGTAAATTTAAAAATAAAAAGATAGAAGCTGAAAATAATTCATATCCTATAATTGTTCCATAAACGAGCGTTTCAAACGAGCGTTACGGATATCCAATAGCGACGAAAAAATTGTCCACATTACAAAACGTGCCTTAACGCACCTCTATGAGACAATAATGGAATTTTTAATTTCATGAATAAAAAAAAAAATAAATAAACCACAAATGAAAGAAATATAAGCTAATGCTTTTGATTTACAAATAAGTACCTTAATTGACATTGCAATTCAAAACATTTATTTCTATTGCTAAGCGATTTCTTGGTAAAAATATAATGAAATCTCATTGATCAAGCGATGGAGCACTCCCTTACTTATCCTCTTTAACAACTCTCGAGTACCATAACCATGAACTTCTTTAAGTGACCTTATTCTTCCAAGTACCATTAATGAAAAAGAATATTTAAAAATGAAAATACTCTATTTTTCAATGTAATCAGGAGAAAGTGCGTCCATAAATTGATCCAATTTCTGTTCAAGTATGGGAATAATTTCTTTATCAACGAAAATATGCGTTTCATCGAGTTCTTTAACAACGAATTTTGTTGAAAGTGCTCGCGATTCGTCTAAATGTGCTAAAAGTTGTCGCATTGCTGGATCGCATTTTATTAATACACCACGTTTTACGTTTACCATTTCTAGAAAAAATAAAAAATAAAAAATTATTTAAAATAATATTAAAAAATTAAAATTAAAAAAAATCTAAAAAAGAACATAGAAAACAATTAAAATTAATAAAGAATGAAAAAACCTAAAAAATTTATTAGATTTTGCGATTTATTGAATTGACCTAAAGACCTGGTGACCTAATGAACCAATGAATGCGCAACGATATTAATCAGGAAATCCTGAAAAAAATTAAGTCGTAAACTCGTTTATAATACAAATCCATCAGCACATTCCTTTTCCTCACTTCCTCACCCTTCTTCTTAGCATTCCTCCCCCCGTCCTCCTCTCTTCTTCCTTCTCCCACTCCTTACTCACCAGTCAGACTAAACTCAACACAACACAATCACACCACTCCTTATAGGCGCGTTTGCATTTGGGGTAAAAATGTCCGCAGCCGAATTTCAACAGGCTATCTGGCCTTTTGCCAATTGGACTAAAATTACAAATTGATGCCACTAAAATTTGTGTTAAACGAACGTGTTGACGAAGCGTTGCGTTAACTTTTTTGGTGGCGGCCGAGGGGAATAGCTTTGGTAAATTTTTTTCAGTGTTTTTAGCGAATTTATTGAATGATATGGTGGAAGAGGAAGAAAGCGAGGCGAAGAGGAAGAGGAATAGGAAAGGAGGAGGAAGGGAAATGAAGGAGAAGGGAGGTGAAATAGGGAGTAGAAGAAGGCAATAGTCGAAAGGAGGAGGAGGAAGGGAAATGAAGAAGAGGAGAGGTGAAGTAGGGAAGAAGGGAATAGACGAAAGGAGGAGGAGAAAAAGAATAAGGAGGGCGAGGAAGAGGAGGAGAATAGAGGAAATATATATGTTTTGCACAAATAATTCGTATGCGGCATGTGTGCAACGTGGAAGTATGATGTGAGTATGCTAGGTCAGCCTGGGTTCAGTGCGAATCAGTCCTATGTCTTACATTTCTCTAAGATTTTTTCTATGTCCGCAGCTTGTGGTCTCAACCTCCAGGATTAGGGTCTGCAGCATATCCTTCCCAATACTCAGAATTTTGAAGCAGAAAAACGCAAGTGGTTGCAAAGTATAGGAAAATGCGCATTCGCTAAATTTACTGTCCATACGTTCCCATTTTTTTGTTTTCGATCGGTTCGGATAGGGAAAGAGACCTGAAAAGCGGTCAGTTAATATGCATTATCACTGTCAGGTCAGTTAATACGCATTATTGTATTGTATGTCTGCTCTTTATGTGCTGAACTGTTATTTCTTTCCATTGGTATTCACATTGTAATCATTTATTTTCATCGTTTCCTTTAGTAGGAAAAAATTGTAGTATTTGCGAACATTGGCATAGTTCCATGAATATATTTGCATAGTGGGTAGTTTATAATTAAATCTTAGTTTTAAATACTGATAGTGACTGATAAAATATATAAAATATCAGTTTTGCATTCTGATAAAATATCTATTTTGATCAAATCACGGAAATGCCAAATTTCAAGTATATTGGATCCACGCTAATGACTAAGGCGTAGTCCCAGTCTGAATAATCCCAGCTAGAAATTTTTTCTTTCGTCTGCTGAAACCTCTGGAGTCGACATCCAGAAGTTCCAGAAATTATAATTAAAAGGAAAGTTCTGGCTGCTTACCAATTTGTTAGTTGCGAAATATGGCCAATGAGAGTGGAAAGCATCTACCTATCTACATAATGTCTATATAATCCCTTAACTATATATTTTAACTGCTTGCCGAGTAGGTAAAATCTCACATTTTTATATCATCTTTGTGCAGACAATTGTTTCATCCAGTAATGGTTAGGCCATTTAATGTATGTCTCGTTACTTGCTAAACCACATGATGAATGGCATTAAAAACGAGGATTTCCAGATTTAATATAGAATGATAACACAAGATATAGGTAGCTCAGCGACAGATGAGTGGCTCAACCTGAACCTCTTAGATATAGCATCGAATGGAGGGCCTTAGTCAGCGGTGGCAGCTCAACCAATAATTTAACCAACCCAATCGGAGCAACCTATTAGAGAAAATCTTTTTAGAGAAAAAAACGAGAAAAGAAAAGAATTAGAATCGGCTGCGGTTCATTTCACTTCTCTATTTTTAATTTAACTTCACTAACAAAAATATAAAAAACAATTTATTTTTAAAAAATTTTCGTTTATTGCGATTATAAAAAACTTGCTTTAAAAATAAATTTTTTTTTTCAGTGATTTATTCTCGAAATTTGTAGACTTCGACAAAAAGATTTCTAAGATTTTTTTTTTTAAAAAAAGAACAATGGCGATAAAAAATAATTCTTCAATACCGTTGATTGATGATCACAATGATAAAAATATCAAAGCCAAATTTTGTTTAACACCCAATAATTCGGTTCGTTTTGTTATTTTTTCTTCTTTTTAAAATAATATTTTTTTGCAGAATAATGATCGAGTTACTACTATAAAAATATTCGATATGAAATAAGCTTTTCTTAGCGAACGAAATCTTTTATATAGTCCGCATATATTATCTTGCTTAGGCATTACTCTAATAAATTATGCGTCAATACCATAAAATGTTTTCCAGTTTGGTGCCATTTTATGCTTAAATATGATAAAATTTTTTTTATTTTATATGATAATTTTTATTTCTGCAATTAAAAAATTTCAATAGAGTCATTTTTTATAAATAAATCTCATAGGCTGCAAAAAGGTAATTTGCAAAAGGATATTAATACGCCTCGATCAAATATTCCGATATGAATGAAAGAGATTTTAAAAACAAAAACAATTATTTCAACCCATTATTATAAAAATAGTTGTTTAAACTTTTCGAATTTCAAATTTTTTATTTTTAATTACTAAATTACTAAAGTCATTGAAAATTATTTTTTTAGTATAAAAGTTTATCAGATGAAAAGCTTGATGAGATAAATCATGTAAATGCATCAAATGATTTATCATCGTTTCTCGAATTTAATTCAAAAATGTTCTCGGATGATAGCATTTGTCCATATTGCAATAAGGAATATCGAACTGTATTATTTTTATTTTTCATTAATTTCCAATTATTTCAATATTAATTCCACTTTATCATCTATTTTTTTTAAAATATAGATTTTTCGTAAAGTGAAATTTTAAATTGCGATTGAATTCATTGAATTCGGCCAATAATTTATTAAGGAAAAATTATAGCCAAAGGTATTGCATTGTCTTCATTCGATGTGCGAAGACTGTATAATTGCTCAGCTAGATGGACGTGAAGACAGTGATAAAAATAGAACGATATTGAGTGATAATTTATGGTCCGAAGAAGAATTAGAACAATCGAATATACAGCGTCGTGTTACACCACCTGGTGTGATTAAATGTCCAGAATGTAGACAGGTTAAATTACAATATTATATTGATTTTAGTGGTTGTATTGTTTTTTTGTTTTTTTTATTTTTGCAAAAATTCAAAATAAGTTACAATAAGACAAAAATTTTTATGTTCATTAAATAATCTACTTTTTCTTTCAAAAATTTTTTATAGGATTATTGTTTATAGGAAAAACAATTTACTTTAGGAAAGCCATATTGGAAATGATGTACGATTCGTCAGTCTAATTCTCCCAGATTACCTGCGGAGTTATGATATTGAAAAGAAGAAATATGCAAATGAGATGCGCAAATGTCGTTCATGTAAAAGTGAACCTGAAGCTGTTGCTGTATGTGTTGACTGTAAATGTGATCTTTGTAGTGGTTGTGTTGATGCTCATAGTATTATGCGTGCATTTGAACATCATAGAGTAAGCCATTTTTTTTCTTGATTGATTTCAAAATGGAAATGAAAATTGGTGCTATAAGTGATATTTTCTCAAAATTTTAATTAAAAAAAGGCTGAGAAGGTGAGAAATTTCGCTAAACGAAAAAAAATTGTTTTTAGGCTATTCGGTGATTTTATACGATGGTTAGACGGTATTAAGAAATATCGTTTTTTTTCTTTTTTATTGGAAATATTGGAAATATATTTTAAAATAATAAAAACGTTCAACAAGTATTTAAGACTTAAAAACTATATTTGTCGTTCATGTCTAAAAAAGTGTCTAAAAATTTTCTTCTTTCTTTCAAAAATATTTCGGGCATTTTTTCTAAAATTGAAATATTTTTTAAAACTGTGTGATAATATCGCCTTATATTTCATTATTAAAGGTATTGACGTATCGTCAGTTAGCCAAAGATCCTTCTCAGTTACCACGTGGGCCAGTGATGTGCCTACAACATCCTACTATTCCTTACACGTTATACTGTTTGAAATGCGATAAAATTATCTGTACTCAGTGTGAGATCGATTCACATTCTGATTTTTGCCACGATATTAGTGCTGCTGATGAAAAACTTTGTCAGATTTTTAAGAATGAACTTGAAGAAATCGTCAAAAATGTCTCCGGAAAGGTACTTGAGTTTTTTTCTTTCATTTAGCGAAAAATGATGAAGAATATATTTTATATCGTCCGAATGAATAAAATATTTTAAATTGAATTATTTTTTTGTTATTAATGTAATTTAATAATATTTTTAGATGTTGGCATGTTCAGAGCAGTGCAATAGCATTCCCGAACGATTACGTACATTGCACAACAATTATGAAGTGATGCTGTCCCAAATAGACGAGGCTTTTGCCGATTATGCCCGAGCTCTTGATGAAGTTAAGGAAAATATATTGAAAATTTTGCTGCAGTGTCGAGATGACACTGAGAGCAGTTTGAATGAAATGTCCGATAAAGGAGACATAGTAACGAGTAGGATCAGTGATGCGATAAAGTATATATTTTATGTCGTCCTTGAAAAATTCTATTAGAATGACGATGAGCACTTTTTGAAAAGAAAAATTACTGGATATAAATGAACAAAATAGATTCCGAAATAGATTTGCTTCTGCAGAATGGAGATAATGCAGCAAATATTTTTAGTACAATGGTATAAAAAAATAAGGAAAATATTGAATAAAATATGTAAGTTAAAAAATATAGAACATAAAGAAATTTATGGATCAAATAGAAGAATTGAATCGTTTATGCTTCTCTTGTATCGTATAAAATTTGATTTTTTAGATTTGCCACTCGTTTAATGAATGAGGCAACTTCGGTGGAATTAATCGCTAGCCAAAAGTTAGCAAAACAGCAACTGCAATCGCTCCAACATACTCTTCCAAACAATATTATTTCAACTGAGCTTGCTTTTATACGACCATCCTATTCCCGTTTTGTTGAAGATTTACGCAAAATCGTTGGTTCTGTAAAATGTTTGTATTTAGTTTTTTTTTTTTTAGAGGCTAATATTGTAGAAAATTTTTTTAATTTTTGAAAAAATTTTAGTTAAAGATATAGGTTATGTCTTTCTTAGATAGGGAGGGAGTAATTCACGAGTTCATTTTCTATCCTTGAGTGAATACAAACCTATTTTTAAACAAAATTCGAATGACTGGATAAAGTGAACTTCAAATACTGCCTGCTTTTATTATTTATTATAAAAATATTGATTAATAAATACATAGTATTATTAAATAGACTTGTGTTGAGAGGTATCTTCGTATTAAGAGACACCCTTTCTCCATACCTTCGGAATTGTTAGTTTCCCTTCATTTGCCAGATTTTCATTATTTTCTTATGTTATCTCAGTTTTGTAGCTTTTTTTCTCCGTTAATCCATCAATCCCCTTAGTTTTTTATCTTTGCTTTCTACTTATGATCCGGAGGAACTTATACTGATATAGCGTCGAGAAAACGGAGTGGGATTGGATATTGTCAAGGAGTTACAACTGGATCAGAGATTTAAAGTGGCAATAGATGTCTGGAGCGACCCTTGTCAGAAATGATATGCGCTAAATACTTCTATTAGGTTTTTGGAAGTATTAAAGAGATATTGGGAGTAATATATGAAGAGTTTTTTGCAAATCTGAAGAGAAGATTAAAGGATTTGAACCTATGAATTGATTGATAGTTAATTTGGAGTTTATAAATGCGATCGCGTTTTTTTTCGATCATCCACAAACAAAGCGTTGAGAATTTTACATAAATGTTAATGAAACAGAAATATAATATATAATACTTAATAGAAATAATAATAGCCAATCAAATTTTAGGTCAAGAACCAAATGTTTTGCAAAGTCCAGTAAGATCAGTAACACCAAATTCGATTACTAAATTAAATTCAAACGTGGCTATAAATTCAGTTTTACAGTCTAGATCATCAGAATCAACGCCAACTTTTCTTGATTCATGTAGGCAGTTGGAATTAAATCAAAAATCAATCACTCCATTTGTTTCGTCTAATTCGTCCGCTTTCTCCACATATGGTTTAGATTTTATATTGTTCTTTATTGATTAGTACTATATTAAAATATATTTGAAGTTTTTTCAGTAAATTCATTTGGTTTGAATCCGACAAGTATAAATTCGCCAGGTGCGATCGGGATGGAACGTCGTCATAAATCAGGGAGTATTTCAAAACACAGTTCAACAGCCGAATTTAATAGCGGTTGGCCGCCATCAAGCAATCCACCTGCATCGAGCCCTACTCCTCATAATGGATATGTAAATATATTTCAACTCTTCATATTTTTCAACATTGAAATTTCTATTATTCCCTTCTATTTTACTAATCAGATCTTAGTAATTATAGGGAAAGTCAACAAATCAAGACAATAGTTGCGATTATGTCTGGCCACCTCATTCGAATCCGCCTCCGGCTGAATCTCGTGGAGTGGGGAATGTTATGCCGCCTTCTGCTTTATCGTCAATGTTACCAATTAGCAGTCTAACATCAAGCTCTAAGCTAAATGATCCATGGATGGTATTTAGTTTTAAACCTATGTTTTTTCTAGGTCTTTGAATTTTTATTAATTGAATTGAAATTACTAATTTAAATAATTATTAAATGGATCAAATGGTGATATTCAGGTCGCGTCGTCTTCTATTATTACTCCTGGAGTTATTGGACAACAAGCCGTTAGTCCGTATTCCATAGCGACAAATCCTCTCCGTAGTCAATCAACGATGGATAATTTAATTGAACAAGGTTTACAGTCGCTCAATAATATATTTGATGCCACACTACATAATCTGGCGCCCAGCATTACTTCGATTTCCCAACAGTGTATTGCTCCAGATCTGCAATTAAAGCCAGTGATTGGTGAACGTTTTCTTCCAATTGTAAGATATTTTTTTGATTCTAAGATAGTTGAAGAAAACATTATTTTTTGTATTTTGTTTTAAACCGGTTGAAATTTTGCTGTTTTGTTTCATCGGCATATTTTATTAGGTGCCTCCATCGCGAAACACTGCTTTATCTAACGGTCAGTTAACTGAAGGTTTAATTGTTGTATCACAAACAGGTGGATCAGGTTGTTCTCCTGGCGCATTTAACCAGCCTCATGGTTTTGCACTAGGACCTGACGATGAAATAGTAATTGCAGATACGCTCAATAATCGCATACAGGTCAGTTATAATTTATTTTTGTCAAAATGCATATAAATCCGTTTATCAATGTTTAATAATATAGTTTTATTTGTTATTAGATTTTATTAAAAAACAATTCATTTCTGGTCTTTCTTTTAGATACTGTCTAAGAATGGGCATTTCTTGAAAGAATTTGGTGCATTTGGTCACGAAGATGGTTGCCTGCATAACCCTAAAAAGGTGATGCCTGTCAGACTTTTTATAAAAGGTCCCACTAGCGTTGATGCATATATGGTTGTTGATAAAAAGAATGGTAATGCTAGGCTGCAGCTTTTTACAAGGAATGGTGAATTTATTCGTCGAATCGCCAATCCGCCAGGTGTAGATTTACGTAATTCTATCCAATAGATTTATTTTTTTCTTAAAATTTCTTTTTCTATTTTATAAATCTTATTTTCATCATTAATTTTTACGGATCGCTTTCAGCCCAATTTGAATATGTTGCCGCTTTAACAACAAATGAAATGGGCTATATTATTTTATTAAGTAATAATGCCTACTTGTATATTTTTGATTTGGATATGAATTTGGAAACTCATGTGATACATTTTACATCTTGCTCACCAGCGTTGCTTGAACCATCTGATGTGCTTGCCTTGGGTAATCAGTATTATGTTACAGATTTCAAACAACATTGTGTTGTAGTCCTCGATTCCCTCGGTTAGTTTAACTTTTTTCGAAAACGCTTATACAATAATAATTTCTACATAAATTTTTATATACATAAAACATCTGTTGAATTTTTGTAACTCACAGCAATCGGAATGTTTAATTAAATAAAGTTAAAATGTATTAGAGCCTTACATATCTTTTTGTATTTTGCTGAAGATGTTTTATTGAGCAAAATGCATACCGCTTATGCATTTCATAACATATTTTTAGAAATGAAGCACCGATAAAAATCAGTAAAAAATAGAATTGATAATATCATTTAGGTTTGTATGTTTGCAAAGGAGGCGGCTACTTTCTTATTTCTTCAAAAAATTCATCTCGCTTTTCCATAATTCTTTTTTTCCATTATTTCAATGTATGGTAGAGAAATGAGCAAGGGAAATTATAGAAGTTAAAAAATAATAATGTTAAAAAATAGTAATATATTTCGCAATTTTAGCTTATTATATTAGTTTCTATTTATTATATGATCAATTGTTGATGTAACCAATTTTCATTTTCATCTATCGCCTAATTTGCTGCAAAATTCGGGCCATTCATTATTCTCTTCCTCTTCCTCACAAGAAGCACTACAGAAGCTAGTTGAATTCAGATGAGATATGATTCCGCCAGCTCCACGATACAATAAAGAAAAACCCAGTAATTGCTTTGGGACGCCACAGCTATTAACAAAAAAACAGCATTAATTATTCTTAAGTGCATTAATATTTAATTTCACACTGTTTTATTGCCTTTTTATTCATTTTTGAGAGTTTCTTAAAGATATTTTTTATTTTATATTTTATATATATATTTTTATATATATTTATATATATTTTTTGTATTGCTATTTTCGTTTGTTTTAAAATTCGTTTTACTATAGGAAACAAATTACGTTTAATTGGATGCGGTCATACTCCCTATCCGATTGGCATTTGCGCTAGATCGAGTGATGAAATTTTCGTTGCGAACTCACATATGAATCATTTTCAAATCTCATTATTCTCAAGAAATGGTATAAGGCAAAGAATATTAGAATGCACTCAGATGAAGGTAAATTGAAATTTTCTTAAAAATTCTTATTATCATAGAAAGCTGGAGATAAATTCGATTTTATCTTTTCGATTTATTGATTTATCAAGCGCTTGTAAATTTTTTCCCTTATTCTCCATTGCAATAAGCATATGTTTAATTAAAATGTATCACGAATTCGCTGAATATTTACCTGTATTTATGATTTATCTTTAAAAAGAACATCCAGTGAATATATTGACTACTAGTAGGGTTATTGGGGGATGGCTGAGTGAGTTGTTGCTCAATTTGGAACAGCCAAAGCGCTGTTCGATTCCCCACAGGAGGAAACCTGTACAAAAATCCAGGTGATGCTGGCTATTCACCTGTGCTTCTGTCGCCAAGGGATTCCCTCACATATTGCTCAATGCGACAAGCCAGTGGAGCGAGTTTAGCCAATAATGGTGAGGACTCTAGAAGAAGAAGTAGGATTATTAGTCATTAAATATTCGCACACTTATCCTTCATTATGCTTCGTTAGCCATTTCTTCAAACCGTGGTATATTCCAAATTCCTATAGTTTTTAATATTTTCGTATTCTCATTAAGTTTTTCTATTCCGCCTCACCTCCCTTCCCTTACATTTCTTCTATTTTTGTGAAAATTTCCAGGTGTCTGCGATTATGAAGTAGCAAAAAGGAATAATTGAAGGGATAAAAATAAGAGATTAATATTCATCATTTCTAGTTATACTAGCCCCACTGACTACTGGTATTGTGAGAAAATCAGTTCAGAAGTGGAGGTGGATACCATAACAGCATCTAGTTTTTTTATTTACTTATTAATGATTTGAACCTTGATGTTCAAGAATTTTAGTTTTTCTTTTGGAAGAGAAGAGAAGAAGACGACATTGGGAATAGTTTAAATAAATTAAATTTTTGAAATAGATGAAATAAAATAGATTTTTTTGTATATACACGCACACACCTTAAAATAGTTATCGACAAATAGCAAATAGATATTTTAATCTTTTTGTGCCTTGTAATCTTTGTGATTTGATAAAATAATAGTAAAATAATAGTAATAGTATTTCATCTGAATACTCTCAAAATAATGCTTAAAATGAAGGTACAATTTGACAAAAAAACAATTGGAGGGCATCGAAGATATTTTCTCCGTCGATCCATTTGAACGGATTGAATCCTTCTAATAATATACCTATACTAGTAATATCTATACTATACTACTTTGTTTTAGGTCACGCGATGCGTTGGTCTTGCAATCAATAAAGACGGTTTGATTGTATCCGTTTCGAAAACCTGTAATACTGTTTTCTTTTTCAATACAGTTCATTTTTGAAAAGATAGAATGCGTTTTTTTCAGAATCATTCAGAGATTCTTTTCAGCGATCTTACAAACATTTTAGGAAGATTTGCTAATCAATTTTCTTCACTAGAACGGCATTCCTTTTTCAGTCACCATTCAATTCAATTTTTCGTTAGTTTTAGCTAGGCAAATCACCATATGATTATATATCTTGAAAATTTTTTATATGTGCCAGCTTATTAATTTAAAACTAATTATTTTTTTATAATTTAAGTGCCTTAAGTGCCTTTATTTTCACTTAATTTTAGTACGGCGGATTTTCGTAATATATTGAATTATGATAAATTGATTTCATTGATAATTGCCTTTTCACTTTCAATTGTTTTTTTTTAGAATTTATTTAGAATTTATTAGTTTAGTCTTTCCTTTTTTATATTTTTTGCGATCTGTTTATTCTAGATGTTTCTATATTTCTATCGTTCATTCATTATTTAATGTTTGCTTTATCTTAAAAAAAAATCTTCAGAATTTTTCTCAAAAAATTTGGAATGGATAATATTTATAAATTATTTCCAAGTAATATCAATTTTTTATAATTTTTCTCCTTTTTTTTAATCAAAACTACCCAAGTCTTTTCATTTTTTTTCTATTTTTGTTGCAATAACTTTAATATTTTTACATTTTAATTTTATTTAATTGAAAATTTTTAATGGATGTGATTTAATTAAAACGCGGTGCCTTATATTCTGTTTTTTTTATTTTGTGTTTTTCTTGTATTTAAATACTTTCTTTTTTTGCTTCTTTTTTTGTAAATTATATTATAAATTTAGAGAATAGGTTGGATCATTTGGCTTCTTTTTTTTGGTACTTTCTTCTTTTGGCTAAAATTCTTTGTTTTTTAAAAAGGAAATTAGTGAAGAAAAAATAACTTTGCTTTATTGAATAAAAGATCTCACCATTGGAATGGATGGTATTAAATAATGAATTTTAAAGAAATAAAATATTGTTTGGATAAAATGAGATGAATTTTTTGATTTAATTATTATTTATTATCATCCACGTCTTTTGCATATGTCTTTTTTTATCTCGAAAGGTCAGTTGGTTGCATTAATTTTTTTGTCTCTCTTGTAGTTGTTTTTTGAGGGATTTTTTCAAAAAATTTTCTCCGAGATTTAAAAACGCTTCGAAAGATTTTAATTTTTTAAGTTTTTTTCGAATTCTTAAATTCCTTAAAATTTTAAGAAAATAAATTTTTATGATTTTTCTTGCAGTCGAAAATGGTTTTCTTTTCGTCTCTCCATTTCTTTTAAATCTCAATTAAATTGTCTCAAATTGCCTTTTGTTTTGCTCATTATGCATATTATTATTAGTTATGGTTATTGATGATGGAAATTTATAAAAGAGCGTTTAAAAGAAAGAAATTAAAAATTAGGAAAGAAAAAAAATTGAAATATTTGGGCAAAATTTTTCACAAAAATAGATTTAATATATTCGTATAAGAATACAATTGTTTTCCATAATTGATTTTAAGATTTCGAAAAAAATTTTTTTTTCAGCTCTTTTACGAACATCGTTTATTTCTCACATTTATTATTTTTGTTTATTGTTCATTTTTATAAAAAAAAGTTCAAAATTGAAAGTTCAAAAATTGTATAAATGCAAAAATTTTCTAAAATATAATCAAAAGTGAATATTGTTATAAAAAAATTGAAAATTCGACTGAAGTCGAATTTTTCGGCCTTTGAAATTTTATGTTAATTCGCATATTCTTTCTGTTGTTGACTTTTTAAATTTTGAAAATCAATTGGAAAAATGGAAAAAAAATTGATTAAATTTGGCAAATTTAGTGAAATTATATTTTCTTGCTTTTTCTATGTTTTCATATGGCTTAATTGATCTCATATATTTTTTTAAAATATTTTTTAATATATATTTTATTATTAAAAACTTTCTCAAATTATGGCAAATCGGGTTTCTTTTGTAATTTCCTCTTTCCTTTTTTATAAAATTTTTTTGTACTTTTGTATTTAAACATTCCATATTTATTATATGCAATTTGTATGTGTGAAAAGAGGGTAAAATTGGCTTTTTTCATTCGTTTTTTGCTTAAATTTTCAAAAGTTTTTCTTTTTGCTTTTATACAATCTTTAATAATCGTTTGTTCGGCGAACTATCATTTCAATAATATTAATGATATTTTTGGCATTTTTGTCAAATTTATTTATTTTTTGTCGATATTGCCGAAATTCAATTACGATATTAAATTTAATTTAAAATATGTATAATTCTACTTATGACTTCAATAAATTAATGCTATAAATTTTTAATTTCAGATTTTCATGAAATAATTTAGGTAAAATTTTTTTTTGTGGTTCCGATGAATTTCTATATTTTTTCTTAGAATTTTATTCGGCAATTTATCGCAGCGAATTCGTTCCGATTTTTAAATTTACTTATATGATTAAGAAAAAGTTACAGGTTGGTGATTTAGAAAGTTTTTTGTTTTTTTTCGCTTTAAAAGCCAATTTTCCTCTTTGCACCCCATTAATACTCGAAAAATTTAATGGATTTATTAAAATGCTACTTGTGCTTGTAGTTGATTTCGATTCTTTCAAATTCTTGAAGAAAATATTGGAAAATGACAACGAGAAATGTACTGAATATAATATATTTAGCTTCTTGTCATTAAATTTTTGATGTTTTTTCCGATGAGTGAACAATCGGTCGATAAGTTCGTGGATCGGTCGGTCGGTCGGTCATTGGGTCGGTTGGTTGTTAAGCGGTCCGTTAGTCTGTCTTCCATTAATTAATTTTTTGTTAATTATCAGCGAAAAACATTGGCGAGTAAAAGTGCAAAAATTTTATCACTAAATAAGAATTTATCGATATCGCTGATAATTACAGAATAATTATTTATTATTAATTATTGTTGTTTTTCGTTGATTTTTTTTTGTAATTATATTTCGTTCCATTTAAAATATATTTTACTTTCATCTATTTAAAAAAAACTTCTATCAAAGCTTTATTGTTCATTTAGCATTTTCTTTTTGACTTCTTTTTTTTCGTATTTTACTTAATAAATTTTGTTTTTTTGGTTTTTTTCAAATTATCACATAATTTTATTAAATTTATTTGTTTTATTTAATGATATGATATACATATGATTCCAACGATTTTTAAAATGGTGAATGGTGTTAATGGTGTAAACCATAAACAATAATGCATTCTGCAAGAAGATTTTTGTTTTTGTCAAATATATTACTGGTTTTCTCTTAATGTGTGGTGTTTTGCGGTTTTTTTCTCCTTATTTATATTAGTAAAGTCGATCACTTCTGGTTATTTTTATTAATGATAAATCTACCTAATGCGAAGTGTTGTTAGCTTAATTTTCAGAGTTAAGTTTTCCGATTTTTTTTAGTCGAAAATGGTAAAACGTTAGTGTGTAGAAAAGAATATACAACAACAAACAAATGGTTAATTATGATTAACGAGTTTTTTATTTTTTCGTTTTTTGTCATTTCATTCGTTTTATTAAAAATTGCTTCGTGTCTTTTTTAAGTTTATTTTTTTTTTCGCTCAATTTATTCCAATGTTTTCATGTTTAATTAATTGATGAGAAAAATTTATTCAAAAAAAAAACTTAAAATTTGATTAGTTGATTTGTTGTTTTAGCACATTTTTTCCGAATTTTATCATTTATCATTATTATCAATTTGTCGTATTAAAGAAGATTTTTGTATATTTATTTTTAATTGTAAGTTGAGAATGCAAATGCGTTATTACTTAATACTTTTTTTTTCATATAATATATTCATTTTTTTAATCAATTTTCATGCGGATAATTTTTTTTATAAAAAATATTCGTTTGTTTTTTTCATTTTCTTGTCATATTCAAGTTTAATTGTAATTATTATAATTATTAATTATGATTATTTCGGAAAAAAATATCGCTATTTATTACTTTTATTATTATTATAATTTAATTAACATGAATTTCAATAAGAATATCAAAATTACATCTTTTTGATAAAATTTATTTCTTTTTTAAAATGAATTTTCAGAATAAAATGTCTTTTAAATGTTTGAAAATATTTTAGAAATATATTTCTAATAATTTTCAGCATTTTTTCAAATTAATTTTATTATTTTAAGCTTTCTGTGGAAAATTGTTTGTTTTTTTGTTCAATAAAATTTTTTTGGCTTTGAATTTTCATTAAATACTTTTCTCGATAAATGAATGAAATAGAATTCATGCGTACCAAATTTTTTCAATTATATTTTTTATTTTATTTAAACTGATTAATTATCACATCATTAGTTATCAGTGATTATCATTATTACAAGGAACAATTATTTTTTTATATAATTTAGGTAAAAATTTGGATATATTTTGCATAAAAATTGTTTTCTCAGCATGAATGAATGAACGAATATTTAATGAATTTCTTACAGCTGATGGTTATTGCAATTTTTTAAAATAAGTTTTGAGAAAGTTTTGAGAAAATTTGTTTTCTTATCAAATTGAATTTCAATACGAAAATATGCATTTGAATAAGAAATCTCCATCGATATTCAATAAAGTTATCGATGAAATTGAAGAAAAAATTTTCGATTTGGACGAACATATTAAGTTAGTTAGATTTTCTTAAAAGATTATTTCTTACAAATTTAAGGTTTTTTAAAATTTTTTGAAAATTTTCTGTTTATTCGGCAGAAAGGATTATTATTGGAATGTAAGGAACTGCAAAAAAGAAATTAGTTGTTTAGTGAAAAGTAATTTATTTAATGCAAAGGTGAAAATGATTGTAAAGAAATAGTAAAATTAAAGGCACAAATTCTTAATTCGTAAATTTTTTAACAATGTTCAGATTATTGTTTTTATATTATTAAATTATTATATAAAATATATTCAAATTTAGTCGTAAATATTTTATTTATATTTTTTATTAAATATTTATTTAATGTAATTAATAATAGTTTAACTGATAAATTTCTCCTTGTATTGCTTTTTAAATTATTTTTATTCGTTTTTTTAAGGGTTTTTATTTATATTAATTTAAATAAATTTATATTAATTTTAACAAATAAATAAATTTTAGTAAATTAAAATTAAAATCAACTAGCGTTTTACAATAAAGTTTAAAAAACTTAGTCATTCGTCGCATTTATCAAAAAATGCCACTCACTAAGTATGTAAATGTTCCATTTTCAATCCAAAATAGATTTGGAAAGTAGTGCATCGTGGCATTCGCAAATTGCGAGTTTAATTTACGAGCGATATTTTTGTAAATATGAATTTTTTGTTGCTAAATTAAATATGAAATATATTAAAGGTAATAGGAATATTTTCAAGAAATAAACGAAATAATCGTAAAATATTTGTTTTTGTTTAGAACCTTAACGAATTTATTCGATAATTTTATTAAAATGCGAATTGGTGGTTCAGCAGTTGTAATTGGTGCGAAATCAAGCGGAAAGTCCACTTTAATACGAAAGGTTCGAGTTAAAATTTTATTTTTATCTAAAAGCCTATTTCAGATTTTCTTTTCTTTATTTGTTTGCTTATTTTAAATTTATTTTTACTCGAAAAAGGTAATTATATATAAAAAATGGAATATCCGACTTGTCAGTTGCATTTATTGTACGACAACTGAAGATGGCTTTTTCCAATGATCTTTAGGCGCGTTAGGTTTAGGGTCGCCTAAAAGGCCCCTCCAATCGAAACAATGGATATAATTTACTTATATTATTTTTGTAAAATCTTTATGAGGGGAAATAAAGAGAGACTTAGATGTTATTATTATAGCGAGGAGTGAGAATCATAGTTGAAATAAGAAGGCTAAATGAAACAGATTAATATATATTTAAAGTTTAAATTTTCTAGGCATTATTTCCTTATGTTAGCAAAGCTGAAGTGCTATGGATTAATGGTTATATTTATGATAGTGATGCAGCTGCTATTCGTTTATTAAATCAGTCGGATAATGAAATGGTAATTTTTTTACTATAATTTTAAATTTTTTCTTTATTTATTAGAATAATTATATTTTTGAGAATTGATTTAACGTTAATTCATGAATTATCTTAATAAATATTATTTGATTATCAGATTTTGTTTAATTCAGAATTATAGACTGAAATCAATTTTTTATTAAAATTTGAAATTTATAGAATCAGCCGCATATTGCGGTAATTAAAAATTTCGAAAATTTTCTCCTTCATGGAGATCCAATTTTTTTGTACAAAGTGCTTAATACTTGTCGGCATCAACCGTTATTTGTTTTGCTAGTGAGCTGTCGACAGGTTTCTTTTCAAATTTTTATCTACTTTTTATTTCGGTTGGAAATCTGGTTTTACTTAAGAACAATTTAAGCAATGCTGAAATTTTGGCCTTTAAATGATACGAGTATAATTTTGACTGAGCCATAAGACATAATCGTTTGATAAAAGTGGATATGTTTTATTATGATTACTTCTACATTACTAATTTTGTTCCTAGCAATCATTTCAGGATTGTAGAGAGTATTTGGAGAAGCGAGCTCGTTCCAGACTATCGAATATTTGTTTAACTGTAGCTTATAAAGATGTTTCTATCGAAAAATATTTTGATGTTCTGCAGAAATTTTTACATTTAAATGATACGAGTGACCGTGCTATAAAATATAATCGTTCGATAAAAGTGGGTTTGATTTCGTTTTATGATTATTTACATATTATTAAATATTATTAAATCAGTAAATTTTTAAACTGCTGGCCTGCCTTAATCTCTTATTGCTTGATAAGATGTAATCCTAATAATAAACCGAACGCCTCGAAGGAGAGAAAAAATATTACCATATAGTTACTGATATTAGAAAATTGCAGGCTTTTCTAAAAGAAAAATTAGTTATTGATACTGTGAAATCACTATATGATGAAAGCATTAGTTATGCAGATTTAAAAGCGATTCTTGTGATATTTTTGTGCTATCTTGATAACGATCCAACTTTTTATGATCTTAGAGATAAACGGTGCTCATTTTTATTTAAAGAAGCAAAAGAAACAATCTTTCAAGCTGAGGATAATATGGAAATAATTCTTTCAAGTTAGATTTAAATTTTTTTGTTGTTTCAAATTCAGAAAAGATTGTTTGTTTAGCAGTAATTTTTGCAGTAATTGAGATTTTGTTCTTATATTTATTATATTTATATGAAATATTTTAATTATTTTATTTTATTTTGGTAAAATTTTTTCTTGTTGGAATTCGAAAAAATTATTTTTTTTTGGTTATTTTTTAGGCTTAACTGTGCGACAGTTATGTATTTTATCATGCTGTGTTAAAATTGTAAGGATTTCACAGAAAAATGAATTTACATATCGAGTTTTAGCTCAGAGTAAGTTTTTCCTTAGAATTAAAGGTTATTTCCTTAAATTTACCAAATTTTCTAAATCTTTTAATCTTCTTTTTTTAGATTTTTTTCGGATAAAGAAATTTATTAAAGATTTATTAGTTTATAGGTTATCATAAATTTTCGAGGCAGTATTTATCAGCTTTAAATGTTTGTGATGATTGCATAATTTTCAAAGAACTTGATACTTTATCAGAATTATGTATACTGGAGAAGAAACCTTTCAATGGCCACTTAGCTTTTAAAACGACTTCTTTACAGGTAATATTTGTGGAAGTTTTTGGCCTTTAATTTTATGCCTCTTAACAAAAGAAACTACTAGCAAAAATATATAAATAACTATAATCATAAATGCGCTAATATACTACTCAACAAAAAAGACATTTTATTGCTCTATATATTTTTAGATTCGTTTTATTTATAATTCAGTAGTGAATTTCAGGTTGATCCTGCTTTGTTGATAAATTGTTTTCATACACTGAAACTTCCAACGGCGATCGGTCATTGGCTCGATGAACTAGAAAATGAATAATTTTTCGATTTCCATACATAACATTATTGATTAAACATTGTGACAACGAATTACCACCGTCAATTTGTCATTTCTAAAATATTTGTCGTATTTTTTGTTGAATGAAGTTTAAATAAAAAAAGTGATAGGAAATAAAATTTCTTAAAAATTCGAAATTGGCCATTTTTGCTTATATATTTAATAATTTACTAATATTTTTGCAAGAAGCTTTATAACTTTTTCAGATTCACTTTTTGCAATGAATTAATTTTCGGTTGGGAAATTATTTTAACTTTATTTAGAAAAAAAATTTTTGAAATTTTCGGTTTTTGAAATATTTTTAAGGAATCAATCTTAAACGATTTGATTTTAACAATTTATTTAAATTAATTTCAATATTTTGTTAGTTAATTTTAATAATTTACAATAATTTTTTAGAATCTAAATTGTCTCGAAATTAAACTGTTGAAATTATTGATAAATTAATGAGAAATACGAAATAGAAAACGACGAATTATTTTCAAAAAATATTTGTTTTTTTTTAGATAATTTTGTATGATCGAAATTGTCGCGTTTAATAAATGTATTTATTTTAATCGTTTTTCATTTCATCAAATTTGTCCATTTTTCTCGTTAATTTTTAATAAAAGAAATTTTTCCGATAAATTTTTTAAGGTAATTTATTAAAAATTATTTTTTTTTGTTTTTTCATTTATATTGAAAAATTGCATATTTTTCGGAAAAATTCGATAATAAATTCGCTCATTTCGCAATTTTCTAATAAATTTAGCTTTATTTTTAAATATTTTTTAAATTTTCTTGAAGCGTTTACCATTTCTGGCTTTATTATTCGATGAAATAAATTTAAATAGTTTATCAGTATCAGATGGATTTTTGAAAGGCTTTCCGCCCACTAAAAGTGGATCCATAGCAGCGGCGCTCCGAAATTACAGCAATAATTCAATGAGCCATAAATTTTATTTCGATAGGATAAGTAGAAATTATTAAAAACTGAAAATTTTAGGTGGAAGTAGTAGCAGTGAAACGAAAAATCAACAAACGAAAGAATAATTCAGTACCAACATTTAATAAAAAATTTAAGGAGCATTTATCGGATTATTTAAGACAAATGTCCTCGCCGGATATCGAACAAGTTAGTTTGGACCTCGCAATGATTTCTCGTTTTTCGCTTCGCTGGTTTCTTGCTTCGTACGAATATCGTTGAGGGATTATTAGGTGATAGAAACAAAAATGACTCGCCAGTATCCCCCGGATTTTTGAAAAATCAGTTTCGCTCATTCTGGGCATAGATCGCCAAAAATAGCACTCCAAAATGAGACATTGGTCCACTAAGCTACTCAATCTTAAAGCGTAGAGAGAGAATGATATATATTTTATATTTATATTAATATTTATTCATATGGAATCTTTTAAATTTTTTTTTTTGCTTCAGTTTTATTCATTTCAATTTTATAATACTTATAAATAATTTTATTATTTGAAATTTTTTCGTTTTTTCCTATTCATTTTAATTTTAATAATTGTAATATATTAAAGATTTTGGCACCACTTCGTTCAGCAGTTAAAGAATATGGAGATTTAATAAGAGAGCTAAAGGAGAAAGGAGCACCAAAAGTTGACATCGATCGGGCTGTTATCGAGTTGAAAGCAAGAAAAAAACGATTAGAAGATCGTGAATTCGAACTTGCACCAAAAGAAGCATCGTTTGATCGTATCAAATTAGAGGATCTCCTTAAAAGACGCTTTTTTTATGATCAGTCGTTTTCTATTTATGGAGGTGTTTTATTTTACCGAATTCAACGCTAATTATCTTCTTAATGCTAGTCATTTTTCGATTGACTTGGTCCTTTTATTGCTATGTTTTTATTCCTTCGGAAGGCTGATAATAACTAAATCAGCATCATTTTCACTTTTATTGACAGGATTATTGCGGTTAAAAAATAACAGTTTAGCCTATGCCATTTGATTTCAGCGAAAATAATTTATCAAACTGTTTAATTTCGCAGGTGTTAATGGTTTATATGATTATGGGCCTATGGGCTGTGCTATGAAAGCTAATATGATTGCTTTATGGAGGAAGCATTTTATCTTGGAAGAAGGTATGCTAGAAGTGGATTGTTCCGTGCTGACTCCAGAACCTGTCCTTAAGTAATTGTTTGTTATTTTTTCCCGGCGGTTTGTTCTCTAAATAAATTCGTTATTCCCATTTCATTATTTTTAGAGCATCAGGTCATGTTGATCGTTTTGCTGATTGGATGGTGAAGGATGTTAAGACTGGTGAATGTTTTCGTGCCGATCATTTAATCAAAAATCACGCTGAAAAGATATTGCAGGTAAATTTTTTTCGGCCATATTTCTAATATTTTTATTATTTTTCGTTGCATTAATCGAAACATTTATCGTGATCCATGTCCATGCTTACTTTACCCATACTCTAGAATTTGACTGATTCGCTAATCGTTGTAAACAAGGTGAGAGAACAGAATCTTTTTTTTAGGATCCGAAAACTGATATTTCAACGAAAAATGCTTTAACCGACGTTTTGGCAAAGTTAGAAGGTTTTGATAATAACGATATGCAAGAGGTCATCAGTAAGGTGCTTTTTTATTTCCGACGAATTATCCTCAAAATTTTCTTCATAATTCCGACCGATTTTCAATTCTTTATTTTCTAGTTCAATTTTAAATCACCTGTGACTGGGAACGATTTAACAGAACCAATTGCATTCAATTTAATGTTCCCAACTCTTATCGGTCCCACGGGCGATTTTAAAGCATACTTAAGGCCAGAGACAGCTCAGGGTATATTCGTCAATTTCAAACGTCTTCTGGAATTTAACCAGGTTTTTTTTCATACCCAGTAGTTTTCATCTTATTTAATTATAATAAAATCGCTTCAATTTGAAATCCGTCTTAGGGTAAACTTCCATTCGCAGCAGCTCAAATTGGTTCTGGTTTTCGAAATGAAATTTCTCCCAGGCAGGGTCTGATACGCGTTCGTGAGTTTACGATGTGTGAAATAGAACATTTCGTTGATCCGAATGACAAGAAACATTCTAAATTTTCAAAAGTTTCTGATCATAAATTGAATCTCTTATCGGCTTGTAATCAGCTGGCAGGAAAATCAGCCGAAACGGTTTCAATTGGGAAAGCTGTAAAGGAGGTTTGTAAAATATTTTTTAAAATTAAAATTAAAATAACTGCGAAAATTTTTATTTATTTTTAAGTCAATTTTTTTCGTGGACCTATTTATTTTTATCTTTTTTAATTTTGAAACGGATTTTTGTTGAAATATGGAATTGATTGCCAAATTAATAATTTCAGAAACTGCTACTTATCTTACTTACCTACTTATCTTCATTTTAAGGGGATTGTGGCTAATGAAACTCTTGGTTATTATATGGCTAGGGTGCATATGTTTCTAGTCAAAGTTGGTATCGATCCTCGTAGAATGCGTTTTCGTCAACACCTTTCTAACGAAATGGCTCATTATGCTTGCGTAAAATTTTGACAAATTTTGAAATCGCGAAGCATTTTTTCACTTAATTCTTCTTTTGCGCCATTTTTCAGTAAATTCATACAGTTTTCCTTATTGAGGAAATCGAGTAGTGCCATATATTTTTTATTTTGAGGACTGTTGGGATGCCGAAATATTAACTTCCTATGGTTGGATCGAATGTGTCGGAAATGCAGATAGAGCTTGTTATGATTTGCAACAACACTTTAGAGCAACAAATGTTAAATTAACTGCTGAAAAAAGATTGGACGAACCAAAAACTATTAATGTGACGGAAATAGTGCCGAATAAATCTGCAATCGGTTCGAAATATAAATCCGATTCCAAAAAAGTAACACTTTGTTTTTAATATTGGTAGCATTAATTACATCTTTTTAAACTTGTTGTTAATTGCAGATACTAGCAAGATTAAACGAACTAACACTGGAAGAGATCGAGGAATTGGAAAAAAAAGTTGAATTTTCGAGGTATATCTTAAGTATTCAAGGCATATCTTTATTTATTCAGGTTTTTTCTTTAAAAGCTCTCATTATTGCTGGATAGATTCGCTCCGCTGGTTTGTCGCACTATGCCTTGGTGATAGAGGTACAGGTGAGTCGCCAGCATCACTTGGATTCTTGGACAGGTTTACTCCTGCGGGAAGTAGAAGATTACTTTCAGATTTCGCATTTATTCGATTTTTTTGACTTTTCTATTTGTATTTTGTTTAAATTCTTTTTTAATTTGTTTTAATTTTGCAATTCATAATTAAATCTTCTAACAGCTCATTATTATTGGTTAGGCTGGCTTCACTGGTTATAAGGACAAGACGTTTATACGCCACTTGATCCTATGCTATGTTCAATAGTTGCACATGCTACCTTTTTTCTAGTCAACTTGCAAGCCCATATAATACTGGTCTACATATTCATAATCTCACCTGTATATCAGTCCATGTCTTGATTGGTCATCCTTGCTTTTGACGCCATCTGTTTTAATAGATGGAAGAGACTAGTGGTGGGCATAGTTGACAACTTGTTATTAATTAGGTCGAAAGGAATGGAAGCTGATTATTTTTATAGTTTAATTTTACTTTTATTGCTTTATTTTTTGCATTTTCAGTGTCAAAATTGCTTATGAGGGGGGTGAAATCGATTTAACTAAAGAATTATTTTCAGTAAAACGATATGAAAAAAAAGTAAGTTTGGTTTGGTAAATTTATTGCTAACGTTGGTCGAAATTTTAAAGAAAGTAAGCAAAATTTACAAAAATTTGGTAAGATTAATTATTCATAATTTTTGAGATTCACGTTGAAGAAATTACGCCATCAGTCATTGAACCTTCTTTTGGTATCGGTCGTATTTTTTATAGTGTTCTTGAGCATTCATTTCGACAACGCGAAGGCGATGAGCAAAGACGAGTAACTATAATTTATAATTTATAATGTTAATATAATATAATTTATAATATTCTATAATTTTTAAATTCCCAATAAAAATTTTACAAATTATTTATATTTGTAAATTTATATAATATGCTGTTATAATTTATATAATATAATTTATATTATACTTGCTCAATTTTAGTTTCTGGCTTTACCTCCTATGATAGCTCCAATAAAATGCTCTCTCTTGCCAATTTCGTCAAACTCCGAACTAGATCCTATTCTCGAAGCAGTGCGTGATCAGTTGGTCGAGTATGAAATTAGTTTCAAACTGGTTTGTAAATCTCATTGATAAAAAATAAAGAATACAATACAAAATACAAAATAATAGAAAATTTGCTTTTTGGTTCCGCCGACTTTTGGTGTTGTTCAAAATTTTGTCAGCATATGATTGCTTGCGGATTGATGCCATACTTAGGCATGCTGAGGATTAAGAAGTTGAACTTGTGATGATCTGTATATTTTAATTTAATGCAGTTCGCAGCAACCATACTACGCAACTTTCCCTGGGTTTAAATACGCATTTAAATATGGGTTAAATATTCTTAAGAAAATGAATTTTTTGAAGGATGATAGTGCTGGTTCTATCGGCCGGCGTTATGCAAGAACGGATGAAATCGGAATACCGTTTGGTATAACGGTTGATTTTAAATCACAAGAGCAGCCTTGGACTGTTACATTGCGTTATGCTTTAACTATGGAGCAAGTTCGACTAAAAGTCTGTTTTTTTAGATTTTTTTTGTGCTCCTTTAGAAATTGCCAATTATTTTCGCAATTTTTTAATTCTGGGGATATAGCTTAACGAATATTATTCCTTCGCTCTAATTTATTTTATTACAGGTCAGTGAAGTTGGTAGTGTTGTGTCGAATCTTGCATCTGAACGAATAAATTGGCAAAACATCCTCGAAACATTTCCAAAATTCGAGCAAAATGAATCGTAATCCCCGTTATATTTTTTCTTCTTTGTTTGCTTTACTTCCTATGTCAACTGAAAATTGTTGCGAAATTCCTGGCGGTAATTATTTTTTTTATTCTTTTTTTGCTTTCGATGCAAATTTGCTTTGTTTGTTATTTAATTTATTGTAACTAATGAAATTTATTGTTGTAAGCCACTGGCGAGTAAAATAAAACAATCTCAATTAATTTACTAAACTTTTTATTCATATTTAAAATATTTTTAATTCAAATTAAAGATTTCATTGTTAATTTTCAATGTTCCACATTTTTTTCTCAAAGTATGGGAAATTTATTAATTAGTTTTGAATGAGTAAAATTTGCAAAAAAAAATCTTGATAATTGTTTTAGAAATTTCTCAAAAATTCAAATTTTTTTCATTGGTTTTTTAAGTTCGCACTTCTTTACGAGTTGAGAAAAATAAACATAAATGAATATAAGAACAAAATTTTAAAAATAAGCCTAAAGGCTTATTTTTGAAAGTTAGAAGAAAATTTTTTTGAGCTGAATTACATAATGTTTCCATAAATGATCTCTGAGGCCAAATCTTTGTTCAAATTTTGAAAGCTAATCGAAGCTGCAATAAATTATAAAAATTGTATCAAATTAAGGAAAAAAAAACTCCTGTGGGGTCAAATTCCTCTTCAACTTAAGGCCAAAGGTCTGAGAGTTCTAAGGAAATATCTCTCAGCAATAGCTTTTTATATCTCTAATGTTTTTCATTGCGAAGATATCAGTCTTGAGGCTTTTTTTTGAGTCTCTTGCTTGTAGTTGCATATTTTGCATTTCACGCAATTCTTAGGCATGAAATTTATGGATTTTTGATTAAATCCAAGGGTTTCTAAATTGAGGTAAATTGTAGTAAATTATAGGTAAATCGTAAGCAGTAAGTCATTTTCCAAGGAGAATCAGAGTTAGATCAATGGAGAAGTTCATGGATACCAGTAATCTTTCTTTTCTGACTCGAATATAAAGTGAACGCAGAAAATAGTTCATAAAAAAGAAAATTGGTAGTACGGAAGATCTTAGAGGTAACTGCTAATTTTTTCGAACCTTTCCAGGAAGGAATCAGACCGTTAACCAGTCATATGCCGGATATACTAAGTTGGCATGGCCACATTTTCAGTCGAATTTTTTAAGAAACAATTCTTTTCATAAGCGCACACCATTTCTGGTTTAATTATTTCTTGCTGCCTATTTCATGCGATATGAAAATTTTTGCCAGGAAATGGTAGTCGAGTAGATTTTCGATATCATCCGGATTCAATGATAGATTCATTTCTAAGAATAAAAAATATGGATGCAAATAAAATGGTTGAAAGCTTTGAATAAAGAGTTTTATCTAAGAAAAATTGCAAAATTGAGAAATAGAATGGCTCAGTGGCTTTTTGCTCAATTGAGAGCGCCAATGCTGAGGTTCGATTCCCCGCAGGAGTAAGTCTATACAAAAATCCTGGAAATGCTGGCGACTCACCTGCATTTCTATCGCCAAAATATTCTCCCTGGCATATTGCCTGATGTGACAAGCCAGTGAAGCGAGCTTAACCAGTAATCGCAAGGACTCCTTAAAGAAATCTCAAAAAATTGAAAAATTATTTGACTGAAATTAATTAATTTATTAATGAATTTACAGTAAAGCCAAAACTTCTTTATGAAGTGAATTAAATAGAAAACAATCCAACTGTAATTCACTGTACAAGAGAATTTGCATAGTTGTGGAACCAACTGTCGTCTCTCCTCTAATTTGCATGCGCTTCTTCTTCTAAGCTCTCTCCATTACTGGTTAGGCTGGCTCCAACGGCTACAAGGGTAAGACGCTTCCAAACGGCGCGGTCTGATGCCATCGTCGATAGTAATGGAAGCCAATCCTTTTTCCATCGCCTAAGTCCATATATTGCTGGTCCACCTATACGTTTAAAATCTTTTCTCACCGTATGAGTCCAGGTTTTGATTGGCCCATCTCGCTTTTGAAGCTGACCGTCACACGGTTTAGCAAATAACGAAATATGCGTCAACTATTGAGGTGGACGACGGAGAATGTGTCCTAACCAGCGAAGGCGACGCTCTGTGATAACATTATTTATGCAAGTGGTATTTGAATGAAGATGGATGCGATCTTGTGAAATGTTATCTGCTCGAAGGATCCGTAATATGTACCTTAGACAAGAGTGGTCAAAGGCAGATAACTTCTTAATATCCTCTACTCTCATCTCATTTCTATGCCCTAAACCCAGTTTTTCAATAAATGTCAGCATTAGACATGAAACTCTCAATGTGACAAACAAACTTTTAAAATATAAATTTAAAAGTTAAATTTAAATTTAAATTTAATATAAATATAAATTTGCAAAAATTTTATTTTTATGAAAATGAATATAGTTCGAAAAAAATACTGCAAATAAAGTGGACGCAAGAATTCGCAATTTTGAGTTCTTACTGTCTCATGAAATTTAGTGATCTCATGCATTATCACAGTTCGCCATTTATATTCCACCTAAATTTTAAAAATTTTATTCGATTCATTCCCATCCAAGCAGAATAAAATTACAAAATTTGCAGAACAAAATTACAAAATTTACTGAATGATTCAATTAACAGGAAACGAATTCATGCTAATTTTGATATGAACTGCCAATAAAATTATTTATAAAGCGTTTCGCCATAAGTGAAGTGATAAGTGATATTTTAATAAAGATGAAATAAAATATTACCAAAATTTAATACAATATTGCGAAATAAAGAAAATTATATAACAAATTTTAATACATATAATCAATGCAAAAGATATCATAATATCATATCATATCACTAATGAAAGAAAGGTACCATAATTATTACATCGCTAATTAAAGATATCACAATTATTATATCATTGATTAAAGGCATCATAATATCAGATCACTAATTAATAAGGATATTATAATATTATATCACCCATTAAAGATGTAATAATTAAAATTACAATTAAAGATTTAATGATTAAAATTAAAAATGTTTAGAAAATTTTTGATTTTAGCCAAATCTATTGCATGCGTGAAATATTATACGATGGAGAAGAATCCTCGTAGATGCTTGATTCGAAGTAGCGCTTTCTCCTTCGAATGCAAAGTCTGTATAAAATTAATGAAATAGCAACTGAGGTAATTGTAATTATTATAAGGCAACCAAATATTATCGCAGAATAGATCACATGCGATGAACGTTCCGATTCTGAAATCAAAATTCATTATGCAATTTGCGACGTGATTCTTTAAAGTTAGAAGTACCACTCGAGATTTGTCACACGACTATATACACATTAAAATATGCGTACTCGCTCTCTGAATCTCAGCTAATTACTAACGAAATTCCGAAGTGAATGGAATTTGTGGTTTCATTTGTAAAACAGTTTGGAGCTTTAATTGTTGCATACTGTTTGCATCTCGTAATTTACGAAATAATTGCCTCATAGATGTGAATTTATTATTATTAGCGATATCACACTGCTGAAAACCAAAGTTATATTAACCATTTATTTTTTTATCAGTTATTTTATCATTTTTGGTTTTTTCTTATCAATTGCTGATTAAAATTATCAGATTGATTTCGTTCATTTATCATTTAAATTCGGAGCAATTTTATTTTCCTATAAGCACATGTATGGCTTCGTCTATTATATATCTAATTATTATTCTCAAATAAATAAAAATGACTGTTCTCCTTTACAAGAATAAAAGCCATTGGTACCAATTATAAGTTTTATCAAATTTTCTATCAAGCTTTTGAAAATAAAAATCAGAATACCTTACGCATGCATGTATGAACGCATGGTCGTACTTGGCATTCAAAATGAACATATTGTGAAGAAGTGAATTGAAAGCCATACATATGAACATAAACATGTTTCGGTTCACCAATTTTTGCTTGGCTAACCATAACTGGCACATCAATAGCCCTGGCTAGTTTCACACCACAGCTGAAGGATTATTCAGTGTTTTCGGAATTTATACTCCATTTTTATGTGCGCACAAATAAAAGCTTTGAAACATTTTCTACTATTGCCTAGATTTCTCCTCTGATGATGAAATTTACTTCAATCATGAAAATGAATGATAATATTAGGACTCGGACTGATAGTCTATCAATTCCATGAAGAAGGCAAAGTAGCCATCATTTTCAAAGCTTATAGCCTAAGCATAATATTATTATTTATGACAAAACTCAAAACTTCAATCCTTCGAACCGTTATTTGATTTTCTGTTGGTTGTCTTATTATTTGTAATTTCTTATCGCTAACACCAACCAATATTTCATCAGTTTTTCATTGGTACATTTTAGACTTTTTCCCTATTCCCTTTTGCTCCCTCTTATATGACTTATGGCAAGTTCACGGTCATCTTAAATAAAATCACTAGAATAATAAGAGGAGTGATATTTTAATATGATAATAATTGATATCTCGAATATATATTTGAATAAATATATTGCAATAAAAACCCGTTAGCATCGATAATTTGGACCGAAGCGTCAGGACTATTGGTACCATCGTGTGCATAGCAAGAATGTGCAACAAAGTCATAAATTGCTGAAATAGATTTGCTTCTAGCGGATCTTCGAAATCACTATCGGAAACTGGTTATGAATTGAATTAACTAATAACTCTAATATTAAATAGTGCTTTAGAATTCTCATCGCCATCATTAAAAAATCTTAGTTTTCCTGAGTTAGTTATAATTCAAGAATCGTTTGAACCTGTATCTTTAAGTAAGACATCCATTGTTATTTTTTGCCCAACACTAGCCTCCGTAATTGCTTGGCCTTCGATTCCATGGCCATCAAGTATTTGGATGAGAAAAGCTGGTGTACCTCCACTGCCAGTCACAACTCCAGTTTGCTCACTAATTCCCCTGTTAAAAACAATCTATGAATTTTGAATATTGTTCTTAAAAAATGTCCTTAAAAAAAAAATAGCGTGCAGTCCTTTCCAACTATGCTGTATCTCTCGTGGTTGAAGTTGACCCAAACTCCCATTTTGCTAGACATCTTTCAGTCGTGAAAGAGGCCTTTAATAAAAAATGTATAAACATACTTCATAGTAATTCGAGCGAGCGTCACCGTAATGTCATCCACAATATACAAGCAACGAACTTCTAAATTTGTGACGCCATTCACAATTACAGTCCTCATTGGATTGATTATCAGTGATACTGATATCTCACCAGTTGACTAAATTAACTGGCAATATAATCTTTTATTTTTCCGCTAAAAGATTTTGTCAAAAATTTTCAATAAATTCTTATCTTCATTGTCGTTTTAAGAAGATAAATTTATAAATTTTATGCAAAAATGAATCTTTTGGAGTTGGAGAGAAATAAAAGAATTAGATCAACAGCTGTGAGCACAAAGTTTCATCCAATTATTTATAGAAGTACCACATTTAAAAATATAAATTGGGATTGATCTACAACATAGCACGCATATTTGGAGAAACCAAGTCTTGACAAGCCAAACCCATTGAAGACAAACCCGGGTAGCGCTGTCAGGAAAGCATTGTGCCTCTATCGCAAGAAACTTTCGCAGGAAGAAAAAATCAAACAATTCTCTTCTTATCTAGGCACATAGCCAATAATCTTGCGTCACATGCAATAAATAAACGATTAGTGCCAGAAGAGATGTGGAAATGAAAGTGATAGTGAATTCTCGAGCTAAGAGAAAAACTAATTTAACTCAATTTGGAAAGAACAAAATCAGCTGGCTGTATATGCATACGGCGAAGTTACAGCTGCAGTAACATGGAATGTTAAAAATCTTGTGGATATGGAATCAGATCATCTTTTATGCTTTGTTCATACGCTGTATAAATATCGCTGTCCTATCCGTCTTCTTCGGAAGATCCGTCCTTATTTTTCTGGATTGGAAGCAATAATTATGTCCATACAGCTACTGGCTTTTAATCACTATGCTAATAACTATTTGGTGGCATATTTAGACATATTAAGTGGCAAAAAAGGTTTTTTTAAATTTTTAAACTGACAATTTAAAAATAAAAAAATCTTTGCGAAAAAAAACTTTCGTATAATTTTAGCAAATCAGTTTAATAGAGTAATTATTGTAGATGTTTTTAAGTATTAAAAATAAAATAATTACAAAGGATGCTCATCGAAATAACGAAAAACCTGTTTTATGGATGTTTTACAAGATTTTGCATCCTTATTCGCATCAATTGTTGGAATTGACAAATTGAGATACAACGATGATGTGCCTTCCCATTTACACCACTCCTTATTATACGATTCATCGATATAAATAAGTCCATCGAATGGTTCCACGAATTCCAGGTTAACTAGCATCTGGTCGCTATAGCACATAACAGATTGATCTGAAATGATTGCAACCTTACTTATACAAATACAACTAAGCATTATTGAAGAATTATTTAAAATACTGAGAATTCTAAAAATTCTGTTAATTATCTATCGATCATTGTTTAGCACCTTAACAAATTTCGATTAATAAGACTATAATTTCCTTATTATTGTTATTTATCATTTGTCACTATCAGTTATCATTTTATGCAAAAATGATGAAACTAATTTCCTCGAAAAGATAATAGAGAAATAAGCTTCAATAAGCTTAAAAGAAAATGCAAAATGTAATTGAATAATTCGCTTAAATTCATGTTTTTGCATGAAAATTTGGTTAAATCTTTCTTTGATGAATAATTCTAATTAAATTTAAAAATTAAATTTACTTTTGATAAGTTTCGAGGAGTTATTAATTCGTATAACAGAAAATACAAAAAGCACGTTGATAACAAATTTCATCTAAAATTTATCAAATGTAAATTCAAATTATGAGATTTTATTTTGCGAACACGTGAAAAAGCTCAATTGACTTATTCGAATAGTTTTGAACTACGAAAATAACCGACTTTGAACTGAATTGCCTCCGAAAACTTTGGCTTCCCCGCTAAATTCGTATTTTTTAAAATATATGCGTAGAAGTAGCCATTGCGCCTTAACTGTAAGATTCAGATGATTATAAAGTGGTGATGATAAGCTATAATGTTTGGCATGAAGCGATAAAAAGGATAGAAAATGATGACTTCGTTAGGTTATGCCTAAGCTGAGTACGTATCATGGCGCAGTGAGATGAAGAAGATAAGCTTTTTTTGCGGAAAATGATATACATATATATATAGCGGGTGTTGCGAATGACATTTCAAAGATTGTACGATGATTCGTATGATTTTTGAGAAGCATATTAGTAAGTTATAACAAAAGAATACGATAGGATTTTAGTAAAAAAATTTGCCATTTGGGTACCATAGTAGAGAGGTAATCTGAGAGTTAGGAGGCCATACTTTTCGCTTTTAAAAAAAGAACAACGTGGTGCGATTTGGTTGAACTTTAATGAGAATTAAAGGGTTTTCTAACAGTAGATTCGATAAATGAAGATAATATTGTGACATTAACGGTGTTGAGATTTATGGAAAAAAGCGAGTTTTGATGGAGTATAAAAGGAACTTAAGAATTTGGTTTTAGAAAGGAACAGCTTTGAAGGATAGAAAAAATTAAGGAAAAAATTCCACAGAAGATAAGTTTCAATAAGCTTTGAAGGGCTAAATTCTAGAAGGACAAATTGCCAGCAACTTGGGATAAAATGGTACTTCAGGGATAGAAAAGATCCATAAATAGGAATAACTGGATGTAGAGCATGATTTTTTTCCGAATATGCCCACAGCGAATACACTAATTAAATTTTTGGCTAATCGTTAAACAGATATAGTGGGTTCACCTTCTTCTAAGTGATCCATTATTTGTGGTTTGGTTGGCTTAAGTGGCTGATAAGGCTACGTTTCGCTAGAGATTTACTTCTCTAAGGGAATAGACTGAGATCCTAGTCGATTCTTTAATTACAAGTTCTTTTTTATCAAAAAGCAGAAATCGAACTTACGATGTTTAGCCAAAGGCAAAACAATGGATAAAAAGAAATTGTTAAGAAACCAAGGATGACAAAATTATAATGGAATGTAATAAAAATTTTAAAAAAAAATCAATGTTTTTGACTAGAGAAATTTTGCCAAGGAGAATCACTAAACGATTGATATATACAAGTAAGGCAAACAAAACCTGGACCAATACAGCAGAAAAATTTTGAATTTGGGGACCAATGGTATGTGGATTTAGAAGATGGAAAGATGGGTGCAGCCCAGCCTAACCAGCAACGGTGATAGCCGTTAGAGGAAGAAGGTGGACAGGTTAATATGGCCATACATGCTCAGCTACCTCTGGGATTTCACTGTATTTCTTCGAATCTATTACTTCGAACTGCCTGCAACAACCCGTTGAGTTCTACTCGTCCACACCAATAGCTTTAAAGAAGTTTCATTTATTTTTATATAATATTTAAATATTTTTAATTTTTTTCTTAGAAAGTTTCAATTTAAGCGATAATTTTTGTAAATAGATGATTTTCTAATTTTCTAATCATTTCAGTCTTCCTTTATTCCTTGTTTGTTTGCTAATACATACACATACACACGGATGCACCGTGCACATACATATAGGGCTATATGATTTAATTATTGCTTCTAAGTGAATTTTTATTATTATCATAATGAAATGAAAAAAATCGAAGAAAAAATCTAAAAATATTCAATTGCAATTTTCAACTGACAAAAATGCTCAAAAACGATTTTTTTTATTCTTCATAAATCTTCATTAAGAATTTCAATAATTAATAATAATAATAATAATAATAATAATAATAATAATAATAATAATAAATAAATAAATAAATAAATAAATAAATAATAAATAAATAATAAATTTTATTTTATAATAATAAATAATAAGATTTGTTATAATAATAATAATATTAATTAATATTTATAATAATAAGTATTTTGAGATGATTTCAATAATTTCAACTCATGTCGTCGTCTTAAATTCTTCTCTAAACGAATTATCACAACGGATGAATGGCGCAGTGGAAATGGTCGGTTTTAAATTAACAATGCTTTATTTCGATAATATTGGCAGTGAAAAAAGCGGAAATACGATGATGATAAACTTCTTTCCCCGACTGAGATGCTTGATGACGCTTTATCTGAGTGGATATTCCGCGAAATTTTATCGTATAAATCGCTACTACGCGATTATAGAAGAGATTCGTCGAGGGTCGAATTCGTTGCGATTTCATATTCGCGTGAGAGAGTTTAAAATTGGCTGAACTTTTATTAAATTAGGAAAAAGTCTAAAAAGATTTGTTTAAACATGAAATACCTTCTCCCGTAAAAGTATATTTAAAAAGGGCGATATTGCTGGCATCCACTTGTACCTCTATCGACTTCTTCGCACTACTAAGGTACCTCACTGCTTGGTGGGACGAGCTAGCGAAGCGAACAAACCAAAAATGGTGGGGCCCTTGAGACAATTAGCATCAAAACATGGAAACATTCTATTTTATTGTTTGGCACTTTGGCTTGTTGACCCAATAAGCAATCAAACAAAAAATCTATGGTGAAATAAATATTAAAACTTAGATAAATAAATAATTTATAAGTTTCCTATAATCTTGATTGTCTTAAGTTTGATTTTAAAAAATGTATAGAAGATGGGAAAGGTTAAAGGTTAACTTACTATCTATTAATTTATATGGTTACATGATAATTTAGATGGTAAGAATGACACGAATGACATCGATTTGGGATGCAGATGAAGGTGTCTAACCTAATCAACAGTGGGTAAAACCAACAGTGGTGCTACTGGAAGACTGGAATATCGGTGATAACAATTTATATAGTCGGTGCAAATATGTAAAAAATTTCATTATTTCCAAAAATATTTCACATATTACTACTTCTTCTTCTTCAACTAATTTTATTGAAAATTCAAAACTTCCAATTCATTGAAACTTTTTTTTAATATGATTTTTAGCGAATGATTTCCAAAAAAATTTTATTTATTACAATTCAAATTTAAAAAAAAAATTTATAAAATTTTAATATTTGAAAAAAAGGACATTAATATTAAAATTAAATCTAATTTTAAACAAATAAACCATTTCGATGAAATATTTAAAAATAAATTTATGAAAAAATAAATAAATATTCGATAAATGATTTTTATTTTTTTATAAAAACTTTAAAGTAATTTTAAAAAATAATTAAAATATTTAAAAATAAAAAGATTAATAAAAAAGATAGCGAAAAATCGACACTCGAATATTTTTTAATAGTAATGATAGATATAAAAATAGTTCTTTTTTCCGTACTTAATAGTTGAAGGACGAACTAAACCTCACGGAACTAACTAACTGATTTATCGACTGATTAACCGACCTGATTGATCGGCTGATGGCCATCATTACTATTATTATTCTTCTTCTTCATATTATTATTATCGGCTGGAACGACAGACCAAATGAATCGGTGAAAAAATTTGCCTTCAATTAATCTTTTTGAATTCGAAAGGATAAAATTAGCGATCGTTTGGTTTCTCGTTGAATCTGATTGACATTTTTTCATAATAACCTTGAACAAGAGAGAGGGGTAATTAAATCCTTATTTACTGCTATTAACACTACAACACTATTGAATCGGATCCTTATTTACTAGTGCACCACTACAACACTATTGAATCGGATCCTTATTTACTAGAGCACCACTACAATACTATTAAGTCTGGTCCTTATTTTCTAGAGCACCACTACAACACTATTATATCAGATCCTTATTTACTAGAGCACCACTACAATACTATTAAGTCTGGTCCTTATTTTCTAGTGCACCACTACAACACTATTAAGTCTGGTCCTTATTTACTAGAGCACCACTACAACACTAATATATCGGATCCTTATTTACTAGTGCACCACTACAACACTATTAAATCTGGTCGCTATATACTATGAATGCTTGTAATGCTTGCATACTACAGTATTGCCTCTTCCCTGCTTTACTTATTCACCATCTTATGGTACCACATAGTATCACTAATCCACCACATATTACCAAAAATCTTTTTTTAAGAGTACAAAAATATTTTTTTGGATCAAAATAGAATTCTTTTTTTAATTTTTCTTTATGGTTATGAAAATGTAGGATTATTTTCAATTGCAGTTTGCGATTTACTTGATATTTATTATTTCTTATAAACATTGATGAAAATTCCGATTTTCCGATCCGAATTTAAATTATTTTTTAATATTCTTTTATTATTTTAGAAATAATAATAGCAATTGATCTATGGTGATAAATGATAAGCGCCAATAAATCTGGTAAAGAATTTATCACATAAGAAAATGAACTGTATAGTTTGTCAGTTATAAGCTCGTCTATAACAAATACAACTTTTTTTTAGACCTGGCCATATTTTTTTAAGCCCTATCGCAACCATCTAACAATTCTATGTTTGACTCCTCTTTCTCTCATCGCATCCATTTGACGATCTTAGACTTTTTCCTGTTTTTGTCATTTGAATCATTAAACCTATTTGCAATATTTGCTGGTCCCTATCGATAATTTCATCGCGAATTTACCATCTTCATGAAATATTTCTAATAACCAGCAGAACCTGTCAGACCAGAAATGATAAGCGCGATGGAATAAAGAGATAAGGGAAAGCGATATTAGCAAACATGCAATTATCAGACGATTCCACTTCTTTTTACGATACTCCACGAAATGGATTTCGCCTAATTGGCCACTCTCCTATTTATAAATATAATTATAAATATTTTATCGTTAAACGATGCAAGAAAAAAAGCGATTGAAAAGATGGATGCTTGCGAGGTTTTTGATTTGATTTGTGAAGAGTGAAGACAGTTTTTGGTTCAAATGAAAATTTTAGCGATTTCAGTTATTATTATTCGTAGAATTTATGACAAGGCCATCGCATATTTATTTATTTATTTTAATAAATAATATTTATGCAATTCTTCAAAAGTTTCGAAAATCGAGACATAACAATAAAACATTAAAAATTTATCGAGTTCAGGCAATATAGCAGTGGCTAAGCAAATTTAGTTTCAGCTTCAGCTGTGAAGACGTCTCGTCGAGATCGATTTCGCTGAAACCTTAGCTTATCAGTTATCACATTCGTCCTCTTCGACACTTCTATCACGCTATCACTTGCTTTGAAATGAGCTTTCTAAAAGATGTTTTAAAATGGAATTAACGAATTTATTTAAATTTAATCGAACAAATAGGAAATTTATTGAAAATTCTTTATGGAATGAAAAATCTATTATTTTTAGATGAATAAATTTAAATGAAATAAAAGTGATAAAATTTTGTGAATTTCTTTTTTTTTGACAAATTCTAAGAGAAAATCTATAAAAATTAGGAATTGAATAAAGGAGGTCAAAGGTTAAACCCATTTGTATAGCAGTTTCACTGTCCTTCTTTTCTTATTTTTTTATGGAATAGTCGCTCTAAGATTGACCAATTGACTTATTTGGAATAAATTTTAAACTATCATTTTGAACAATCATTTTGCAAATGAAATTTAGAGGAAATGACTAAATGAGAAGCCTGAAACCTGTGGTCCCCAGTATTTCCTCCTATGGTTCCCTTAGGCTTGCGTCTCCTCTTCCATTCAAAAAATCATCGCTGGCCTGTAAGGCTATAAAGAGATGTTACAAATAATTCATTGCGAACGCTTGGACGAATTTTACATGTTAGCCGTACGTGGTCGAAAATGTGCACACTCAGTTTACTCTTCAGATTTGTTCATTTCGCTGGACTTGTCTAATTTTTCTTGGCTCGGGTGTTCGGATGATTTGGCTTGTGTTGTTTATTTCATGAACGGAATTTAATTTAAACATATATCATCTTCTACGCTTTATTATTTCACAAGTGCGGCAAAGTGGTTTGCATTATTCATTCCCTTTAATTGGAGTAAGCTTATCCAATAAAAATGAAATTCGTTCGCACCTGAGGACCCTTCAGTTCCTCTGGAAGATCCTTCTAACTGGTTCTTTGGCAGAAAGGTTTTAGTATATTAGCCAATGAAACTAGTTAGGATGAGTTCTGCTTAAAGGAGGGAACCAAAATAGTTTGTAAACTATTCGACAAAATTGTGAACGAGGCTCAGATTATAACAAATAAAAGCCCAGGTTTAATTTTAATTTATATATTTATATTTAGTTTTGATTTATTTGATTTTTTATTATAAATAAATAACTTGTGAAATTTTCTTTCTAAGCATTTCTTCTCTTTTTGTGGCTAAACGGTTGCCTATCGGATTAGTCAAATTTTATCAAAGAGTCATTTTGCAACAGAAATATAGGTGAATTATTTTTGAAAGAAAAGTCTATGCTTGGCTTAAAACCTGAGCAGCAGTGCTCCAAAACGACAGCAACAACCCACTGAGCCAACAATAAGACGAACGGTTCCAGGCTTCTTTTACGATTAATTTACCTCCTCCGATTTCCGGTGAAACAATTTGTCTTAAAAAATTAATTGGCTTTTTTTAAATTTTTCGTTAAGCAGTGCGAAATCTAATCTTTATTGCTTGTTCTCAGTCCCGAATAATATTATTCATCGATTATCACCGGCATTATATAATTATTGAAAAAATTGCTTTTTTCTAATTTGAGATTTATTTGTTAGTTTTTATTAATTTCAGTTATAGTTCAAAATATCAAAATGACAATTCAAAGGGGAAACGTGTTCCGCAGAATTGGTGGAACAATTTTCTTTTTCAGTTTTTTGCTTTTCAGAAAGTAATTTTTTATTATAATTTTTTTTAGTTGAATTTTTTGATTAAAAAGATGGATTTAATTAAGAAATTACCAAGTTGCCAATATTCAGAGAAAATAATAAAGCTTCGATGAGGAATTGTTGGTCTTTCTCTTTTCAATATATATTTGTTCGGTTTCGCCGATCATTTAGATCTTTTTCGCATGAAAATCATTTGGGGATAGAAATTCAGCTGGGTACACAACAGCATACGGATCTCAAATGATAGGTTCTCAATTGCATTAGAGAAAAACAGGATTTATTTTATTTCGATATATGATTTATTATAACATAAACAGCAGCACTACATGGATTCAGTGTCTTAAATATGGACTGAAATCTCTCAATTTTATTAAATTTAAACAGATTTGAAACTCTCTAAATTTCTTTCACATTATTTTTTTTAAAACAAATTTTGGGCTTTTTGAATAGTTATTTTTTAAATGAGTTTTGAATCTTTATGGGTAGTTGTTTGGTTTTTTTTAGAATTCAGTCCAATTTTTCAGGTAAATTCTTAATTCTTCTTTTTATTGTTTGGTTGAAAAATGCCTTTTACCGAAACGTCGTTAAATATTTGTGACTGGGAAATTGAAATTGAAAAAAATCTTCGGGCGATCAATATCGCTGGAAAAAAGCTGATTTGCGATCGTGCAAAATGTACTAATCCCGGCATTGAACTTTTGCTTATTTCGCAAGAGGTATTTTTATTTTTTTTAATGTAATTATTTTTATATTAAATTATTCTTATAATGCAAATATAATAAATCTTGAACAATTTTCATTGATTAATTGTTTTTGATAAATAATTTACAGGCTAAATTGATTCGCTATATTTCAAAGATTTATTTTTTAAATGACCTTCATAGAGGGACAGCTTTTCCATCATTGTTTGATTGGCTTCATTATGTTAATATTTCACCATCAGAAATTCAGAAACTTATGGAACATTTACATACCTTACCTGAATTGGCTGCGATGAACGATAAGCAGGTTAATTTTGATTTTATCTCTGGAAGTTAAAAACCTAAAGTTAAAAGTTAAGTTAAATTTGAAAGTTAAATTTCCATAATTATGGCAGCCGTTTTCGTTTATTCTCAGTTTACAAATGTTTTTAAATTTTTTTAAGATTTAGTTCTTATAAAATTTCCCCATTAATATGCTTTTTTTTCATTTTTAGATATTTGATTTATGTGATACTTTACGGTTTAGTACCGAAAGTCGTCGTCGATTACGAAAATCATCATATAGTATGAAACGATATATCTTAAGATGGAAAGGTGCTTGTTATTAATTGATTTCAACATTCAATCAATATTTTTTTATTATAAATGAGATTTATGTATTTAGGTCCAGTCTCACGACATTTTCATTTATAATTTATTCATTTTTATTGGGAAGTTATTTATCTTCAGCTGATGGAATTGAGCCTATACGAGTTTTTCTTGATAAAGATTTGGCATGGTTAAGTTTTGATCGATCAACATCACATACGAATCGTAGATGTGGTTCAGAAAGTACCGTCGATTCATTAGCAAGTGATTCTGGTTCAGGTATTTATGTTTTTTATCCAAAAAATAGAGTTATTTTCTAATTTTTTAACCGGCGTCATCATTTGTACAATAAAGCCATATAAATTGTTTCATTGGTAAATTTTCTTGCAATTAAGGGATGGGATCCAATGTTTCTCAATCGTCGTTGCCAACAAGTACTCCTCCTCCTAGCCCTGGAATTTTTCCAAACAGCTCTCTGATTAGTTCTTCGAAGTCAGCCAGTAAACTGAGGTTATCTTTCCCTACAGCTTTGTTCAGTATTTAATTGAAAAATTTAAATTGAAATGTATTTTTTTGTTTTATGGCTCTTCTTAAACGGGAATTTAGTAGTAATGAATTCGTAAATTTTTTAAAATCGAAACAACGACAAAAAATTTGAAACACAAGATTCTTATTTTTTTCTGTCTTGTTATTTTGGATCATTTAGAATTGAATAGAATTGAATTAATTTGTAAAATTCTAAAAAAAAGTTTAAAAATATTTGAGGTAGGCAGTAATTAAGTTTTTAGCGCATTCTGCATAAATTGTTGAGCGTATTTGAAGGCAGTGTTTGATTGGCTTTAAGCGCTTTAATAAAGGGTAAATGGTAATACTCTGTTATAATAATATCTTTAAACATATAGTAGTATAAAAGAAAAATCAATGAAATCAGTGCGACATTGAATACCCATTCAGATATCATAACAAAATATTAATTTATATTTAGGTTTTACAATTATTTAAGATATTTCTCCATTCACTTATTCTTAATTATTTCAGTAATGCTGCATTGGCAGTGGTACGTGCTAAAGAATGTGCTAGTGGAGCAGCTATTGCTGAAAGTGAAATTTTGGCGGATAGCTCATTAAATGAAGGTCTCATTCGATCGCATTCCCATGAATCGAACATTCAACAAAAATTGTCCTCTGAATCAAATGTTCAGTCTGTTTCTCTCGCCAGGTTTTTCTTTAGAAACCAGGTTTTTTTGGAAATGAAACCAGCAAAATTTAAAATTGCTTTTTTTCAGCTCTCGATCAATAAGTGATTGTCTTTCTGTTGCCAGTCCATTGCCAGCCTCGTTCTCTCCACTGTCTTATCATAAAAATACTAATCAGTACGGTAAGATTCTATAGAATTATGTATTTTAATACGATTATTATATTATATTAATTTATATTACACTGATTATTTATATTTAGAAACAGTCTTTCTGAAATTGTTGCATAAAGGAATATTCTTCAAAATTATTTCCAGGCACTTTACCGAAATCACCAAGAGCCGCTCGAGCTGTTCATTCAATACCGCATCAGTGGCGTAAGAAGAAGGGATTTCGAATCGCTGCAGAAAATTGCCATTTTTGTCAACGTCAGCTAAATTTTCTTGGTGAATATGAAAAATGTAGATCTTGCAAGTTAGTACTTTTTTATGCAATTTCAACTTTATTTATGCAACAAATGTACTTGAATGAAATTGATATTCGAGATATAGGATTTTTCGAAAATTTTTTGTAGATGGAAAGTACATCCTCAGTGCAAAGCAAACATTGGCGATTCTTGTGGATTAACACCTGATTATCTCAAGAAAGCTATCCAAGAAATGTTTCTCAAAGATTCAGGAAAGGTGATTTTCATTTTCTTATATTGCACTAGTAAGATAAATGAGAAATTTCTAAAATTCTGAAAATAAATTGAATTGTAGGATGGCTGGACGCCGACGTTGCATGCTTCCACTTCTCACAATACCTTTGCTTTTGATTCGATAGATAGTTCTTCTAGTACAAATAGTTCTGCTCCTTCGACTCCCGCATTTCCAACTATATATTCCGGTTTATATTAGATTTTTTAAATGAATTCTTTTTTTCGACTAAGTTTAAGACTAATTATAAATGTATAATTTTTTTTGTGAAATTTCTGCTGAAAAATACGGAAGTTTCAGCCGCGGTTTCTTCACTTCCTAGTCCATTTTTAACTGCTAATTCTGCTTATCGAAATGATTTCATATTTCCTGATTCTGTTCCAGAAGTGCCGGATATTATTGTTGATTCAGGACAGAGGTTTTTGCTTAAATCAGAATGTTCATATAATGTTCATACCTTCATATTTCTTTCATATTTCATAAATTTATAAATTGATATGTAAAATAAATATATCTTATACAAGTAAATTTTTTCTCATTTGAAAGCGATTGCAGCGAGCAGCGTTTGTCTTCGCAGGGCTCTGATTGTACAGTGCAATCATCTTATACTGGAGGACCTGGAAGCTCTGAAGGGACTCTTATTACAGATTCGATAGGCAGTAATCAAGGCCAGTATTTAGATACGCGAGTATGTTGCTTACAGTATTTTAGCTTTTGGTTTTTTTTAGTTTTTTTATCATGAATTATAATAAACCTTATATCATGGATTATGGATTATAATATCATGGATTATAATAAACCTTTATAGTTCTTCTTATGCAATGTTTGAGAAAGAGTTATTTATAGGATGATAGTGGAGACCAACAACAGTTGAGTCCAAGTAGTTGCTCTTTGAATAGGGATAGGTGGAGCAATGGTACCATTCGAATACCAAGTAGTTGGACGGATGTTACAATACCCTTTTCTCAAATTGAATTTAAAAAGCAAAGTCTCATCGGAAGAGGACGCTTCGGAGAAGTAAAAATTCTCACTAACTTTTTTTCATTTTCACGCAGAAAATAGTTATATTGGGCACAGATTTGCAAAATTTTTGATGAAAATTTTCTCATGAATTTGTCTATAGCCAAAAATAGCGCTTTTTTTCTCAAAGGAAAAGCGAGGAACGGATTTTTTGATTTACTGAAAAGACGAAATTATTGAAAATCTGAATTTTAAAGAGAGGATAACAAGTAAAAAAACCCGATCTTTTTTAAATCTGTTGTGTTAAATATAGATTAATATGGATTTTTCTACTTTGAGAATAAAACATTGATTATAAAACAGTATTCAATGTAGCAATCTTCATCTGAATTTTGATAAAATAATTCTATAGAATAATAATATAATCCACTAATAAATTTCGGATTTAAACCTTATAGTTCTTCTTATAATATAAGTCATTTTCAGGTCCATAAAGCAAACTGGTTTGGCGATGTGGCTGTCAAATTTCTGGATATGGATTATGTTGATGAGGAAAAGCAGCTTGAAGCATTTAAGGCACTCTTTGTCCATTTATTATTTTCCTATATTGTTATAAGTCGGATATTCTTTAATTATATTCAGTAAAAACCGAGAAACATTTCTATTAATGATATATTATTTTTAGGCTGATGTAGTGTCTTTTAAAAATACTCGGCATGATAATTTAATTCTCTTTATGGGGTATTGTTTTGATCAGAATAGATTGGGTATTGTTATGTATTATTGCAAAGGTAATTCTCTCCATCGTTCAATTCATGAACTTTATGAAAAATTTGATTTTGCTCAAATTGTCAATATTGCAACTCAGATATGTCATGTGAGTCATTTTAAGTTTTGTCTTTGCTTGAAGTGATTATGTGATTATTGATCAAAGAATTATAAAACCTTTACAAGATTTTTTTTATTGTAGATATATTTATAATTGTTATATATTTTAGGGAGTATCGTATTTACACACAAAAAATATAATCCATAAAGATTTGCGGACAAAAAATATTTTTGTGGAAAATCGAAATCGAATTGTAATTACCGATTTCGGATTGTTCAGCATGAAGCGACTTGCGAAACCTAAACGGTCAGATTTATTTATCAATAATGATACCCTTCTTCGAAATTCAATTTCATTCAATTTTGTTCATTCAATTTAAGGCAACAAATTATAAATATTATAATTATATATTTTTTATTGCTTTTTACTATTGTATTATTACGGTATATTATAATTTTCACCTTTTTACATTAAAAATTAAATAGTGCAAAATCCCTGGATTAGTCTCCAGATTAAATGAGTTTTTTTCCAAGCTAGCTTCTATTGGCTATTGGTGTTTAGAAATTTTTTTCCGGGTGGGGAAGGTGGGCGGGAGAGGATGTCATTTAGCGATATAAATTTAAATTTATCGCTAGCACTGCCTTGATGTTTTAATGATGGATTTGTTCATGTTAGAGCAGGGAATCGAATGTATGAAGCTCGATGCAAATCCATTCAACTATAACGCTGGACTCTTTTTGCTATTTTGATGCTATTATCATATAAATCATGTTTCATTTAATGTTTCTTAATCTTGATATCAGATGACTGGATATATCTGATTTGTGAATTTATTACCTTCTATCGCTTAGATTTTTTTCTTTAAGTGACTGACTTCCAACTTCAGATAGATTGTTTTTTAGGACGCATACATTTATAGTACCTGAATATTGGTTGTCGTATTTATCACCAGAATTGATAAAAGTTTTGTCTGCAGATCTGGATCCATTGCCGTTCACAGAAAGTAGCGATGTTTTTGCTTTTGGGTATGTTTTCTGGTGTATGAAATATTTTTCGCAACTTTCATCATTTAAAATATTCAATTTTGGAATGATTCTGTAAATGTTTTGTATTACATATATGAATAACTTGTTTTGCACTACAAATTGTTTTGCATATTTTATCTATTACTTTCTTATTTTAGAACAATTTGGTTCGAATTAATGACCTATGAATTCCCATTCTCACAGGTGGCTCCTGATATAATTATTTGGCAGGTTGGTCGGGGGATAAATGGTGCATTAAATAATGTTAACGCTACTCGCGAAGTTAAAGTGAGATTTTCCAATATTTTTTACATTCCAAATCGAACTTTTTTCGATTAAATGAATGATCCGAAAATAATTTTTTAATATTTTAATATTTAATTTTATATCCGTAATCATTTGCTGTTTTCTCAGGAAATTTTGACGCGCTGTTGGTCTTATTTACCTGAAAATCGTCCTTCTCTCAGTGATCTCCAAAGTATGTTGGAAAAGTTACCAAAGAAACGTCTTAATCGTAGTCCGTCATTTCCTGTTTCACGAAGCTATGAATCAATGTTTTGAATCCGCAGTTTGTTTGAACTTTTTGTACTTTCATTTTTTCCTATTTGCGATTTTTAGAAGCAAAACACAGCTTTTGCTTTCTAATTATATTGTTTGCATTGTTTATGTAGTATAATTCGATCTCTTTGTAAACTTATCAGTCTTTTGACTTGACTTATGACATATCTTTTATAGCAGTTTGTATAAATTTTTATTGTAAATTAAGCCAATTAATTAAGAATTACGAAATTAAGAGTTCATAATCGTCTCTGTGTCACTAATTTCCTTTGTTCATGAAATTGATAATTAACTTTTTATGCAAAAGTTTGTGAAATTTTTTTATTATTTATTCATATCACGAATTATTCAAAACGAGATTCATAACGATTGCAATATATGGGAGACTTTTTAAAATTAAATTTAGATATTTTTATTCATTAAAAGACCAAATATTAACACAACTTTTTTTTTATCGCTATATTTATTTATTTTTGACTTTTTCGATAAACTGTCGAATGAATATATAATATAAATAAAAAATATGCAAAAAAAGCAATTTATAAACGATATATGTAAATGGGTTATTAGAAATCTAAGCAAAAATCTGATTAAATCACAATAAATAAATGATAGAAAAGACGCCGGTAGAAACTCGGGAAATTTGAATTTATTTTTTTTTTACGATAGATTTAAACCATGTTGGCCTCGGTGAATCAATTTCAACGACTCGCATGCCCCCAACAATTTCTTTAGGATCATCATTAAATCGAACAAACACAGGCCTATCTTGACGTTCGCCAATGTAGGGGTTGTAATCCATCATTTTCTCTTTGATCGCATTTGTGACTTTACGTACTTTATCGTAACATGAGCCTCAAAAAATATTTTGATAACAACGTCTCACAAACAAATTATTCATCGAAAGAAGGAAGATATGGGTCATCTAACATTGGAGTGGGGATTATGTGTACCATAAGTGAATATTGCGAAAACACATATCTCAAGTGACATCCGTATATTTCGATGCGTAATCCCTAATCTGTACTTGACACGGTAGTGTGTGCGATGGATAACCAAATCGGCTTAAATTATAGTCTTATAATGAAGGTATATAGGGAACCAGTCAAAGAATTTGCACAATTTCTAATCGGTGTATGAAATAAGATGCTGTTCACAACTTGGAATGTCAGAATGTTTATAAATATAGATGCTAATCGCTCACATTTATCCAAATATCTTGCAGATATTGCTTGTCGAAAATCCATCTCCCAAATTCTAGATTCACGATTTCTAGAATTCTAGAAGCAATTATACTTGGACAAAAACTAGTGAATATATCACTGTAATGTTCCGGAAAACTCATAAAGAAATAGAATGACTGGTCCGAAAAAACACAATCAGATCTAATCCTACTAATGGTCAGCCTATGTTCGCTTTGAAGTCAATATCTCAGTCGTCAGATTTAGGACAAAATCTCTCCAGAAAAAACAATACAACATAAGAAATTGGGATGTTGCAACATTAAGACATGCCGTTGCCCTGTTATTTTCTTCAACTAGTCAAACGTAACACGACGTTTCCCAAAATGTTTGACTATCTGAGCATAAAAGAAATATAAAAACGCAGAGAATATAATTCAACCTAATATGATCTCAAGAACTCACTGTGGCATGTCTAGAACAGCCAATGAGATATGGTACCAATCGCAGTCCTGTCTCTCGAAATCGGCCATATCTACCCATCTCAACTGTTTAGAAGCGAAACTGAATAACTCGGATGAACGATCTAATTGTCTAACTGAGCTACCAGAAGATGATTTCAATGATAATGCTACTTGTAAGAAAAATAAAAAAAAATATCACTTTAATACAATAGAAAATAACCAACTTCTCATTTAAGTTTAAAAAATAACATAAAAAAGACGAAAAAATAAAAAAATCTGGAACTAACCACAAATTGTGTGAATTTCATGATAATCTCCACAAATCTGGCAAGCAATGAGGTTCGTTTTCGGCGAATACAACTTATTATAAGCAAATCTTCTCGTTTTTTTCTTGACTAAATAATTCTTAAATAATTCTTATAATGACATTAAATAAATCAGTTAAAATTAAAACCAAATGATCATTTCGAGAATTACGAGTTTTAACAAATTGCTCTTGATCTATTTTGAATTATTTCTCAATTTCCCGATTAGAATCTTACTGTTTAACATTTTTTTCGTTAATTCAGCCAAGTTTTTTTAAAATTTTTTAAAAGAATTTTAGAAAATTAATAAATATTTCTCTTTATTTTTTAAATTATCTTTAAATTTCTCTTTCTAATTTAATTATCTCTATTTCCTGTCTTTGACAGGAGTAAACCTGTCATGAAGTCAAAAATCCTGGTGGCTTCTGAAGACCAATCTGTATTTCTATCCCAAAGTGGTTCTAAGTGAAAGGATCAGATCTCTTTGATGCGACGTCTGCGTGTTTCGACGCGCATGCTATTTCTGATCCGGTGGCACACGCGATAAATTAAGATCCAGGCGTAATAATAACAATAATAAAATTCCCAGGCACAAACATAGAATTTGCGAACCGAGATGATACTCAAAACCTGTCAAGGGAAGTGAGAATTTATCTGCTAACACTTTGTAAACGCGGTGAAGTGTTGACTATAGCTGTAACACTTTATAAACGAGAGAAAGCTTATGGACTTGCAAGTCTAGCGATCACTGTCCAAACTCTTTCTAAATATCGTGTCAGAGGTCTATCCTCCTCATGTCGGCTCTCGAGTAATTATTAAACCTGATTCAGAGCAAATATTGGCTATATTACTGCGATGACTCGGATAACTCGAGGAGAAATAGCATAGCGATTGTCATATCTGAAAAAGGTCGATCCGTTCTGATTGAATGGAAATGCCCGTATGGCCTATGCACGTTTCAAGTTCTACAATATTTTGGTGATCAGTGTATATGCTCCAATTTTATGCGCAGATGATTGCGCTAAGGATAAGTTCTATGCGTAGCTTCAACTGTTAACAAGATCTCTAGATGACATGGTGATAATTGGGGAAGACTGGAATGTGTGCATAGGTCATGGTACTGTTATATAATAAATTCGGTAATTGGCAAATATGGCATTGGAGTCCAGTGCATCAATAGAGAACGTCTTCATCGTTTTGTCGGAGAGCATGAACTCATTGTTACTAATGCATGCTTTCGGAATCGGAGGAGAAATCTAGCATGAAACTTTCCGAAACTTTCCGAACAACCAATATTCCAATCAGATTGATAATATATCAATCATCGCTGGAAGAATTCTTGATAGTCGTATCTGGGCGCTGAAATTGTTAAGTGCTGTGGATCAGATCATATTATGGTTCGAGTCAAGATTCGTATAAAATTGACAAGTCGTAAGAAACCCAGGATCAATCATCTCAAATTAGAAGATCCGGGAGCAATAAGCGCATTTCAAATCGTATTATTGAAACACCTCAGTGAAATGGACGTCAGATGGACAGTGATATCTCTGGAAAGGCGAATGAATAGTGGTTCCAACTAAAGACATGCCTACAAAAGTCACTCACTTTTAACTACGGTATAATAGTAGGAAGTTATCAGAAGCAATTGTTCAACTATCTGAAAACTCTGCCAACGTCCGAATGTCAAAAGATCCTAACTATCGGGTTTCGAAGAATAACAGCGACAGCAACACGGCGAGATAGAACTGTTTCGTCTTCTTCACAAAGCAATTATAACTCGAGAAGGGATCGGTGAAATGATGCGAAATATTAATGGGGTGTCTATTAAAGCTGTTAAGGATAGTCGCAAAAGATGGAAAAAATTTTTTGAGGCCAAACTTAACCACGATATATTTATAGCCAGAAATATGTTTTGCCAGATGATGAAACTTTTGAATGGAACCGTTGCGAAATCACCATAAAGACGAAAATCTGCGTCCATATAGCTGTAATTCGCTCGATCTTGCTACATGCCTGCACGGCCAATGAGTGTGGACGATATTAAGAAACTATCAGCCTTTGACCACTTATGTCTAAGATATATTTTACGGACCCGTTGAGCGGATAAAATCGCAATGACTGCATCCATCTTCGCTCAATTATCACCTGTACTAATAATGTTACCACAGAACATCGCCTTCGCTGGTTAGGGCACGCTACATCATCCACCATAGGAATTGAATCGCATATTTCATTACTTGTTAAACCCTGTGATTGTTGGTGTCAAAAGCGAGGAGGGCCAGTCAAGACCTGGACTGATACAACCAGGAAAGATTTTGAACTTTTTTGAAAGATTTCATAGGAGAGCAGCGCTAAATGAACGATGGAAAAAGGAATGGCTTCTATTACTGTCAGTGATGGCGTCGGACAGAGCAGCTTGGAGACGTATTACCCTTGTAGCGGAGTCAACTTAACAGTGAGTCAGTAATGGTGAGAGCTATTAGCAGAAGAAACCCAAATGACCATTTAACTACTGGGAACTAATGTAAACCAGAAAATTAAAAAAAAATTTACCAGGCAAAGATAAAAGGTAAAATAGAAAATGAGCCAAATATAGTAGAAAAAAAAATGTTTATAAAACATACGAGTAGGTGTACGGTACTTGGGAACACCGAGAAGTACGCGAAATCCGTTAATTAATTCTTCTAAAGATGTTGACAGCGGAATTCGAACATTATTCATGTCATTGTCAACCAATGCAAAAGATGGGCAAGGATAGTGATAATCGCCAAAATGTCCCTTATAAATCAGCGACACAATACGTCGTAGGAAATTAGACATCCTAAAAATAGCATTAATCAACCAAGTCAACCCACGAAAGATCCACAAGCACTATCTTTTATATTTTGAAATACCAATTTCAGCCTAAAATTGGAATTGAAATCAAATTCCTTCTGCGTATCGTTTCTAATTTGGCTTATTCCAATCGAGTGGTAAAGCTCTTTCTCAGCACTGAGTGAGAAAAACATCTCGCACGCCTCAAAATTATCCAACCGGAATTCATTTTATTCTTCCTAATGGGCAAAAACCTAGCCAATTGGCTTATTCTCCATTTGACTATTTGATTTGAGTTAAGGTAATTCTCCTTGAAAAAAAAGAAATTCCATAACTATTGCAATAAAAAAAATTAACTTTCGATGCAATTTCATAAGTTAATTTCGCTGCTACAGTAAAGCTTATTTAGTTCATCTAACAAACATCTAATTGCTTCTTTAAACGCAATAAAACCTAAGAAAAAAAGAAACGAAACATTGGCAAGGAATCAAAATGACCGAGTAATGCAGCTTTATATATATTTATATAAACTGTAGAAGCAAAAATTTATTGGTTCAATCATAAACAATAAAATAGAAACAGATAATTTATAAGAAAATTAAAATTCATCATCATCTTCAGCCATTTCTTTTGCAAGTTCCAATTCCTTAAAAAGACTTAGTAACTTTAATACCCTTTTATTTTCATTCTTTCTGAAAGATAATTGACCGATATTTTAGAAAAAAATTTTTTGGAAAGAATCACCTATAAATAATGAAAAAATAATATTTGGCAAGATGAACTACTATAATATGTGATTCATTTGCAAATCAGACCTGAAATCCCATCTAAATCACGTTTTTTCTTCCATGCGTGATGTTTTGTTAGAGACCATGATATCGCAAGAATGGTGGGATGTTACAACAAACCACTGATCAAGCTATTCTTAATCTTTTCCTCACTTATATCCTGAAGTTATTTTAATTTTTTCTACTCGAATTTCCCCTTTTTATTCTATCCAAATTTACATTATACTTATTCTTTAGACTTTTTCAATAATCATTAAATATTTTATGATGAAACAATTTCTTGGTTAAACAGCTTTCATATAGCAGAAATGGAAAATTGGTGCAAACCTGTTCTTCACGTTCGCGTTGTTCTTCAATTGATTCGACTATGCCCTTGGTAGATTTCGCAGGATAACGCAAAGCTTTCACTGCTTGATTATGCAATTCCAAGCAATATCTACAAAATTATATGAAGTCAACAGAAGAATAAAAATTTTTACAGCTAGAAATAAGGGTGAAGGATGAACAAGGAACACGCAATAACCTGATTTTAATCATAATTCAGAAATAAAACCAAATATTGTAACCAAATTTCGTGAGAAATTATTACGAAAACAACAAAAAATTGCATACAATTATGCTTTTAGGCTTCAATTTCAATCTACACTTTATACTTCAATTCACGCTTTGTTTAGGAATTTTTCGGAAGTTTTTAATTTTAAATTTGTATTTTGTATGGATCAACAATACTATTGCATTATAAAAATCCATTTCAAAACAATGATAATATAATAGTTGCAATAAGACCAAACCGTATACGAGTATCAAAGTGAAACTGTGGTTCCACTGTACGATAGATGTCTTCAGTTTCTTTGGATTGCATGAATCTACCATTGATACTCGAATCTGATGTTATTACAGCTTCAATATTCCCATCTTTTATTGCCTGAAAAAGTAAAAAAAAAGATGGCTATCTAGTGAAATCATCAATTTTTAGCCAAATTAAACAAGATTTCGATTTTAAAAAAAAATTAAATTTAAATTTTTAAATTTAAGCAAAAAACTAGTAAGATTCATTTTTCATAAAATAATAAAATACTTTAGCAATAAGATATTCAGCTTCTTGATCGGTTTGAAGAAGCAATTTCTTGCGAATATCCGATATCGAAATGCAAGAGTATGCAGTACTAATCTGACGCAGTGCTGTTCTGATTACATTCTGTCGTAGTCTTACGATCAGAGTAAGTGTTTCATCAGGTTCAAAAACGCCTTTCGCATGTTTATCAAGGACATGATTAAACATCTGAACATCTCCTAAGCGAACTGCTAAAAATAATTCAAAATGGCACAAGAAATAATTATATGTACAACGTACAAATAAAAATATAAACTATAAATACAGACGAAAGTTCGCATCACTTTCGTTCAAATACCATTTGCATTAACAGTACCACCACAGAACGTCTTCGCCGGTTAGGTGATATACTTCGTCGCCTACCACAGGATTTCAGGCCAGCTGAATCCTGTGATCGATGGCGTTAAAATCGATGACCCAATCGAAAAGGAACTGACTTATATAGAAATGATTTTGAACGTATGGTGGACCAGCGACATATGGAACCAGTCTAACCAGTAATAGTGAGAGTTGTTAGAAAAAGATAAATAAAAATAAAATATAGATATTAGTGAATAAAAAATATAAAAATTTTATTCCATGCAAATACTTTAAAAACTTAACTTGAGTGAGTTCTAGATAAGGCATTAATGTTTTTCTATGAATTGGAACTCGAAAAACAGACCGTTCAGGTATTTCACCTTGCAAAAGACTAATAACAACAACCCATTTTTGTACCTAAAACTCAAATTAAATTATACATCTATGAAATTATTTATTCGATAATCTATTTGTTGGATGAAACTAATCATAAGGCAAATGATTCTACATTTTGTTTAAAACCGATGGCAGAATCTTGAGGAGCTTTACGCATGGCTTGCATAAAATATCCAGCAGCGGCTGTATAATCTAACTGCATAGCTTTTATTCGTCCTTGATAGTATAGAAATCTTGCAAGATCGTTGTTTGAGGCACCTTCAGGAAATGTTATCTAAAAAGCATTCATTCCATATTAACACTAAATTTTTTTTCACAAATTTTAAATTGTATGGCCATTTATGAGAGGATTTTTCTATGTCTAATATGTGTTTAAAATTTTAAACATAAAACGGAAATAGAATAAATTTTTTTTAAAAAATAAGAAATAAGATAAACAAGTAAAAATAAGAAATCTCAAATTTTCAACCTTTGAAACAAGCTTCGCTGCAGCTTGATATTGTTTTTCTTGCAAATATATTCGTAAAAGGCAATTAATTAAAACTGCTTGAGAATCACTATGTCGTCTGAGAGTCGCCGTTCTTAACCGAGAGTTCAGAGCCCTATCAAAAAATAATATTCACTGGGATAGAAGTAACAAAAAAATATTGAAATATAAAATAATATAAATGAATATATAATAAATAATCCTAAAAATGCATACGATCGCAAACAAGATTGCCTGCCTGCTCTCTCATATATAAGTGACAAAAAAAAGAAGACTTTGGCAGCCAATGAATCGAGTGAACGTTTTTCATATGAATCCAAGCGGCCGATTGTTATAGCAGCACACTATAACTTATAAACATAATAATTAAAGTAAACAATGAAATTTAAATGAAATTTGCAAAATAATCCTGTAAAAGGTCAGCTACTAAGGCAACCCAAAGAAATTCTTATATTATATATACCTCTAACGACCGAAATGGACCAAACCGCATTTCACAAGAGGAGTTCTTTATATTTTTGTGATAATCCAAAAAACTAACTGGCTTTTCCAAAAATTTATATTGAAATAAATATAATGAAAAACGAAACACTTCGAGCAGAATTAAATTAAAATAGTTTTAAAAAAAATTTATTTTCTAAATCAAAAAGGCTCAACCAACTGGGAAGTGCCTGATTTTAAATACTTTTGGATCCACTCTAATACCGAATGACCAGGCAAAAGACCTAATTACAACTCGGATAACGGCAACTAGAAATGCATTTTTATTTTTCACTTTTGTTGACGAAACCTTTATAGAGCCGTCGCGAAATCACCATAAAAATTAAAGTTCGTGTCTATATAGCCGCGATTCGTTCAATCTTGCTATATGGTTGCGAGACCAATGAAAGTGGAGAAAAAATATCTGCCTTTGACCACCCATGTCTAAGGTACATTTCACGGGTTTGCCGAGTGGATAAAATCTCACATAATCACATCCACTTTCTTTTAAATACCACTTGCATTAACAGTGGCATCAGAGAGTTGCCTTCGCTGGTTAGGACAAGTTCTTCATCGCCCACCACAAGAGTTGACACATATTTCGTTACTTGCTAAGCCCTGTGTTGGGTGACATCAAAAGAAAGGTGGACCAATGTATCGATATATTTGAATGTATCGATAGACCAGCAATATATGGACTTAGACGATGGAAAAAAGAATGGCTCCTATTGCTGTCGACGATGGATCCGAACCGCTTGAAAGAGTCTTATCCTTTTAGCCATTGCAACCAGCCTAATCAGTGATGGTGTGAACTATTAGAAGAAGAAGAGATAATCTAACAATTTTTTGTAGATATATTTTCATTGCACTTATAAAACAAGGAACGATATAAATTATTTTTTCGGAAAAAATTCCTAAAATATTTGCCTTAAATATCGATAATATTTTTAAGACACGTACCTTTTTAGCAGCCAGTAATTCATTTTGATCCATCAAATACACAAGAAGAAGAAGATGAATATATATTTCAACTTCTGCGCATGGCTGTACATTTGCGGCATTAATTTGACGACGAGTATTTCTTGGTGAGCGACTTTTCGCCATATTATCGCTCTGAATTTAGTTGCAATTAATAATTTGTTGCAGAACACACGAATAATTAATAAGAAAAGAATTATGAAAATTATAAATTTCCTTTACAAAATTATTGAACAATAAAAACTGTTATAAAATTATATAAATTATAAACAAAATTAAATTATAAACTATAAATTGTAAATTAACAAATAAAGAAACAATAAAAATTTGAAGAATATTTGGTCCATCAAAAAATAGGCTTAAAAACAATAAAGAAAATTCATTAATGAAATAAATTTTCGGCATTATCGTATATAAATGCGAATGAATTAAATCGTTCATTTTCACACTGAATTTTGTTGGCAATTGTAGCATCAGAACGAAAGAGCTGGCATCGCCTTATCCTAATAACTAGCAACTATTTCAATCAGCCAATCCGGAAATAAGGCACTATTACAAGAAGAAGCAATACCATTGTCTAATCACAATTTCACGATTTTTTTGCAGAGGAATTCCTATATCAAATTACATGTTTAACGAATAACTGAGCACTACCAAAGATGTAGTAATTTGAGGCGAATTTGTTGAATCAGATGTAGTAACAGCAGACTGAGGTTGAAGTAGTAATTTCAACAACATTTCTCGACTTTTCGGCGAATTATGAAGTTGCGTATTAATAACTTTTTGAAGAATATTGCTGTTAATTTGTTTACGAGTTTTCGGTAAAAGTTGCATCATTCTCGGTATAACATGAATTTCACCTTTTTCGAGTTGAGTGCACCATTCTTTTAGATCTAAAATAAAATAAAACAAATAAATTTCTCAATAAATTAAATGATAAACAAATAATATGAATACAAGAATTTATTAAATTAAACTAATTTTTAAAAACTACAACAAATTAAATAAATTGAAACGAATTCGAACTGAAATTTCTCAAAAATTCATTCCTCTTAGAGAAAAATGATTTATTTATTTCAGACTAATCACTTCTCTTTAAAGCACGCGTCACTGGCTTTCTCGGGCCATATAAATTTTACTGGAGAATCAATCTACGATGGGTGCATTTCTCGTTAAGGCTCGCGTCACTGGCTTTCTCGGGCCATATGAACTTTGCTGGAGAATCAATCTGCGATGGGTGCATTTCACGTTAAGGCTCGGGTCACTGGCTTTCTCGGGCCATATGAACTTTGCTGGAGAATCAATCTGCGATGGGTGCATTTCACGTTAAGGCTCGGGTCACTGGCTTTCTCGGGCCATATAAATTTTGCCTTCACTTTGCGACACACATAGAGATGAATCGTCTGCATTAGTCGACAACACTCAAAGGAAATAAATAAGCGAATAAAATGAATGAATAAAACAAACTCGTGAATGTTGAAAGATCTGAATCGTGTTGAGTTTTTTCATTTGTTTCATCCAATTTTCCATTTTCTTCTTCTTTCTCGTCTTTCTTTTCAATTTCATCAATTTCCATGTCGGTTGTCATCGCTTTTTTTTCTTTTTTTTCTTAGATGAAAACTGTAAAATATGAAAAATTTATTTAAAAAAACCCTACCTCCATGACAAAAAAGAAAGGAAATAAAACGAACAAAATAAAAAAATAAGAAAAATTTCAAGGAAAATCCAGCAAATTTTTCAGAAAATCCCTGCAAGACTCAATTATTTTTTAAAATTTTCAATATCGATTAGTATAAAAATTCTTTGCAAAAAATTTTGCTGGCGTTCCAAATGAAATCAATATTTTTTATTGGCCAATTTTATTTATTTATTTTTCCATATTTTTATTTTAAATTAATTAAAAAAGAAAAATTTTTGAGAATTTTTATTTAAATTCAAAATTTACGAAAAGTTTTTCCTACCGAATTTTATTGATTAATTTTTTTTTGGTGAAAAATATTTTTTTAAAAATTAAATTTAAATTTAAATTTTATTCGGAAAATTTTGGAAAAATTTTAAATGGTATTTTTAAATGATTAGGGCAATCAGGCGCAACAACATTATATATATGTGATAAATGGCTGAGGCTTGGCTTAGGCTCAAATGTGGCATTGGGTCGAGGAAGGCTTGGAAACACTTTTATGGCCAATAGGATGATGCCTAAGTCTATCAATAATGTGAAGAATCTCATAAAAGAAAAAGAAGTTCTTTGGACAGGAAAATTCCGTTTTTGAGTGAAATTTAATTTGTGGAAATTTCGAGAAATTTCGCGAAACAATTTTTGTTGTGGAAAGTATACAATGGGAAATCTCCTTGTCGCACCTCGCGCTATTGGTCTCTTTGGTCTCATTCTGGCAGTTGTAGATTGTAGAGTGTTTTGGTGTTTAGGTAATGTGGGTTTGACCTTTGGTGACCTCAGCTAGGATATTTCATATTTACACTAATGGTTTAAATCATCACATTTATTACAAAGTTGTCTTATGAAGTCTTATTTTTTCCTCGATGAATTGTTCATGTGAGAATTTGAGTTGACATGAGGTGCTCCTGCTTGACATTTCAATGACCTTTGTTTATATTGGAATATTTTGCATATTTCACACTTTTACCGGTTTTTTTTATTTTTATTGTTTATTAAAATTATTATTTCTCGTTGCGCCAACATTTTTCGTTTTGCCATTCGTGGCATAATTGGCCTAATTTCTTTAAATTTTAATTTATTTTCGACTATTAAATCATAATTTTTATGTTTATATATTTTTAAATAAAATTTTTTCATAATATTAAAATTGAGATAGAATGGCTTAGTGGTTTGTTGCTTTCATTTCGAAACACTGCCACAGCTGATATCCATTCCCTTCTAAAATTCCAAAATTCGGGTGGTGCTGGCGGTCTGCCTATACTTCGAGAAAATTTTCTCTGACAAGCCAGTTGAGTGATTTTAATCAAAAATGATGAAATTATATTCCTTTCATTGCTTCAGAATTTCTTGCTTTTGGGCGTTATCATTATCGCTATTATTTTTGCCAATATTTTTTGGAAGGACGAGAATCGATGTTTTTTTCAGAGATTTTTTCGAGGTATTTTTGTCGTAAATTTTTATCATTTATCTTTAGATTTGCATCAAAAATGTCGGTTGTTGGATTTGATTTTGGCAATTTGAATTGTTATATAGCAATCGCTCGACAAGGTGGCATCGAAGTTCTCACCAATGAATATTCATTACATGCAACACCGTTAGTGATTATTCTTTCAATGTTTCTATGAATCTGTGGATTTATCAGACTTCTTAGCTATATAGGAACAATTCTTCCTGGGTTTCTTCTCATTTGGTATGCCAATATTCGGGAAAAAGGCGCAGATTTCCACTTTTTGCTATTTATTATTATCAAATTTATTTTTATTTTTATTTTTTTTATATATTTCGTCTGAATTATCTGAATTTTTGAAATTTATGTTTTAATTTCCAAATTTCTAATTAAATTTAATTTTCTAATTTTCTAATTAAGTTTTAGATCATGCGTATCATTCACTTCCAAGAATCGAACGATGGGCGTTTCTGCGTTGCAACAACAAAATGTCAACGTGAAAAATACCGTTTGCAATTTTAAGCATTTAATTGGTCGTAAATTTAGTGATCCGATAGTTGCACATTTCAAAAAATTTGTTTCTTGCGATATTGTGCAGTTGCCGGATGACAATGTTGGAATTAAAGTCAGTATTTCTTGTTCTTTTATTCTTTTAATATTATGTTTATTAATATATTTATTATTTTAATATCATTTTTATTTTCAACTACTAGGAAATCATATATTTATCATATAAACTTTTGATTAATTCACTTCTAAGGTAAGGTCTTCGTTTTGAAATTATTTTGAGACCAGGGCAAAGAAAGCATTTCTAATTATCTTTTAGCTATCCAAACTGTAATTGCTCTTTAATATCACCTTCAATATTCGATGACTAGTGGTTGTACAGTCACTGTATAAAAAGCCCAAAAATAGCGGAATAATTTTTTATAAATTATGGCAAATATTCCTTTGCATGCCGCGCGATATATTATTATTGTTTTATTTTACTGTGGGGCATTTTTTCTCCATTTATGATTTGATGTATCGGATGTTCATTGGGGATAGAATGGCTAAGTGGATTGTTGCTCAGTTGGGAGCGCTGATGCTGAGGTTCGATTCCCTGCAGGAGTAAATCTTTACAAGAATCCGGGTGATGCTGGTGACTCACCTCTTTTTCTATCATTAAAGGACTCTGGCATATTGCGAGAAACCAAGTTTAACCAGTAATATTAAAGACTCTTTAAAAAAAAAATCTTTGGCACGCAGAACAAAAATATGAAAAATTGTTCGAGTTCAGCCACAGTGGCTCTTTATTCCAAAATAGCTAATCGGCAAATAGCGAAAACACCATTTCGAAAATATACGGTTGGTCTTTAAAGAAAATGGAATTGCGTCTTGAATGTGAAAAATCAGTACCACACTCACTGTGGTTTGCGAAAAAAAATGTTGAATGAATATCTGAAGAAGCTCTGAGGCTATTTTCTGCGGGATAAACTTCTGGATAATGGGGGTTATTTCATGGTCTTGTCGATTCAAAATTGTAGGCATGATGCAATTTCAACTTTATCAGAGATGATTGGTGGCATGTTGTAGTTAAATTTATTTTCAAAAAGCATTGGATGAATGAAGTCTATGAAAACGGTGACTATCATCCTCATCTCTAATTATTTCTTAACTGTCTTACTGGTTATGATTACTTTGGAAAGGAGATGGAAAAGCATTAGCCTATATATGCTTAGGGTGTCTCAATATTCAGGGTTACTTCGGTGGCCTGTTTTTAATCGATAGCTTCTCCATTATTAACCATTTCATCTCAACTCTATATGATTATTTTTTCAGAAAGATTGGGATAAGAATATGTGTTTTATTGTTTTTTTTTTCTTTAGGTGAATTATTTGGGGGAAGAACGTGTTTTCATACCAGAGCAGCTGATTGCAATGATGATGGTTAAATTGAAAGATATTACAAGTGCCAGTTTATTAACGACTGTTACAGATTGCGTTGTTTCTGTAAGTTCTCACCTATAAATTTTTAAGTGGTTCAGGTGTAAACTTGAATTATATTATGATTAAAATGTTTCTAGGTTCCGTTTTTTTTTACGGATACTCAGAGAAGAGCGTTGCTTGATGCTATCAGTATTTCTGGCTTAAACTGTTTAAAAATCGTCAATGAAACAACTGCAGTTGCACTTGCTTATGGTAATTTACTTTTAGTTTCACAACAGTTGAAACGGCTAATTCTTTATGTTGTTAAAATAATTCTGCGAAATAATATTGCCGAAGTCATTAACATCTCATTGATTTCTTATGCATTATTTGTATCTCACAGATTGCTAAGAAAAAAGTTAAATCGATGGAAAAATTATTGGCTATTATAAGAGAATTTTTTGCAGGAATATATAAACAAGATTTACCACCAGAGCCCAATGCTCCAAGGAATGTCATTTTTGTCGACGTAGGACATTCATGTGCCCAAGCTGCTGTTGTTGCATTTAATAAAGGAAAATTGAGTGTAAGTTTCATGAACTGGTTTTATTTTTTTTCTTTTGTATATGATAATTTGCTGTATCCTGAAAATTTATTTCTTTTATTTTGTTCTTTTAGAAACGACCCATTTCCCATCAACTGATCCTCTGAATTCAGTATTTGGTTACTCCTCTCTGGAGTACTTCTCTTCCTTCACGCCCAAAGTACTCTTTTATCATAATCCTTTAGCAATATCTTCTTATTTAGACCCCATCTCTGCAAATCTTTCAAATTGCGCCACATACCTTGGAATCTGATACTTTTCTAACTCGTGAATCTGTTATAACCTCTGTTGAGAGTGCATCGGCAGACTTTACTGTCAATAATCAGTTGATAACATCGTAAATTTCCTTATTTTTTATTTCTAACCTTATATACGCTGTTAAAGCACCCTATTCGACAAGTTTGGACCTGTTAAGATTCCCATAATCTTTTAATTCTCATTGGTCTTCAAATCGTATTCATTAAGAGCTAGTAGTAAGACTTCCTTAAACACATTTTTTTTTATTCCTTCGTGTTTTTATGTTGTTTCTCTTGTTATGGTTGCACTTTATAATACCTGACCCCATTTCACCAGCGTTCTTTAAAAAATATTTCGATATTTCTTAAAAAAATATTTCACTTTCTTCGCTGCCTCGATTTTCAATTTCCTAAAATGCGCTTCCTTTTCCTCCACCTATTCGTGGAGAATCTCTGTGAATCCAGATATTCTTGGCATCCCCCAATTGCCGTATTCGTATCATTGTAATCTTTCTACTTTTTATTAAACTTAACCATACACACTATTTTCGTAATATTCTGACAAGTCTCGCAAATTGCTAGTTGAAAATTTTGATTTTCGAATATATTTTTGATGGAACCGCAGCTATAAAATTATAAAAGGCTATATCATGGTGTATGAAGAATCAATTGAGAGTTTATAAGATGCGATGAGGTTTCGAAGAGAAGGGTAAAGTGTAAATTTTTATAATTTATAGCTATAATTTATAATCAATTTTGAGGCCAAGATTGAATAGTTTGCTAGATTAGGATATTTATGTTTGGAAAGAATTCGTTTTCGATTGTTCTCTTCAAATTTTGTCAATTCTTTTCATTACCTGTTAAGTGCTGTTTTCTGGCCATAAGTCCTGTTATTTCTTTCATATCCTGTTATTCGCTAAAAATAAACTTTATACTAACGAAAATTAATATCTTCTCTTCATGTTCCATGTCTTCTTTCCGAGAATGACATGATGTCTAAAATTTTTCATCGTTCCAGCAGCCAATGGGGCTATTAATAACTAGAAATGAGCAGACCACTTCGCTTAAGTTTATGCTTACTTAGAATTTTTGTGCTCCATTAGTACTTGTTCTATACGATTGCTATCATTATCATTACTTTCTTTGCATAACTTTAATCTTTTAGGCATCGTTGAAATTCTTTGATTAAAGCTCCTATTGTAACGTTCGAAAACTCCAGTAATTTGCTTGTATTATGTTTGAAAGGCTGTTATGGTACTTTAACGCGTTGCCGAAATTTATTTTTCTTTTCTTTATAACTTTCTGGAAGCTCATATTATTATTTACGATATCTCGACCTGCAGAACTGAATCTTCGTCATTCTTTTATTATCATATGAAGGTCTTAGCCAGTCAAATGCCGTTTTAATATTCTTTTTAATTCCTTAATGTTCCTAAAACCCATAAAACATTTGCCATAATCTATTACTGGCGTTACTACACATCAGTGATCTCCTTCATCTTTTTCACTTATACTTTGCCACAGCCTTTGGAAAAATAAGGGAATGTCAAAAAAATGTAATGGGAAATGGGAACTTAACTTGTTAAAGGAAAATTGTAGGAGTTTGTTAGGTCAAATAGTTCTTTTGAATAGTTTTTTAAAGTGGTGCTGAGGGAATAGCATTCTTAGGATATATAAATGAATATACCGGGGATAGTTCGTCCCGTCCATATGATGGATGGACCTTTTTGCTGTTTTATGCTATGGATTGGTTGCAGGTTCTGGCTAATTCATTTGATTTACAAGTTTCTGGATGTATGTTCGATGAAGTTCTTCGAAATCATTTTAGAAATTTGTTCATGGAAACTTATAAGGTTCAGATTCTCTTATACTTGATTTTTAAATCTTTATAGCATTTCTTTTCTTTTTTTTGTAAATAATTGCGTCTTTTTTGTTCTTTATTTTTAGATCGATGCTTCAACTAATATGAGAGCGTGGACTCGATTATTAGATGAATGTTCTAAATTAAAAAAACAGATGTCGGCAAATAGTACAGCGATTCCAATTAATATCGAGTGCTTTATGGAAGATAAAGATGTTACTGCAAAAATGCAAAGGTTTTAAATGGCTTTTTTTTCGTCCAAGCAAATTTTAAAATAAAAATTATTTAGATCAGAATTCGAAGAACTTTGTGCAGAAATCTTTTCCCGTTTCGAAAAAATGCTTTATGCATTACTGAATGAATGCAATATGAAAGTCGATCAAATCGATTCAGTTGAAATAATTGGAGGATCATCGCGAATTCCAGCCATTAAAAGTATTATTGCTAAAGTGTTCGGCAAAGATCCTAAAACAACAATGAATCAAGATGAAGCTGTTGCACGGGGTACTCTTTTACTTTCAATTATTCCATGAAGTGATCTATTCCATTTTCAATTAAAATTTTTTTAACCAAAAAATTTCAGGCGCTGCTATGCAATGTGCCATTTTATCGCCCGCATTTAAAGTACGTGATTTTTCGATAAAAGATAGTCAGCCATTTAGAATCAGACTCGAATGGCAACGAACAAATTTGGCTGATGGAGGGTTAGTCGGACTTTAAGTTTTAACGGATTTTGAGTATTTTTTCTGTATGTTTCATATTCTGGGCGCAAAATAATATTTTAAAAATTTGCCTTAGAATATTTAATTATTTAATCAATAATTTTTAGGTCATCTGATGTTTTCGCTGAACGAGATGAGTTTCCATTTTCAAAAATGCTGACCTTCTATCGTCAGGAGCCTTTTGAGTTGAGCGCTTATTATCCGAATCCTATTCCATATAAGAATAATGAAATAGGTACCATTTTCGTTTTTCATTTTTAATTTTACTTAAAACTCTTCATTATATTTTTAGGGCGATGGATAATAAAAGGTGTTACCCCAATGGCAAACAATGAATCCCGTAAAATAAAAGTTAAAGTTCGAATTAATCCACATGGTATATTTTCGGTCTCTTCGGCGACAACCTTCGAATCTGTCGAAACAAAGGCTGATGATGTTGGTTTATATTTAATGAAAAATCTTATTTCATCCAGTCATTTCGTAGAGAGTATGTCGAGAAAAGTATCAGTTGAACTGTCAATTAAACTGTCAATTTTAGAAAGCGCCTGAACCAATGGATGTACAAGAAAGTACTGAAAAAGTGACTGAATCGAATGAACAGAAAAGTTCAGAAGAGGCAGCTAAAACGGCCTGTGACGGCGACCAACAAAAAGTCAAGGCAAAAACAATAAGCATTGATTTGCCCGTAGAACAGCATGTACCTTATCTGCAGAATCTTGAAACCCTTCTTCAATTTGAGGTACTGCGGCTGATTTTTTTACTGCTATTTTTTCAAATTTTTCCTATCCGTTATTTTATATTTTCCTCAGAGGAATCAAATTAAATTGGTATTTTTAATCTTTTTGCTTGAAAATATTTTAGATTTTTCGCTTTAAATTATTATTTTAGATTTTTCGCTTTAAATTATTTATATGTGCTTTTACTATACATGAAAAATTGGCAGATTTAAATTTCAGTTCGATATGCAAAAAGTTGATCGATTAGAGAAAGAAAAAGCTGATGCAAAAAATGCTGTGGAAGAATATGTTTATTACATGCGAGACAAATTATCTGAAGCTTTGGCTGAATTCATCACTCCTAAGGTTGTCTAAATTTCATTTATTTTTCTTATTTCTTATTTTTCTTATTTCTTATTTTATATTTTGTTATAAACTTATCTTCATTTTTTTGTGTCGAGTATTTTTGAAATTTGTAGGACTTGGCTGATTTTCAAAATTCTTTAACAGCAACAGAAGATTGGTTATACGATGAAGGTGAAGACGCAGCAATGGAAGTTTATCAATCGAAATTATCGGAATTAAAGAAATATGGTGAACCAGTAATGGAACGTTTTCGTGAATATCAGCAGCGCAATGCCGCGTTTGATGATTTCGATCGGGCTATTGTGGTATATTTTGCTATCATCATGGATTAATATTTATCTAATTAGTATTAATTGAATGCTATTTGATTATACGGAAATTGAAGGCATAAAATCAATTTAAAAATTTACCGGTCTTATCATTGCATTCGGGAATCATTGTGATCATTGTGATTTCTTTGCAGAGAACACGAAAAGCCTATGAAGAATATAGTAATGGTAGTGAGAAATATTCTCATTTGGAGTCAGCAGATCTTGAAAAGGTTAAATTTGTTATTTATATTTTCACTGGCACAATCATTTCGAAAATTTTTTTTTATTTCGGCTAAAAATTGAGTAGGTTGTGTATTGTTTCTTTCAGGTTATCACAGCAGTGGAAGAAAAAAGGCGATGGGTTGATGAAAAAAAAAAACAACAGGAAAGGCGCCCAAAAACAGAACCACCCGCTGTATTTGTTCATGAAATTTTTGCTGAAAAAGAGGTTATATCTTTATTCTCTATGGGTTTTATAAATTCAGATTTTATTTTAGTTGCTAAAATTAGCAAAATTAATCGAAGTTTTAATTTAAGAAATTTGAAAATATTGTGTTGCCTATATTGAATAAACCGAAACCAGCTCCAAAGCAAGAGGAATCCAAAAAAGATACTAAGGAGAAGGTTGATGATGGAAAACAGCAGCCTTCTGAAAAGCCAAATGGTGAGCCAGTCGATATGGAGGTTGACTAATGTTACATTACCAAATCGCTTATCATTCTCTTCTTTAAAATGCTATCTTGTTTGACTTTTTAGCATAAATTATTTTTTACATTGGAATTCAAGAATATTTTTAATTTTTTTCATTTTATTAGAGAATCCCGAAATTTCTACGACTTATATCTTGGGAAAACTTTTTAAGATTGCTAGAGTTAGATTAATGGAATAGCAAATCGTTTGTCTGAGAAATAAGTCTTAGCAAAAAAAAATACGCTGCGTTTCTCCGCTCTAAACCATCTTATGTATTTTAATTATTTGAATATTCCCAATTCCCAACGTTGATAATTCCACTGTCTTTTCTTATGCTGGTTAATTTAATATTTCAATGAAATATCCATTTTTTATATTTCGCGTGGTTCTCTAAGCTTTTTTTGGAATTGATCAATTATTCCAAATTTCGTTTGACACTGTAAACATTTTTTAACTAGTTTATTTTTTGTGTTAAATCTTTTTTAAATTCAGTTTATCGCATTGATTAATGGGCAAAATTTTTGTCGACTTTTTTAAGTTGATGAATGGAGAATATGCTGAATTCTGAAATTTCAATTCAATTCAATTCATCTGCTTTGGCATTTTGATATAATGTGGATTCGATTTTATGAAAGAGAATGCAATTTAAAAAAAAGTCGAAAGTGAAATTGAATAATTATTTGATTTTTAATGAGTTTGTTGGAAAAATATTTCCTATTCTTGCTTTATGCGAGAATGGTTTAGCTAACGGAAATTTCAGGATTGAAAAATTGAGAACGAATATTTCAAAAAGAAATTTTCGAAATTTATTCATCGAAATGGGCACGAAATATACATATTAGTTGGAGAGTTAAACTGTACAATCATTATCCAATAATTCTAGATTTCAATTTCATTTTTTTCCGGTTGTTCGGACTTTTGCGAATCGTTTCCTCGTATGAATGTTGAGGTTAGTAGGCTGTCGAGCTTCTAAAAAGTAGAAATTAATTTTGGGCATAGAATGGAGTTTTTTAAATGTGCAATAGATTCCATTTAAAGATGAAAATTTTATAAAATCTATGCTCTTAACCTCCAAGGTTGTTTCCTTATGGTGAGTTTAAATCTGTTATTAAAAGTTAAATCTGAATCCATACTTTTCGATTACCGGTGTCTTAGTGAATCGGGCTCAGGGTCAATGTAAAAACGAAAGTCTTTACGTTTTATATACAAGAAACTGAATTTTATAAATTTATTGGCGGTTGAGGAAGTGCAGGTTTTAAATACCTTGGGTCCACTTTAATGCCGAATGGCCAGGCAAAAGGCGATGTTACAACCATGACAGCCAGAAATGTATTCTTCCTGTTGACGAAACCTTTATGGAGTTGTCGTGAAATCACCATAAAAGTCAGCATCGGTAGTCGCGATTTGTTCGATCTTGCTCTATGGCTGCTAGACATGGCTAATGAGAGTGGATGGTATTAAGTTTGCCTTTGACCACTCATATCTAAGATACATTTTACGGGTTCGTCTTGTGGATAAAATCTCGCATAATCGCAGCCACCAGTTCAAATGCTAGTCGCACCACCAGTTCCATCATAGAGTCATCTTCAATGGTTAGGGCACGTTCTCCGTGATCTACCACAAGAGTTGGCACACAGAGTTTGGTTATTTGCTAAGCTCTGTGATGGGTGGCATCAAAAGTGGGGTGGACCAATCAAGACCTGGGCTGGTACGGTCAGGAAAGGGAAGAACAGGGAACATATAGACCAACCAGCAATATATGGACTTGAACAATGGAAAAAAGAGTGGATTTTATTATTGTTGGTGATGGCATCAAACTAACCAGTAATGGTGAGAGCTGTTAGAAGGAGAAGAGGTGCTTTAGCAAAATAAAAAGTGAATAATGCTAGCAGATGAAGGAGGTTTCGTTATTTTTAAATGGTAAAATTATACTGCACATCGAAAGAAAGTTCGAAAATTTGTAAATTTGTAAAAAAAAGCTAACTGCTTTGAAATTGCCCTTTGCATTATAGAATTTGTAAACTGCTACAATCGGTATAGCGGAAACGGCAGAAAAAGTGAACATCAATCCCAAAAAATTGGCCGCATATGGGTAGACATAGTCCTGGTACTTTAGTGGTGCATAACCCATGAAACTGCTTACAATGGTTCCCTGAAATACTTTACTATTAAAACTCTCTCTTGCTGTGAAGTTTAGATATTTGTTTTTATAGATATCATATATGATAAATGATAATAGTCTTTTATGATAAGAAAAAGGCTTAAATGGACTACCAATACTGACTACAAAAATAATAAAAATTTTAATAAATTCAAAATTATAAAAAAATACGTCTAAATTAGATGTCTAAATTAGAAGTAAGTGTTAATTATAAGGTCTATGATTGTAAGGTTCTATGAAAATTTTTGAAGATTTTTGTTTGAATTTTAACAAAATAATATAGTGACTCACAAATAAAAACAATGGTCCCGCGACAGTCCAACAAATTCTCCAGTACCAACCTGGTTCAAAGCCCAACATTTCTTTTATATCCATCGCAAAACGTTTAATACCTTGTGGAATGTGGTATAATTAACTGTTTAATTTTATAATTTAATCTTTTAAATGATGTTTTTTATAATAAATTTTATCTTTAATCGTTTTTAAATCAGTAGAATTTGAGCTTGTAATTCGTTTTTGAGGTGGTAAATGGAATCTTAGGCAGTACCAGCAAATAGAAGGGCTTTATGGCGAATTTCTGCAGTAGGTACTGTTTTATCACTTAAATCGAGTAGTTTGCACCATTGCTTATTTGGTTGGCTCCACTGGTTTTATTAAGGTGAGAGGAATATGATAGAGGATAGTTCAATACAAATATAAGAAACTAACCGTAAAAAAAAGAAATTACAATTGCTTCAATAAGAACTGCGATAATAAGTCCCCATGAAGCACCATAAACAATAAGCCATTCCATTACAAGCATTCCACCCTAAAGATTATTGCTAAAATTTTTAATTAGTAGAACATGTATTAATAGAAAAAATGATTGGGGAAAATTAGCAATACCTCGGTGCACATCAAAATTCCAATAACCATGTAGAAACTAAATAAAATAGCGACAAACCATTCGCGATTTCGTCTTATTATGGCGAATTCATCACTTAATGCTGTAATTATTGCTTCAGATCCGCCAAACTGAAAGATTCGAGATTTTTAAAAATATCAGAATAAAAGAGCAGTAATAGTCCGATCCTTCTTTTTCTAATGTCTTGCACCATCACTGGATGGACTGACTGGCTTCATAGCGATAAATCACACGACTCGGTGCCATATAAGTCATTCGACCCGGTGTCATGCCTGAATTCTTTTTTCACCATCTAAGCCCATACTTACTTTAAAGTTTTTACAATTGATAAATTTCAATTTGATAAAATAAATTGATAGAACTGGATTTTACAATTCAATTTAATTAAAAGTTATGAATAAAGACGAAAAACAAAAGGAATTATTTCCAGAGGAAGTAAAAATCTGCTTAATTATCCTATAAATTTTCATAACACTTTAAATATGGTACCTTTATATATGATTTATTAGAAACCACTAGACCCAGCCAATTCTAAGGTGCCATATCGAATAAATTTTTTGCTTAGCAAGGCCTTTTTTTTGTTTAGATCACTCATTACATCATTACTGGTTAGCCTTGCTGCATTAGCCTGTTGAACTAGATAAATTTTGCCAACGAGCCTCTTGGCGAAATGCAAGTGAGCCACCCGCTCGGACCTTGATATTTTTTGAAAGAACATTAATTCCTGCAGAAGCCTTTAGTACTTCGAAATGTATAAAAGCATATTGTCGACACATTGTCGACTGTCTGCTGTAGTTCAATAATTCTGAAAAGAAGGAAAAACTCACAGAACTATCTAATCCTAGAGTAACCAGCATCAAGAAAAAGATGATCGACCAGGCTGAAGCACCAGGCATTGTTGCTAAAGCTTCCGGGTATACAACGAATACGAGACCGGGTCCCTCCTAGAATTTTAAGAATTAATAGTTTCCCTTAAATATTCAAATATCAAGATTTTAAGAAATAGGGCTCGAGCTTTAAAAACCTCAGACTATTCAAAATATTAAATTACTGATTAATTCAAATTTCTTTTCTCGCCATTTTTAATTTGACTACTTCCACTGATTCATTGGATCAGACAAATTTGGCCAGGGACTCACTTAGGCAATAAATCGCTAGCAAACTATCCTTCGGATTTTCGAAAAATAAGTCAATTTCTGGTGGAAACCAAAGTATCAGCGCTCTGCAGTGCAAATAACATCTCCATCTCAATTCAATTAAAATATCCCTCATTTAATTTCGTCAAAATCTTATAATTTCAGTGAATTTACCTGTGCAACTTCATTGATGGGTATTCCACTTCTACATGACATATAACCCAATACCTAAATATTTTCATCACTGTTGAATAGATTGATGAGTATGATTTTTTATTTTCTAAAGACGCTCACAATCTTGCTAGGCTGGTACCACTTACGGGCTCGCATCGCCTGTCAGACTAAACGAATTTCGTCAGGTATTATTTATTAGAAGTACAGTTGAGTCGCAACATCTTGGTACCATTTGGAATCAGATCTACTACTGCCAGGTGTGGAACCTTAGCATTGATGCTCCGGCAAAAAAACAGCAATAATCCATTGAGCCATTCTATTGCAATGAAAAAACAATTTTGCAATATTCTAACTTTTTTAAACCTATAAACATTGAGGTTCAAATTTTTTCGAATAAAACTTTCCAGTAAATTCAGTGAATCAGAATGATTCAGTTGATTAAATTGGACTAAGCCAAGATACTTACCGAAAAAATAACGAATCCCGACAGAAAACTTGTAGCGCAGTTCACCGTACTCGTTAAAAGTGCATCACTGATTAAAATATAATATATTTTTTCGATTTTAATTATTGCCAGTTTATTTCTTATTTATGTATCACCAATTTTTCTCTTCCTCATTCCCCTCTTCCTCCTCCCCCCTCTCATTCATCTCTCCTTATTCCATTCCTTCCCCTCGTTTTCTATCTCGAAGGCAATTAAAGGTTATGGTAAATTTTTTTGATAACGACGCACTTATCATATCAAATCAAAGCAAATGTTATATAAATATGAAAAATAAACAAATGCTCGATTAGCGAATTACTGTATTTAGCAATACAAATCGAAATAAATAAAAGACTAATAAAAGAAATAAAAGATTCTTACAAATAGACATTATTGTAAAACGGATTGTATGATGCATAAGCCATTAAAACACCGAAACCAGGACCGAGCGAGAAGAATACCTTTAAAATATTATCGAGAAATTTTAAATGATAAAAATGATAAATATTTGTTATTACTATCTCTTCTTTTTTTTTTAGGAACACTCACCATCGTTGGTTCGATTGGCTCCGTCGAACCAGATAAAGATACCAGATTTCAAGATTTTCCTAATGGTGATAGGAGTACAAGTGAGTTGCCTCATTTTTGGGCATACTTGCTTCTGCTGGGAATAAAATCTCAGCATCGGCGCTATAAATCGGCGCTACTGTGCAACAACTCACTGAGCCATCCTACTCCCCTTTAGCCTGTAATACGTTAGCCGGATTTGGACCCAAGCCTGTATTTCCAATAGAATAGTTATTTTGTCATTGAGCCGACCATGTACCGCTAATGTTACTTATATTATTTATTGTATTTATTATTATTAATATTAAATGATCCAGTCTATTCGAGGAAATCACATATAATATCAATAAAATGAAAATTCTTGATTATCATTTCTTAACTACAATCAGCCATGTTTTTCCTATGAATTTTTTGTAAATAAAATGAATTGACCTATATATATATATATATATATATATAGGTCGAGTCTTCCTCTAAAAGCCTAGAAGATTGAGGTAGAACAGGTGAGCTTTCAGAGCCTCTTTCCCAAATATCCTTATCGGAAAGGTAGGGGTTGGCTGCGATTCGAATTTTTGTTTTGTCGATGAACTTTTTTGTCGATGAACAACTTATTTGGCCTATATATGTATAAATGCATCTCAACTCAGAATTAGGCTCAGAATTTTAAAGATAACTGATACTTGAGTTGCTGCATCTTGCCAAACACTAGGTTCTCTTAGCTTCTCAAGATTCGGTTGTATATAATATTTAATTCCTCTTTCAGCTCCGGGAAGAGTGATACCTCGAATCAGCAAAATGAAAAGCACCACATATGGAAATATAGCAGTGAACCAAACCACCTTAATTAAAAAAATTCTACAGATCACTCTGCATTCTTTTTTATTTAAGTTCAAAGAGAAATTTAAATGCATCAAAGGAAATTTTTCAAATTTTCAAATGGTACTTTCATGAAAAACGATCATTACCTATAATTTCTCCACAGCTTTTTCTTGGCTGTGATAAAAATTATAAAAATCATGGAGACAAGAAAAGGAAGGAGATAGGAATTATGACCACGTTAAAGATTTTCTCCGGCGCAAAAATTCGGAGACTTATAAGTCAAAAAATTAGCAGGTAACGGTATAGTGAACCTTTCCACTCATTTTTATGCCTTTCCACAGCGAAAAATAGCAAATAATATAAACGATGAGTAGGCAAATCGCCATTTGCCAATTAATGGAACCAAGATTTGTTAGAGATCGCGCAACTGATGAATTTGATGCACCAGAATAATGAAGTCTCAGAAAATATTTGCTGAAATTAAACGAGAAAGGAGAATAATATTTTTATAATAAAAAACCGATCTTACTGGTTGAATTTTTATGGACAAAAATTTATAGGCCAGTAATTTGGTTATCCGAAAGAGTCATATAAAATCAAGGAGTGCTTCATCCTTAAAATGCCGGCTTTTTTTGGTTTTGGCTGGCTCATTTCGAGAACTGCAGGATCTTTTCGCTACAAGTCGATGTAAAAGACCTATTTTTTATTGCCTAACGTGAATTCTCTATTCAAAATTTTTTTGTACAATGAATTTATATACAGGCGAAGATTTCTTAAATTTTTTAGGATGCATGGAACCTACACCAATACATTTAACAGGTTTTAATAAATTCAATGTTTTTTTTAAAATATAGCCTATGTAGCCTACGAATACTATCATTCAATGCGCAAAATATTGCCTAACGGTAAATATCTTCACCAGTTCGTAATTCTCTGAAGCATTACTTCCAAGCATTACTTCCATATTCATCAGTATCGTCAACCGTGGATACTCTATTCGTTGCTTTTGTGGAATTTTTACCTTTCCCAATAATAATACAACCCACTAAGAAGAACCGATCGAAAACAACATCGATCGTCCAATAATTTTTTCGGCATCAAAATGACACCTAATGACATTAAAATGCCTCTTTTCCAAACACGAACGCAGATCAACTGTCGTGTAAATATAGGGTATTTGAGTGATATATTAGTTCAGCGAAACATCAGAAATCGTAGATTAGTTTCGATTCCTTTTGATAGACGTAAAATTGTTGGTAAAAATAAAATTCCAGTGGCGCTAAGAATTCACTTGTATTTAAATCCTTAAATGAAGAATAAATTTTTATTTACCAAATAGAACCAACTAAATCAGAAATGTTGAATGCAATTAGCAGACGTTATCCATGCATTTGAAAAATATTTTCTGGTGTTAATTAACTAGCGAAAATATTTTCTTTTTAGGGATTTTACTAGTAAATTGCATTTCTACTGATTCTTCTTTCACTGCTGAATTTTAGGCCATAAAAGATCGATTCGATCGATTTAGAAATTGAGATTTTCAATAGACTGAAATAAAAATAGATTAGTTAGTTCAAAAAGAAAAGAAAAGTCTAACTAAAAATATTCTTCAGATGCGGATATTCCTTGCGAAGAATTAAGTCGTTCGATACATTCGCTTCCTTGGTCATTCCAGCTGAAAATATAAATTATAGTGGTGATTTTTCTTTTCGAGCATCTTAAATTTATCTCCGAATTTATCAAAGAACTTAAAAAATATGAATTTGATTGAAAATACACTGATAATATCTCTATGAGCAATTGATTTCAATGAATTGAAAAAATTCGAAAAAAAACCATTCGAACCATTTTCCTAAGACTTTTGCAGGTTCAAGTTTAACTTTGATTAATTAATAAAGTGACAATCTTGGAAGGTGGTGGCTTTTTTTATCTGCCTTGATTGTTCGGCAATTATGACTTTTCATTTTGCTTTGGATTCTCAAATAGGCACTCAATGGTCTCATAGCAAAGAATCAGGCTAGAATGGTTCTGCCGGCCATTTTTCCTAGACATATTCTTCTTTTTCTTCTAACAGCTCTCAATATTACTGGCTCCAACGGCTATAAGGGTAATCTGATGCCTCACTGACAATAATAGAAGCCATTCCTTTTTCCATCGTCTAAGTCCATATATTGCTGCTCCACCTATACGTTCAAAATCTTTTCTGACCGTATCAGTCCAGGTCTTGATTGGACAACTTCTCGCTTTTGACGCCACCCATCACAAGGTTTAAAAAAAAAAAAAAAATATGCGTCAACTGCTATGGTGGATGACGAAGAACATGCCCTAATCAGCGAAGATGTTCTATGATGGTACAGTTAATGCAAGTTGTATTTGAACGAAGATGGCTGCGATCATGGCTAACTTTATCTAGAGCAAACGAACCTGTAAAAGTACCTTAGACAAGAGTGATCAAAGGCACATAACTTTATACCCTCCCTTTTAATACCCTCTTAGATAAATTATTATTTTTAAGTTGTATTATAGTATATTATAGGTATTGATCTGTATCATAATTTTTCCTGGGCATATTTAATCAATCCTCTTAATCAGTCTTATTAATATACTATTCGATATTTATAAAAACTAATTATTAAGCACATTAGTGGGATATTGCTCAATACGGAGCGCCAATGCTAATGTTCTACTCCTCCTGAGAGTAAACCTATCCAAAAATTCCAGACGATGCTGGCCATATTCGCCCGTATTTCTAGCTAAGGGACTCTCCGGCATGTTTGCCTTGTACGACAAACCACTTGAGCGAATCTAACCAGTGATAATAAGGACATTAACAAAAAAAATTGAGCACATTAAGAGAATAATGGAATAAATACCTTGGTGTATAACATGCCAAACTATTATAATCATACGAACACGATGTCCAAGGCAGTTCTTTTGCAAATGATGCAAAGAAGAAATGCAGTGCCCATGATATGATAACATTATAGAAAAAATCAGTATAAAAAGCTATTAACACAACGCAATATCCAATTCCTGCAATTCATATTTATTCTTATTCGCTCTTGGTAATTTTTAATCATTGTATATCACAAGAATGTATCATCACAAGGCTTATCACAAAACCATTATCACTAAGCCTAACGAAGGACATGAAATATTTCATTCGTAGTTTGTTGCTCCGATTGAAAGCGAATGGGTTCGCTTCCTCAAGTACCATTTAGGATCCACTTGTGCTTTTATTTCCAAGTGATACATTCACGTCGTATGGCCTAAATACATAAACCTAATAGCTAATTTAGCAAAATTAGCATAAATAAAGATGCTCGTTTTTTCACGGTTTAGAAGATATCCTGAAGGAATTTTTTATTCACCATTTTTTAGTTATTTTTGAAAAAAAGCAATAATAAGCAAAGTAATACTCAGAGACAATTCGTTCAAAATATTTGCAAAAGAATTTTTTGAGAAAATAAGAAAAATTTTTTTCTTTCTCTTAATAGGTTAATTAATCATATGAAATATATGAAATTAATCATAGGAAGTTCAATAATTTAATATTTAATAATTTAATTTTATACGAAAAACTATGAAAAAATAGAATTAAACTATTTTAATGAATTACTGGTTAAGATGCGACATTTGTACTGTGGTACTCTCATTGTTGTTGCCATTTCGGAGCATCGAGGCTGAGGCGCTATTCCCCGCAGGCACAACCCTATCTGAATGATACCTGCTGATACTCACCTATACTGCTAACGCTAAGAAATCTCCCAAGCAAAATTTGCTTATTCGATAAGTCTATTGAGCGAAGAAGAAAATTTCTATAGAAGAATTTTATTTAGAGAATTTCATTTATAAATTAGTAAATAAATGCGATTTTCTTCGAGGAATATTATTAATTAATAGTTTAAAAATGTAAAACTTAATTAACAGTTTAAAAAACTTTTTAATAATTTAGCTTTAATAAAATAATTTAAAATAATTTATAAAATAGTTTAATAATTTTTAAATAATTTTTTTAATAATTTAAATTAGCTAATTTTTTTAATAATTTAAATTAGCTAACTTTATAAGTATTATTATTGTTAAGTAACTATATAAGAATATTGCAATTATTTTTGTTATAACGCTTGAATGATTAAGGAAAAAAGAAAAAATGGATACATGCGATGAAAGAAAACGGAAATAATTGTCAGAACAATCATATACCTATAAATGAGATAAATTTTATACTAAAATGCTTCGTTTAATTTTTCAAATCCATTTAAAAAATTTTTTTTCAACCATCGATTTTATAGAATAAAAATTCTTATTATAATTTTCTTAATTTTTATCTTTTTTTTTTGTCAATTTTCCTTTAAAATTTACGAATTTCCTTCTTTTTAACATTCCTTATTGAGAGGCAATTTCAATGTTGGAAATTCTATTGCTATTAAGCGACTTACCTATATTTCTACTGCCAAGTTATCTTCTGGCCAAACTTTGTTTGATATGATAGTGTAACGAGAGATTTCACGTGGAATGATAATGAGAATTCTTAGAAAAAAATTATATCCCCTATTTACCCCTATTTTCATTCTCTTTGGTACCAATTCAGTATTTCATTTCATGCTCGAAAATTCATTCATTTTGCTCGTGCTTCATCAAAACATTCGATGTAAGCTATATATATGCATACAATGATTGATAGAAATTACGATAAATGTTTTGAATCCAGGAAATAGATCTGATGTTTAGCACAATTTTACCGATTTGATCAAGAAAATTTAAGAAATTGCCGAAATCTATTGCCGAATGAGTGTGCAGATAGAAGAAGAGAAGACTGTTTGCACATTTGTAGCGAATAGAATAGTGTTTAAAAAAATGCTTCTGAATACTAAAAGTTCGAGATAAAATAGATAACGAGAAAGAAAACTGTATATTTTTGGATATTAAATAATGAAATTGTTAGAACGAAGGTGTAAAAAGAAAGAGACCTTTAAAAAGTGGACAAATATATCCCCACGTAGTAATTGCACCCTTTTTATAATACTGTCCTAGTGATAGCTCCATGTAAAACAGTGGTATACCAGCCAAAAGGACCATCAGCGTATAAGGTATCAAAAAAGCGCCTGAAATAAATCCCAACTATTCGTTTCTTCATTTCGCCTTTCCTATTTTACCAGTAAATGCTAACCTCCACCGTTTTTGAAGCACAAATATGGAAATCGCCATACATTGGCAAGATCAACTGCAAATCCTATAACTGAAAGTAGAAAATCACATTTCGTCGACCAAGTCTCCCTTTCATTTTCATTTATTTTCACGCATGTCTTTTTATCATCATTCATTTCCATTTTCATTGCGATTTCACCGTCTTGCTGATAAATTTTTTTTCTATCTAATAATTCCTTGCCCTCGGCTGAGCCTATAAAATAAATTACGAATAAATCAGATAAAATAAATTTTTGATTAAGGCTCGCAACCCCAACTATCAGCAAGACAATTTTATCAGATTAAAGGACGAATAAAAGTACAAATGAATTTCTAGTCACGCTCAAATTTTTTAATGCTCGATTTTTGCCTTTATCAGGTAAAAGATAAGATAAAATACCCACAATCAAATATTAAACGAGATATTAAGAATAATTTACCAACTCATAAATCTCATTAAATCCATTTATCTTGTAATTTATCGTTAAAATGATTTGAATTACATTTTTTTCTTCCTTTTTCTTGTTATTGCAACAGTTAAAAATGCCATTTTAAGGATAAATTTTTAATGAAATATAAAATTGTGATAAGCAATATACTTACGAGGAAAATTTTGGATAAGCAGCTCACCCATCAGAAACGTTGAGAAATTACACTGTTCGTCCAGTAAATACCGGAAGATCATTATGCACATTGAAAAATATCGAAAATCTCATAAAGCAAAATTTCGCGATTTTACTACTCTCTGCGTACACAATTCAACTAACCCACCAAATAGCAAATTATCTGCTAACCTTTATCACTTCGAAAAACTGTCAATTAACCAATCACCAATATTTGATAATTAAGCAAGCAAAGAATATTAGTCGACTTTAAAGCAGCAAATAAGGTTTCTTTTAGAATTTTCGTGTAGAAATTAATAAAATTTATTTTTGTATTAATTTTTCGATTAAAATTTTTGCTGGAAATTTTCTTGGATATTTGCTGGGAATTGCCGAATCATTCCTTTACCTTTAATAAACATTTGAATTAATTAATCATTAAAAGCTTTTTATTTTAAATATTTTATATAAAAAAGGGAAAAAACAATTAACAATTTGTTAAAAAATTCATGGAAAATTATATAAAATAATAAATAAAAAATCAAAGTCACTTTTTCAAATTGTTAAGCATTATTAAGCACTGTGATTCATTTTTCATATCAATTTTTTAACAAATTAAAGTCCTTTGAAAATTTTATGAAAACATTGATAAAAAAACAAGCAAATGTTGCGCAAAATGAAGGAAGAAATATTAAAAATGAGAAAAAATGCTTAAAGTAAACAAATTCTATAAAGTTTGCCTAAGTTTTACTTGCTTTTCAGCCGATTCACTAATAAATTTCACTTTCGACCTGTTAAACACTAAATTGAATTCGACTATAATGATTATGGTGAAGAAAGAATTCTAAAAAATAATTGATAAAAATAATAATGCTAATCATAATGGTATTAATAATAATCAAAACAATAATAATGGTAAATAATAGTGATAATAGCAATTAATAAGGTAATATTAATGATAAAATTGATTGATAGATGATTGATAATAATAATGATATTGATAAAAACAATATCAATATTAATAATATTATGCCAACAATAATAAATAATAAATGATGATAATGGTGTAAATAATAATAACTAATAAAGTAATATTAATAATATCAATAATTAAGGAAAAAGGAAAAAGAATAAAAATTCTAAAGAATATCTAAAATTTTAGAACGAAATTTAAAAAATTACTTAAAATATAGAGTACTGAAAAATGATGAAAAGGAACTTATCAACTTTTCTTTTATAAGGTGTCTATTGCGAATTTAAAGAATAATGACAAGTTTTGCTAATTCATGATTTAAAAAACTCGCAAAACTAAAATCATCTTTATTATTTTACCATCATAAAATTCTCAAATTTCATTACAAAGAGATCATTATTTATTGCAATTATATTTAAGTTTTAGCCAAAAATAAATATAATAACGCTAATAATAGTGATAATAATAATAATAATAATAATAATAATAATAATAATAATAATAATAATAATAATAAACAATAATGGTAATAATAACAACAATGATAATTATGATAATAATGATGATGATAATAAATAAGAATGTTGATAATGGTCCATTTTTGTAGATTCATGGATTCACTAAAATAAAAATTTTTGATGAATGTATGAACATAGAAGAAATACTTTTGATAGAATGACAATAAAATGAAAAAAAAAAAATAGCGAAATTTTGCGACGAAGTTTTATTCGATTCAATTGCAATAAAATTTAGAAAAAATTTAAAAATTTGTGGATGTTTGTTTTTATTTTTGTAAAAAATCTCACCATTCATTACTAAAAATCAATCATTTTTATCATATTTTTATTTTTATTTTTAGTAAAATAAATTTTTTTTTCGCGCTTTTCCGCGATTTTAAAATATAAAATAACATTACTACGAAAGGAAATCAAATTTTCCTTTTATTTTCTTGAGTTTCGAACTAAAATTCGTCAAATTTTTTATTTTTTCGGTTTGGAATTCGGTTTGGAATTAATTGTAATTAATAAAGTAAAAAAAAATTAGGGAGTTTTTTTGCACGACGAATGCTTAGTAAATAATGTCCAGAATGGTACTTCGTTTCGCTTAAAATATGCATGAATTCTATTGGTATTATTTGACGGATAAATAAATAACCGATTCATTTGAATCGCTATTCTCGAGTTAGCTTCTGGTGTATTAAGTTCTAACGATAGAATAATTACACCATTATAATCGGAGAAATCACCTAAAGTTTCAGGGTTAGAGGTTAGGAATGATATTATAGGATGAGTTATTTTGGCTACTGAAAACTCGTGCCAGCAAATCTAACCAAACCAGGTTCTTTTTCAAATAACAAGCCAATAACAATTTTAATAGCAAATGGTAAATAAAATTACAGAAATCACTTGAAACTAATAAACTATACTTCAACTTCGACTGAAATAAATGAATTGGATTATTATAGAAAGCTAAAATCGAGATGGCTGTTGAGACGATCGCTGTGCTTGCAATATTCTAGAAAGTACCAATAAACTAGTGAGTTTTGAAGAATTCCACAGTATCTAATTTCACTGATAGAGAATTAATAGCGCTATTTTTGAATTGAATTCCGTGCCTATTTTCTTAAATTCTGAACAGTTCTAACGAAATCCCAATTCACACACAATTTTGTTTAGAAATGATTTTGATTTTTATAAAAATATAAAAAATGCCAACAACAACGAAATTTCCTCTTCATTAAACAGAACGCTTTTTGTTTTTTTCAACCATATAGCTCAAAGACAAAATTTCTCGATTAAACACCAATCGCATGCTTTTTATCCTATATTTTTACGTATGCTTTCTTTCAACCTTTCCAGTTTCTTACAATTAGTCAGATGCTATCGCCAGGTTAACCTTATTGAATCTCTCCGCTATATGTTTTCAAAATGTTTTTAAAATTTTTATCAGTTTTTTAACATTTTTATTCATTTATTATGATATAATTTATATACTTACATAATTTACATATTCTATTATACACCACGAATTATAATTTATATCACATTTTATATTTTTAAATTTATCATCAAAAATCACCGATTGTTATATGAAAAAACTGCAGAAAATTTTATAAATTTTAAAAAATTTTGAGATCAAAAACGAACGATAAATGATTTATTAAACTGTTCATAAAATTTTTTCATCTTCGTTTGCATTTTCGTTAACATAAAAGCGGGTATAGAAAAGGAAAATCGTTGAAATTCCGATTGTGAACCACTAAAAAGAAATTCATTCATATTTTTAAAATATGGAATTTATTGGAATTTATGAAACGAAATTAATATAATCAATATAAATAAAATACCACTCCACAATTTTTAAATTTTCTAAGTCTATTGAAATCTTTAAACATTGCGAAAAATCATAGTGTTTCGCTGATTTTCATAAGTTTTTTAGAAATTAACTTTAAAAAGTTTATCATTTTTGTGAAAAACGCAATGGACTTTTGACTGCCATAAAATTTTCTAAAATCACCTATAATTTTCGAATGAAGCAATTTCATAAACATCTTCCAAAATCATAATAAACATTTTGCCTGATAAACGAGTAGTAAAGCGATTTTCGATAAGCCAATTTCTATCCACTTCATCGATTTCATACTATAAAATCACAAGAATAAAAGAGAAAAAAGAATCATGAAGATTGATAAATTTTTATTTCCGCTCAAAAATCGCAGAGGAAAACTTACTTTATATGCACGAGGATATTTCAAATAAAGACTTCCTCTCTGACCAATTGCCAATATTCGCGCAACTTTTGATCCAAGTATAAAACGAGTCGAAGCATTTATTCGATCTGGATTCCACTTTAGCACAAATATATTTTATTAGATTAAAAACACTGGGAAAAAAATTCCAATTTTAAATTTTATCAATAGTATTAAACTATAATATTAGTATATATATATAATCTAAGTTTCAATATTAAATATATATATTTATAATATATATTTAATATTAAAACTTATATATATATATATCTACATATATATTTATACTAAACTATTAACAGCAAAATTTGAAGATTATACCATTTTCGACACCATTTTAAAAGATTTCTTTTATAAATAAAAAATGTACCTTTGCGATTTCTTGTGGACTCATTTCTTCGCCAGGTTTTAGGCATGGTATATCACAGGGTCCGACATCAGTTACTGGCTTAAAGGTAATATCTTAATCTTCATAGGTTTTTAAAATTTCGTTTTTCTATAAAATGTTCAAAAATAAATTTCTATAAACATGAGAAATTGTGAATATATTCAACATTAAGAAAGAAAATAAACACAATTTTATTAAAAATTTGATAAAAAATAAAAATTCGGAAATAAAAATTAAAAGTTTGTTCAAAATGTAAAATAATATTCCACAATCCTTATAAGATTTATTAAAAATTTTATTAAAAATTTGATAAAAAATAAAAATTCGGAAATGAAAATTAAAAGTTTGTTCAAAATGTAAAATAATATTCCACAATCCTTATAAGATTAAAAACACTCACCTTCCGCGGTCGACCTCTTCTGCGAGGACAAAATGTATTTACGGAACTCGCATTAAGTACTTGCATCGAACTCATAGCACTAGTTTCACTCTCTAAATCCGAATCGAAACTATAATTCAGAAAGTTTTTAGATATTTTTCTGATTTAATTATCATTTTTACCATTTTTTTCTAATATTTATAAGCTTTAAAATATTTTTTGAACTTAAAAAAATTTTAAAAATAAAAGTCTGAAAAAAACCAAAAAAAATTAAAAATATAAATACCAAACTACATCAACGCCATTTTCAAGATCATTATTTTCGACTGAAATAAATGGTTTTTTAGCTGCTTCCAGTATATTACGGCATAATTCTTTGATATCTTCATCTGAGACCACCTTTAATTTTTTTCTTCATTAAAATTAACAAAAATATTGGAAACTATTCGACAAATTCAAATTTTTATATATTTTATATATTATATATAATGATATATTATATAATATATATTATATATTATATTTTTCTATTATAAATTATTATTACTGCTCAATGCTGAAGAAAAAGGAAAGGAAAATGAAAAAAAAGTCGCCAATGCCTTTTCAACTTCAAGCGAATTTTAAAATTTAAACTGGTTACAATTTTTGTAATTCTAGCAAGCAAAAGTTCAAAATTTAAAAGTTTGAAAAAAGCAAACATGGCCATTTCGCTTTAAATTTTCTAGCGCTGGTGAAAAAGTTGTTCGCATGTGACGATCAAGAATTTCTCGAAATTCATGGGTAATTTCTGGTTGAAAAACCTAAAGAACGACGAAAATCATTTATGGATTCTTGGTCGTCTGAACAAAAATCAATCAAAAAAGCAGTAAAGAAGTATCATAAATTATCATAAATTATATTTCTATTAAGTAAAATATTATCATATCTCATGGATATGTTTAGCCAAGAAAAGCTAATAATAAGGTCGAATATGATATAAAAATAAATTTAAAAATATTTTTTAAAAAATAAAAAAATACCCGACGCATTAAATCGAGGGATTTCGCTGGATTATCTGCCATATTCGTTTTATTACTAATAATCGTATGCTTTAACGAATTAATTTTTGCATTCGTTCCTTCACCAAGCGAATTTAATAAACCTTCAAGAATCTCGATACGAAGATTCATTTTATTACCATTACCGTTACCTGTACTTAACGTTTCGAACATCTCTCTGAATATTACATTTAAATTTAAAAACCGTTGCAAAAAAAAACGTGAAACGCATGAAAAAAGAAAGAAACATAAGCGAAACCTCGAGTAATAACCGCAGTAATAGCCCTGCACACAATTATCTCTATCTCTTTCCCACTACCCTACACCTGAAAATCGGTTGAAGCGATTCTAATCTGATATCCATTGATTTATGGGATAGGATGGCTTAGTGGGTTGTTGCTCAATTCGCAGCGTTCAGATAGTAGGGTTCTATTCTGCGCAGGAGTGAACCTGTCCAAAAATCCGGGTGATGCTGGCGACTCACCGGTATTTCTATCACTCTCCCTGGATTCCCTGGCATATTTGCCAGTGCAACAAGCCAGTGGAGCGTTGGTCCATTGTATGGGAGACCTGCAAGGCACCAAAAGGAACCGAAAATTCCCTTTTAGAAAACCAAATTCAGATAATACTGACCATCCTCACAATACTTCGAAACGACAAATAATATTAATTATGTTGGTTTCAAATTTTTTTCAAAGAATTTATATGATTAAAAAAATTAAAAAACAATATAAGCAGTTAAACAGTGGTTATGAAACTTGCGCTCTTTGGAATACATGGCATAGCTGTTGTTCTTGAAAACAAATTCAAAAATATTGAATCACAGTGGATAGGTCGAGTGTCGTTGGTTCGTGCTGCCCTACTCTTTGGCAGACGAGAACCTGTCATGCCGATAATGGCATATGCCTGGGCTTCTTGTACATCCCGAGTGATATATGGTAAAAGTTTATTTGTAGATGACTGAATATCTAGATATTAGTACAAGAGTACTTCTTTCCAGTATCCTGTCAGCATTTTCCATTTGGTACCTTTTAACTAGGCGAAACAGGTCAAGTTTGGAAGAGCAAGGAGGCAAAGAGACTTAAAACTGAAGACACTTAAGGTCTAAGAAATGCTCTTTCAGAACGAACACCTTTCCCAAATTTGAAAAATTCGAGTCCACAGATTTTTATAGTATCGTCTATGGGAGGAGGGAGCGGGAAAGGGAGAAAAACGTTTGTCGACTAGTGATTTGAAATGTTTGCATAAAACTATTTTATCAAAGATCATTTCAATTCCATTTTGATTATATAAAAAAAAACTAAAAAAAACGTTAAAAATGAAATTATAAAACAATAATAATTTATAAAATAAAATATGAAAATTATTTCATAAAAATAGAAATAATAATAGAATTTATTAAATAAATAAATAAAAACAATAACAAACGAAATAATAATAAAATAAATAAAATAATAATATAAAATAAATAAATAAAATAAATAAATAAAATAATATTCAATAAAAACAAAACATAAATATTTCATAATTTTCGATGCCTCTTAACGGTGAATTCTCTTAATTATTAAAATTTGAGAAAATAAAAGAAATTTTTAAATTCTTCAGCGATGTCAACAAAATTCTTCAAAATACTGCTCCATCAAAGGAAATGAATAAATATTTATATTTCCACAAAAAATAACTTCGAATAATAAATGATAAATGAAAATGTTTATTTATTTATAGAACATTCATAAATATTTGTGTATTTATGTATGTGTGTTATTTAGTGAAAGGTTAAGAAAAATGCGGCCGCAGCAAAAAAAGCAAAAAATGAATGTCCTTTGACAATAAGAACGGTGCCCACACAAATCACTCCTCAACTCGCTGATTATAAACATCCTCAAGCACGTTCATTTAAATCTCCCTCATGCCTCTCTCTATCCCTCTTAAAACTCCGTCGAACCTCGCTTCCCATCCTTCGATGGTACCACAGACCACTTAGAAAGTCAAATATTACGATTTTCTTCTTCTCTTTTAAAATATTCCCATTAAATAAACTCAGACTTTCTAATAAATCGCCTATTTTTGCCTTTTTTTCTTATTTTTCTCTATTTATTAAACTATGAACGATAAACAATTTTTTTATTACAAAAATCAATAAACATGAAATTTTATGAAATTTATTTTCGGAAAATTTGGGAAATTTAAGAAAATTTTTATAGAGAAAAAATTTTAAAATTTTAGGTAAATTGAAAAAGAAAAATTAGAATTTTTTATGGGAAAAAAATTCCCCATCAATCTTTAAAAAAAAAGAACGAAACAAAACATACAAAACACGTATATTCTAAATAAGGGAATATTGCTTAATCAGACTGGTAATACTCGACTGACAATTTACAAAAGTCGTACTCGACTTCGGCTATTTAATATTTATCCAGTTGATTCAGATCGTTACATTCGGGTAGAAAATATTTTAGCCTTTTTTTCTCCGCGAAGACTGATTAGAGTTATCAATAAGAAGTGAAGGATTTATTTTCTAAAAATACATTTTTTTTATTTATTTCTTTAACTTTATTTATCAACTAAGACGTTAGTAATAAAGCGTTTATCAATTCGGTCAGATCACTATTGTTATTATTTCTATAGAAAAATCTTTAAGGACCTAGATGTTGTCAAAAGCGGTCAATAGACCATTCACATCTAAACATTTAAGCCTTTCGCTGTTTTGTCGTCAAATTTTCGCTATTTTGTCGCCTTTTCGCTGTTTTGTTGTTTTTTTCGACCATTTAAAATTCTTCGTTAAAAACCGATCGTTAAAAAAAGGTAATTAAGAAAATATTTGCTGAATTTACTCTTTGCAACTCGCTCTATGCCCTAAAATTCACAAGATATGTCGTCCTTTGACTTGTATTTCTTCGTCTTGTGTTTATTGTAATTATTATAATATAAATATAATTATTCATTTTACAATATAAAGCTGCGGGCATTTGTCTGTAGTTTTATGGCCAAAATTTTTATAATCCAGCAGGTTTATCCAAAAATGATTCTTAGGCAGTAATAATATAGTTGTTAAAGGATATCGCTAATCTTTTCAACTTCCATAAATTAGTTGATCATTAAATTACAGATCACATATTTATCGTGATATGCCTTGAAAATCTGAATGATGGAGATCGATCCCGGAAGAATTTGTGTAGCACAAGTGTTCGTTTCACTTATTATTGTTTGGAATTGCTCGCGTGTAGTAAGAAAGAAGAAAAATTTGAACAAATGCATTGCATAACCTACGAGGCGTCAGATGAGGCAATTTTGGAGGTATGTTGTTTGCTTAATAAGAATAATAATTCTTTTCTTGGATGAATTTTTCAGTTGAAAAATGGAAAAAATAAAAAATGGAGGACAACAAGAAAGGATTGGTGGAGTGGGCGCTCAAGAATGGATTATTGATGTCCCTTATCCATCATATTTCGTAGATCTTTCATCTACTGGCTTTCATATCTTCGGTCATTAGACAACTTCCGCATAGTGGAATATTTTCGATAACAAGAGGATGCTAAAATTGCCTTCTATCAGTTCACTTTTCCAAATATGTTAAATGTATTAAATGTATAAGGTACTTTGGAAATAATTTAAATATTTCAATATTGCCGAATTATTTTTAGTCGAGAATAACTAATTAATTAATATCTAATTTAATATTTAATTTAGTAATTATCTTATTGTTTGTTTGTTCTTTTAAAAGTTTCTTGAAAATATTTTATAATATCTTAACACTTTAATGTTTTAAAAATGTTTTAAAACAAATCATTTGCAAAACATAATTAATTAATTTCAGTATCGAAAAAGTCGTTTTCATTTCAATCCTCTTGCTTCTATTTAAAAAATCTGAATGAATTAGAAAATAAGGTAATAAATTTTTTTTTATGTGAAAATCTTATTTTAAACTATTTTATATGAAAAATAGTTTTCGTTTTTGAAGTTTTTGTCAGTGATTTAAACGATTTTCTGATGATAAATTAATAAAAATAAGTATACAAAATGTTAAAAAATTGGATCAAATCAAAATACATTCTTTATATTTCTTATAAATATTCTAATAAAATATGAAAAATTTAATTTATTTACTTAAAAAAACTTCAAATCTAAAATGAAATGTCTATCCATTTAGTTCCTTTTTCTTCATCATTTCACATTTATTTCTGCCGATTATTTCTACTAAATAGGTCAGCCAATGATCGCAACAAAAATAATCTTACTATCAGACAGATCGGTGTTGGAGACACCAAGTACTTTTCCATCACATTCTATCTCTCTTGTGAAATCACCTCTCTCTGTTAATAACCGTTTGAACAGGTCTATTCGGAATCGGTGATGGGTAGCTTTTATTTAGTTTTACTTATTTATTTTTTAATCATATATTCATATATAATATAAAAATATATTCGCCAATGACAACAAATTAGTAAATTATCATTTAATAAAAGATTCTTTTTATGTTTGATTCGAATGTGATTTATTCATTTCCAACTGGAATTTCCAAAAAAATTATACCACTTTTCCAGTTGTTCTTTCATCATAAAATTATAGAATAATGGGAGAAGTAGAAAATGATGAAAAAACGATTATGAGAAGTGGTGTAAAGTCATTAACTAGATAATTTATGTATATTTTAGTTTTATTTTTTATTTTTGAGGTTTATCGCCAAAACTTGCAAAAATATTTTATGCGATAAAATATATTACGTGGCTTTCGATGGTATTTTAGCTGCGATTAACTGTTTTATCGTCATAAGATTTAGCTCATTGTAAATTTTTAAAATATTAAGTTTCATAGATTTTAAATCTGAAGAGCATAAGAGGATTTCAGATAGCTAGAAGAAAGAGACAGTGTTTAGCAGCTAAAAACCGACCGTGTAACCGAAAATCTCCGTGTAATTAGATTTATGGCGTACGGCATGCACTTTCCACGGTTTGCCAAAATAAATTTAAGAAATTTCGTATTTTATAAATGGTTTTCTGGAAAGAATCTGATTAGCAAATAAAATGCAGTTGAGGGTTTATTATAAGCAATGCATATATCAGAAAGATCCATTTTAGGGCGATTATATTAACGAAGGACTCGTCAAATCTGTTCTCTTACAGTTATCTTTACGGTTCTCAAGAGAGCATTTTGGGGATCTTAGGACAAATTTTAAGAAAATCATTTGATAAATTTGGCCACCATTTCTTTTGGCTTTGTAAACACTATACTGTAGTCTTATCAGAACGGTTTATTTAACGGTTTATTTCACTCATTTTCGATTACTGATGTTTTATTTCCTGCTGAATTGTTTAACAATCCTCGTTAAGCTCGGCACTTTCTTTTTTATTGCCAAGTGGCTCTGTGGCAAAATTTTTCTGGTCTAACTAGACAGCAGAGCGAGTCGAGGAAAAATTTTGGTAATCGTTCTTACACGTTTTTTATATGATAACAATTTAACTGCTTTAAGATTCCAAGAATTCCAAGAAATACTTCGTGCAAATACTTCTTATTTATTTCTGTGCAAGAAATGCAATAATTCATTTATTTCTAACAATGACTTTTAAGATTTTAAGAAACTTTGATGGGTTTTTTATCAATATTTGGCTATAATAGCAAATTTTTTCTATTATTATTAACTATTATTATTATTACTTATTAAAATATATTTTAATTAGTGATTTGTGAAAATTCTGCGAGGATTGTCCATAAATCTCGCAAAAATTTTGGAAAAATTGCAAAAAGATTTTTTATTTTGTTTTTTGTTTTTTCCCAATTTTTTAAATTTTAATTTAGCTCAAGAAACTTCGGAAAATTTTCGATTGCGATTACTCCGAAATCCTCGATGAATTTCCTCGATTTGCCCATTTTTTCCCCCATATAATTGCGTTTTACGACGACATAGAGAACGGAGAAGATTTTGGGAATTGTTAGCCTTTTGACTGCTTTTGTAAAAGTTCAGGA